TCCCGGCCTCCATTGACGGAGACAATCGACATCTCCGACAGGCCATGTCGCAATCAGTCATTCGGGACGCAAGGCAAGATTGTCTTCGATTCTCTAGCCTGACGGCAGAATCAGGAATTTGTTTTTCCCAATTCGGCTCAGCTCTGTCACGGTTGGCTACTGGAGGCGCGAGTCGACGTCAACGGAGCTGTTTTCTGTCTGTCGACAATTTCAAGGGGCGGCTCTGGCTTTGCAGGCAAACTCTTCTCTGTGGATAGATGTCTCACACAGACATTCCCGAGGGAGCTTTGGGGGAGGGTAGATTGTGCGAAATTCTTCATGCGACACCTACATCTGGGCAAATCCTTCGCGAAGGCCCCCCAGCAAAACAGTAATAATTTCGCAACAGCAAACCATTTTCGCCTAGGATGGTAAACGAGCTTCGCAAGCGGCACAAGTCCGAAAAAACACCATCTTCTGTTCAGTTTCACCAATCACCAGTCATATTTCCCAAGCTATATTCTTCATGGCGGAAAAACCTCCCCACTCAAGTCAGAATGTAATCTGCTCTTCAGAATGGGAAGCCTCTCCTCTACAACGTCACTTTCTGATGAGGCTTCGCGCAGCGGAAGCTTCTCTCAAGCACTTGAATCCCGTGAAACGCCTGACGACTTCACCCACAGTCGCGGAATTCGAGCTCAGTTGTCGAGCGTTCCACTCTCAACCAGTAGTGATGCCAGCGGACTGGTTACCACCGTGGACGAAGATCCTCCAAGCTCCGAGCGTTACGGAGGGGCTAGAAGGTCTTCTTGGCGAGGAAGTAGAGGTGAGCTGTCAGAAGGGAAGAAGGTTACTTGACGTGTAATGAGCTTGTTTGTTGATTCTTTGCATCAAACACGAGCTATCTGATGCGCATCAGCTCGTTATGACGTCTGCGTGCTTCATTTGCGTTCCTCTGTGGTTATTATCTTACTTTTTTTTTTCCTGCGTCGCGTTGGCCTCTAATCTGTCACTCACCAGCCTCTACTCTCCCTCTCCGCACCCTTCCCCTGCCTCTCCCCTGCCTCTTTCCTGCCTCTCCTCTCCCTTTTCCCCCCCTCAGCCAGGTTGAGGTCTTCCGCCTCGATTTCCGTAGCACTAGCAGGGACGCCGGATTAGTGGTGTCATCAACGGTCAAGAGGGCCTCGTGCGATGTGGGAACAGAAGAAGCAGCGCTTGCAGAAGCAGGAGAGACGAAGAAGCGGCGGTGTGTGGATAGCAGTAGCATTCTTTCCAGTGGCGATGCGGCTGTGCAAGCCTGTGAGGCACCAGCGCCATCATCAACAGCAGCAGCAGCAGCAGCAGCAGCAGCAGAAGTACCTGCTGCTAGCGAGCCATCCATCAGCAAGACATCCGAAGTCAAAGAAGCAGCAAGGCACATAAACACTCTCCCAGCACCTGAGCCACAACCAGCCCCGGCGTTGCGATTCTCCTACCTCCCACATTCCACTGTGCACTTGATGCCTCTGGGCCAATTCCTATCAACCTGCAGAGGAACCCATGCTCGACGGTCCGCTCAAACGTCTGCTGAACAATCCAAGTCATCAGAGTCGCCCCTGCCAGCATGGCAACTGTTGTATCTGGCGTGGCGTGGACTTCCCCAATCATCTGCGTTCATACAGTCAGACATTGACTTCAGTCTCACTGAGAAATCTCAATGTCCAGACGAGCAGCTGTCCAGTGGAAGCACGCCACATGGCTTCCGAACATTCATAGACCAGCTGCTGGTTCCCACGCTTTCTCCTCCTTTCCTGGAGGCTCTCAGACAACAGGAGGCACAATGCAACAAAATTAAAGAGGCAGCGGACAAAGGGAGCCAAGCGAGGGCGAGGGGATCAGGGGTTACAGGATGTTTGGCTGGTGGCCGTGAGCAATGGAACTTGTGGGTGGGACGGAGTGCCACAAGTCAGATTCACTTTGATGGCATGGACAATGTTCACGTGTACTTGCAGGGCAGCAAGATCATTCATCTCTACAGCCCCTCTGACTCCATCTTCCTCTATCCCATGCCTTGGAGCGAAGGTGCAGTGAGCCTCGTTTTCACTTTATATGCCGATCATTAAGGTACACATGTCTGTCCTTAACCTGCATAAGTTCTGTGTTTGTTTTACTGGCAGATCGTATCAACAACAAATCGTCTCTGCCTTCCATCCTCACTGCGTGCCCTGAAAAGTATCCTCTTGTTTTCTCCCAGGCTACATGTTACCGAGTCCAGGTGAGGGCTTCCATTGCTCTACCGTATCTCAATTTCAACAGGATCGTATTATGTACAAAAAGTACTCTACTACCTGTTGTTGGTGCCTATGTACAGCTAATGCAGGGAGAAGCGATCTTCATACCAGCAGGATGGTGGCACGAGGTGAGAGAACGGAGAGCTGTTCCGTATCTTGTCCTATTAAATATTTGGGAATGGTTACCATGATCTCATCTCTCGTTCATATCTCTTGCAGGTTTTCACCTTCGGTCCCATGACTGTTTCTGCCAATGTTTGGTTTCCACCCCATCCATCGTGTCATCTCAGGCCCACTCTTATGATGCTCCACTCAGTAAGTGGGTTGTGGTGACACCAAACTCAAATGTTCTCTCTTCCGATCGTTTGAAACAAGCTTGTGGTGTGTTGATTGCAGCACCGCATACTGCAACACATGCATGCAGCTTGGAGAGAGACCTCGGCAGGCACTACGAATCATGAGCAGCCGGGTTTCATGGATGCCCACGAGCCCAAATGAGCATTTTCACTAGCCTCTTGAGCTCTTGCTTGTCTCTCCCTGCACTTGGCAAGAGACTTAATCAGAAACATCTGCGAGCTTTTAATGTGGTTTCTGCAGGTTACCCTAGATCATGTTGTTATTTTGCAGATTCAATACGGAGGGGGCTCTAATGAAGATGGACTCAAAAAACGCATTTCAGGGGTCAAACACACTGCTTTATAGAACATGATGCTGCCAACAAAACAAGTGATTCACCGCACGCGCTCCTGGGTACAGCAGACCGCCTCGGACCTAATTGCCATCCCTGGAGTCTTCTTAATTCCATACAATTCCAGCATTTTGATAAAAAGGCGACTCAATCACCAGCTGGCGCTGCATGCTTCTTTTTCTTCTTCTTTATTGAATCAGGAGACTTCAACTTGGCCAAATCAGCTGACTTTGCTGGCAATCTCCCTTCCACCGTCTCCTGTGTCACACCAAGCTTCACACTGCTTCCACCTGTCTCCTTAAAATCGCTCCCACCACCCTTTCCACCCGAGCTTGGCGTCCCTTGCAACCCCTGGGCCTGGCCCTTCGATTTCTTCTTCCTTGCACTCTGTTCGCTCACGACGCCATTCTCCGTTTTGTCAGGGATCGCATCTGCTCTTGGAACGTTCCCCTCCTCTACGCCGTGTTGCCGCTGACTCGTTTCTTGTATGACCCCGTCAGCATCCCCGCTTGCTGCAGCATTCAGAGACTTCCGCTTCTTCTTGGGAGTCTTCGCTGTCCCAACGCTAGGATCTTGCTTATCCCCAGCACCAACATTACCATCGACTGTCACCGCTTTCTTCTTTTTCTTCTTCTTTCCGCTATCGGTATTCTCTGCAGACAATGTCGTCTTACTCGCTGGTGTTGCAGCTTCTGTTTTCCGCAACTCTGTTTCTTCTTCTTCGTTAGCACCTTCGCCCCCATCTGCGACGGCGCTGTTGGCTAAACCCTTACCAGCACTGACCTCAGGAGAATTATGTGCATCGGCTTCTGGCGCATTGATTGGTGGTCCGGATGGATCGAGAACGGTCAGAATAGTGCTAAGATGCGAATAAAGATCTGGAGCGTCAGTCTGAAGCTCTGGAACGTACTGAAGAAAACGGCGTAATAATCGCCCGCCTTTTGCCGCCGATACGGGAGTGTCTTGAAGCTCCATATATTATAATCCCGTTAGACAGGAAAGTATGCACCCCACTAAAGAAAAGCGCTGACCAGCTGGAGTAAGCGTGCTCTGCAGTGCTAGATTACGAACATCCTCCTTTTTCTAAGAGAGCCGCTCCCGAACTTTGGATTCCGAGCAAGGGCGCCAATCGAGAACGCTGAGGCGAGACAGCGGCCGGTCGTGCCAGTAGGTATTCCACACGCAGGCGTCAGCTATTCGGCACCATTGCAGTTTATTTTGGGCCAGGCGAAAGCTATGAATGGCTTCCTCCAAGGATTTTGAAGGGTTCAGGTTTGAAGCTCGCGAGGGTTGAGTTGAGCCGAGGGATTAGGTTGGTCCTCGCTACTGTGTTTCAACATTGATGGCTACGAAAAACTGTAGAAACTGATACCGGTATTGTAATTTTGGTGCTAGTTGAGATACACTAAGGATCTTGGCACTGCAAATAATGTACAAGGTCAGCAAGTGTTTTCACAAAACAAAACCAGCAAACTGAAGTCCACAATAAACACTTCCTCAGCGACCGGCTAGATTTAACAAATCTCTAAAGTACTCGTGCTCAAGTGCTTCTCGTGCAGTGACACGCTTGCTTGGGTCAAGACAAAGCATTTTCTGCAGACGAAAAAGGCACCAGGCATGAATAACCTAGTTCGAATGAACGTAAAGCACGATGAATGGAGCCGTAGGAAAAAATAAAAGCAACCCAGAAACTCACCGACAAAAGATCGATTCCGCTCTTTTCCAAGGTTGGCACAATGGACTGATGATCCTGGGGAAGAAAAAAGACGGATCATGCATGAGCTTAGAGTCAGCAGCAAGAAACAGGGACTATGATGCACCAAATGGTCCAACCTAGGTCGTATAACTTCCTTCAGAACAGAACAATCCAAAAACGAGTGTAGAGGAGGTTCTACCTTGGCTGTCCATTGAGGAAACGATGTTTTGTAGTCAGGAAGTTGTGAAACTCCTGGCCAATTGTCATCATTTGGCGTTCCCAACAATCTGTGAAGAGGCCACAGACAAGCAGAACAAGGTAAGGGAACTTTCTGGTTGAGCCATCAATCGGCGTCTTGGGGCTCGACTCACCTGAATATTTTGAACAGCTCATCAATTTCGGAATCTCCTGGGAATAGGGGGCGCTGATTTATCATCTCCGCGAAGATGCAACCAACGGACCAGATGTCCACAGGCGTTCCGTAGTGATTTGAACCCAAAAGGATTTCTGGGGCCCTATACCACAGGGTCACGACCTGCAATCAAGCGAAGCATAAAACGGGCGGAATGTCATAGTAGTGTGAGGCAACCATGGTACGTTCATGATCAGTCCCGCCCCTTGCGAACTCGTGGGTGAAGGATAGAACAATATGATTGCGTGAAATCAATTGGTAGCCCCATCTCACCTCGTGTGTGAACGTCCGCACTGGAATTCCAAAGGCCCTGGCAAGGCCGAAATCAGCAAGCTTCAAGGAATTTGTCTGACGGTCGATGAGAAGGTTCTGAGGCTTCAAGTCCCGGTGCAAAACACGGTGAGCGTGGCAGTATGCTACTCCTTGAAGAATCTGGTACATGTAGGACTGCAAATGGCAAACGAGCAGGTCGACGTGTTGAATTTATATCTATAAACACTCTAACTCTAATAAAACGTACCGACCCAGATAGCTTATGGATTCAATTCTACTACTTTTGGTAATGACGAGGCTCACCTTGATAATCATCCTGTCCTGCGCTATGTGAGGACTCGTGTCAAGATGCTTCTTAAGGTCCAGATCGAGGTACTCAAAGACAAGGTACAACCTTCGGTCAGCATGCACGACGTCTTGAAGCCTGAGGTCAAGATATGGTAGTCGGGTCAGATTCGCTTTCGGAAAGTTCCCCGATGGGAAGAACAATGGATCCAGCGACGCCAATACTAACCTGACAACATTCCCGTGCTGCATCTCCTTCAGCAGTGCAATCTCTCTAATAGCGGTGCTTGGGACACCCTCGTCTTCGGCTTCTAGCCGAATCTTCTTCAGCGCTATCGTCTCGTTGGTCAGTCTATCACGCGCTTTGTACACGACACCGTACGTCCCTTCTCCGATTTTCTCGACTTTCTCATACTGCAATAAGAACATATACCGTTAGATTGTCTCGAACGCGCGAAAATGCTCCACCAAAAGCGACCAACAGCACCCCAACCTATATTCACCTGCTCCATGACGCGAAACCAACACTCTCAATACCACTCAGAGTGCGGGACGAAGGCGAGACCAGACACACTAAAACAATCGACGGGTCTTGCAATAACCCTCGCGATTTTTCCGCTCGAGATGCTGAACCTTGAAAACTCCTAGATTTTGTATCCTACGGAGTTTCAGAAGGAAGCTAAGTCAAGGCCCATGCTAAGAAAGACAGAATTCAGCTTGCAAGAAAGTGCAGCTGACAGGCATGCTGCACCACTTTCATCAGGCACATAGAGAGAACGATGGGGATTGGCTGTGACGACTTGGCGGGAAACACCATTCAGTCCCCGCTCCCTCCTTTCCAGCCTGGCCAGATGAAAACACCAGTCCCCGCGGTTGGGGGGAGAACTCGAGGTGGTCGTTGCAGCCCTGTCTGCTGGCTGGGAACCCACGAACCGCACACCTCCTGACACTCTAGTTGTAACTAATGTCAAACTTGAGATAAGCATAATTTTAGGAAGTCAAGTTCATTACAGTAACTTTCAGGCCAATTTCTGAAGTCGGTTAACCCATGATCACAGCTACATCTAGCAAGCAACTCAATTCACCAGCAGTACAAAGAGCCAATTGTACCTCGATATTGCTACTACTCCCTCAAGATTTTGTACAGCTCCCTAATGATTGTGGCTTCCCGAATTGTCAATAAACAATACGCTTTTTTCCTACAATACAACAGTCCTACACAGATCGGCACAATTTGTTGTCACCTTGTACCGGCAACTGCAGCTGCTGCTGCAGACCGTGATCGTCGTGTTGCTTGAGCCAAGAAAAGCTCAACTATCTCAGGTTCCAGCCCTCTAACAGCAACCGTCACTCCAGGTGGTAGTTTCTCATTTGGTGGGCTTGGTCGAATTTGCAGTGCTGGGCTTAGCCCCTCCCGTTTGCCCCCTCCCAATGAAGCATAGGTACCAGCAGAAGATGCACCAACAGACACGTGGCCACCCCTTTTGATTCGTTCATAAGCCTCGGTAATCTGCAGATTTGGGGGTCCATTCAAAATCATGTGAGCAACAAGGCAACGAAGAAAAGAAGGAATGAAAATACCTCTTCTTAAGCCCATCACGAGGACAAACAACTCATCAGCAGTACGTATTGTACTGTACACGACATACCCCTCCCCACATCCTCACCTTCATAAACTGGGCCTCAGCAGAGGCCTTATCGTCATGCGTATTGTGCCTGTCTGGGTGGTGCCTGGCTGCCAATGAACGGTACGCCGCACGGATCTGAGCCAAGGGAGAAGTTAGGGATGGTTCAGGTTGAGAGAGAAAGGCTTTTGAGAACTCTCAGGAGTCATGCGTATTGTGCCTGTCTGGGTGGTGCCTGGCTGCCAATGAACGGTATGCCGCCCGGATCTGAGTGAGGGAGGGGGGGAGGGTTCAGGTTGAGGGTATGAAATTTTAGAACTCTCAAAAGTCATAGGGAGTTGGGCCTGTATTGGTGGTGCCTGAATGCCAAGGAGCGGTACGCTGCCGGATCTGAGCCACGAGAGAAGGAAGGGTTCAGGTTGAAGGTATGGATATTTTATGACTCAAAAAGAGGGAGAGGGAGAGGGAGAGGGAGAGGGAGAGGGAGAGGGAGAGGGAGAGGGAGAGGGAGTGGGAGAGGGAGAGGGAGAGGGAGAGGGTGAAGGAGAGCGTGAGCGTGAGGGAGAGGGAAAGAAGAGAGAAGGGGAACTGTTAGGAAAGCACACTGCAGAACGATGCATCTCACAAGAACACACTGGATGGGTTGGCGGAGGAATTCAAGGCACAAGGAGAGTGCAAAACCTGCGAGGAGGGAGCACCCATGAGGGAGGGCTTGTGAGGCAGCACCTGAGAGGGAGCGCCTAAGAGGGAGAACCTGTGAGGGAGCAGCGCTTTTGGCAATACCGAGGATGGAGTAGGGGCAGGAGTGCTCCTCCGCCCTTTTTATTGTGTTCTGAGACGGCTCAACACACCTGTGGGGAGCACCTTAGAGTGAGCACCTTAGAGCGAGCACCTGAGAGGGAGCACCAGACAGGGAGCACCTGGGAGGCAGCACCAGCGAGGGAGCACCTGGGAGGGAGCAGCGCTCTTGGCAATGCCAAGGAGGGAGAAGGGGCAGGAGGGAGAAGGGGCAGGAGTGCTCCTCCGCCCCTTTATTGTGTTCTGAGACGGCTCAACACACCTGAGAGGGAGCACCTATAAGCAGCACCTGAGAGGGAGCAGCACTCTTGGCAATCCCGAGGATGGAGTAGGGGCAGGAGTGCTCCTCCGTCCCTTTATTGTCACCCCCCGTTGGCAACGAGGGCGAAGTGCCGAGCATGGCCGTTACCACCTCGTCATAGAAGCTCTCAGCGCTCTCATATGAATACTCCAACCTGGGTGACAGGGGATATAATTGAAGTTGGTTGGTAGAGAGGGAGGGGGTTTGGCGAGGAGCCGAGCAAAGCGGTTACCACCTCATCATAGAAGCTCTCGGCGCTCTCATATGAGTACTCCAGCCTGGGTGAATGGATTTAGGGTATTGGGTGGTAGAGGGAGGAGTTGAGGAAGAACAGGGGGAAGGGTGGAAGGCGGTGGTTAACTTCTCTTCATAAAAGCTCTCTGCACCACTCTCTCGTATGCATACTCCAGCCTGGATGAACGGGTTGTGTTGTGTGTGGGATGCAGTGGGTAACAGGGAAATATGAGGAAGAGAGAACAGGATGAAAGCCTGTAGGTGGTGGTGGTTACCACCTTGTAGTAGAACTCTCCGCACTCTCGTATGCATACTCCAGCCTGGGTGGAAAGTTTTCAGGTTACAGAGTGGAAGGAGCATGAAGAAGGATATAACGACAGGTGGCAGGTGGCGGGTGGTGGATGGATGGCGGGTGACGGGTGGTGGTTACCAGCAGTACTGGTTGAAAAAAAGAAGAAAGGAAAGTGCTTAATTGAGGTGAATTTGAAGCAATCCAAGAAGTAGAGGCTTGTGATGAAGGGGAGACTGGAGAGTGAAGGGAACAGGTGGCAGGCAGCTTACAGGTGACGTGGCACTGAGCTGACAAACGACCCTGCGCTCTCTGCTATCAACCTGCAGTCAGAATATTGCGACCAGGAAAATCAAACCAGAAAGGAACAAACCATGAAAACTAAACCACAGCACACGGGAGCAGGGGTTGGCGGCACAGACAGGCGTCAAGGCGGGGAGCAACTAGAAAAGCAGGCAGAGGCAGATATTGTAGTCAGTCAATATTGGGACTTGACAGAGTAGAGTCAGAGTCAGAGTAGAAAATGCGGAAATCTGGAACAGACAGGAGTCAGACAGACAGGCGTCAAGGAGGGAATCTGGGAAGAAACTTGATGAAGTCAGGCAGAGAAACAGATTCCAGGCAACCCTAAAAACACGGGTTCTGTGAGAAAAGGGTCACTTTGCACTAGCAGGTGCAAAGCACGAATTGGGCTTTGACAGGGGGGTAATCAACCGTGCTACACCAAGACCCGCCCTGACAAATACACTCATCCCCTCTTCCCCCACACTCCCTTCCCCACCATCCCCTTCCAAGACCCGCCCTGACCCTTACACCCATCCCTTCTTCCCCCGCACCCCCTTACCCACCACCACCCCACCCCTTCCCCCGCTCCTCCCCCCCCTCCCGCTTCTCAGCGGTGCCTCTCTCCAACACCCTCAATCAACCCGAAACCCTAGACGTTTCCTACGAACCTGCACACGTGTGGCAGCACTTTCGGCATGGCCGTCGCTGCTTCCTCGTCTGACACTAGCACCAGCTCCACTACAGGCAGCCAATCAGAGAGGGCCACGTCAGCAGCAGGCCCCGCTGACGTGGCACCCGATTGGTGCATTCGCCTGACGCAAATGACGTACTCCCGTAGGCCCGGGGATTCCGGAAAGGAATCTGCAGAGGAAGCTTCTGCATTTTCTGACTGGGAATGGTATTGCTGATGGTAGTCGCATAGGAGCTGGTGGTACTGTTGCTCGCTGCGCCGTAGAAGAGCAGCCGCGTCGACTAATAACGGGGATGGGGGGAACAATGCGGCATTGGGGGACAATGATCAGGGAAGAAGTCGGCCAGGCAAAACGAATTGAGAGAGGGTGGCGTTTCACAAATGTAACAAAAATACGGCGAAATCGATAGAGACGAAATTCAAATCAAAACTTTAACCAGGAGAAAAATTCCAAAACTTTCGCTACGGCAAAAAGCAAAGGTAAAGGCGAAAAAAGGTTATTACATTGTAAAACGCTACCCACTTTTAGGCGCGGCCGCCGCTTTCACCCCGGCCTTGGTCTTCGCGCCGAAGCCTCCACTCGACGCCGTCTTCGCCTTTGACCCTTTCCCCGCTGCCGATATGACGATCCGACGCCGAGGGTTCCATGATCGCTGTTGATGGAATTGCACCCCGAGTTTCTGTGCTTGCGATCGTGGGTTCGATCCAGGCGCGGCTGTGATTTCTGATCGACTGAAGCCGCAGCAAGGACGGCTGCTAAGCGAAAGCATTTCGACGAAGAGCACACAGCGAGATATAAGGGAAACGCTATCAGCGACACGCTTCGTTGGACGTAATCTCGAAGCTTCTAATTAGCAGGACGGAGTGGCAGGCAGATCAGATCAGCTCTCTGGTTTTAGCGGGGGACAGGGTTCCATCGAGTTTCAAGAGGTGTTTCATTCTTCTGTTGTCAATATACATGGTAAGAATTTCGACTATGGCCCGTGTTTTTAGTTGCAGATGCTACTAACGAGTACTCTGTAATCCTTCTGGGCATCGTGGGGTGTACTTGTGTTGCAAGACCAACAATTCTCCCCCAAAAAAGCTTCATCCGAGCCCAGCCCCGCCCAAAACACACAAACCGGCAGCTCCGGCCCGGTTGTCCGAACCTCACTGACGGTTCGCCGTAGGCACCTCCTCCTGATGCCAATTGTCCAACAAACCCGACAAGTTGATCCAATAAACCATTGTGGTTGGATGAAGCTGCTGCTGCTGAGCTGACTGGATGGCAAGCCTGCTGAAATTCGCTATAGTACAGTAGCAGCCGCTTGTTCGTCGTTACAAATTTCAGCGAAACCGACAAACTGTTATTGGCGAATCAAGAAGAGGCAATGCGTGCAGAACGATCATCAAGAAAACGTCGTCCTCTTGTTGGCTTCTGGCTCGCCTTCCCCCCCCCCAACCAGCCAACTGTAGTGGCTAGCTTCTCTCGTCTTACCTGCAGCAGAGGAGGACGAGAGAGTGGGAGAGAGGAGGAATGGCAAGGAGCTTTTTTCGCCGCCCCTCTTTCACTTCACTCAACAAGCCTCCTCATCCTGCACAACTGGACTGAACCGTGAATTGTGCTGTACGGTACAGATGTGTACTCTACGGTTCTTAGTTTTCAGCTTCCGTGGTAGACCGAACTTTCAAATCGAACGAACCAAACCGTTCCAAACCCTTCTTTTCTCTCGTCTTTTTCTGTGTGGTGTCGAGTCGAGCGAGATTCGTGAATCCTGCAGTCACAAGTCACAAGTCCCGTACATCCAAGACTGACAAATCCTTCCCATTCCATTCCAAGTCCCTCTCCCAAACCAAGGACCGAGCATCGACTCAACAACACTCGATGTTGAGCTTGACCAGCACAAGCTGCGACAAGAGGTCGGAGTGGGAGGCTCGAGTGTGGGGAACCTGAGGGGAATCGAAGCACTTATTGCTGTCGTTTGTACGATATCTTCCCACCCTCACAACACAAGAGAACCAGCCCTGCTGGCCGCATGCCCTAATGACTGAATCTCATGCATTGTACCATTAGGATCGCTGTATCCCTCGTCTCCTTCGCTCTCTCCATTCCACCCACACTGGCAAACGCAGACCTCAGCATTTCACAAGCACGACTCAAGTGCACTCTTCATTTGTATCTGGGCCGACTAGTTTCGGTAACGCCTAGCCTCCGCTGGACAAAGAGTTTTGAACCTCGTCGACTTGTCCCTAGAACCCACGAGTCCTAGGTCTAGTGATTCTGGAATTTCGCTTGGTACCTCCACTCTGCCAGTTCACTTTGCCCAAATGAGTCAAGGAGCAGAAATTCTGATTCAGCCGCCTCATCAGCATTTCTCGCCCTTCGCTGGGCCTGGAGAATCCATGGCGATGTATTACCCGTCAATGCCCAACTCGTTCACGACGACCGGTTCTCCTCCCGTCTTTCCCGCTGCCACTCCCGCTAAAGGAGCTCGTACCCGGCCTCTTTCCAACTCATCCATTCAATTTTATCCGCAACCTGCGCCGCCGTCTCAGACAAGCGATTCGGAATATGATGATGTTATCGAAGGGGAGATAGTAAACGACGATTGCGATGACGAGGCGTCGTATTTTTCGCAGGACTTCGCACAGCCTATCGCACCGCCGTTCCAACGCCGTTTGTCCGATCCGCTATCGAGAGTGGAAGAGCATGGTAGCGGCTCGTTCGAAGCCATGGGTGTAATGTCCTGGAATGGGTATGACTCGGTATCCAGTTTCAACTCCGCTATGGAGCAAATCGGTTCCGTTATAGTGTACGAGGACGAGCCGCAGACGCCCGTCCTGGACGGCGAGCCCGTGTACGACTTTTGCGACGTCGAGGGCGACGAAGATGATTTCGACGACGATGCCGACGAAGGCGACGATTACTATTCCCAGTGCGACGAGGATGACGACGACGACGAAGACTGCGTTACGCTCGAAATGGCGGCTTCTGACGTGGAAGTCGCTCCAGGGAACGCGCCCGCTCAGGTTGCCGATTTATACGCCTCCTCGCTTCGTCATCATCAAAATCCTCCATCAGCCAACTTCGCAGCGAGCGCCGCGGCGAACGCGAATGTTGCGGCGAACGTGAATGGCGCAGCCTTTCCGGGCTCCGCGTCTCTGCCTGTCCATTCCGCGACGGTTGCGCCCATAACCACGCGCCAACTTCGAGGAAACCACGCGCGATCGCGGTCAGTCAGTTTTAACGATCATCGGCAGCAGTCCGTCAATTATAACGGTCATAAACGGCAAGACTCCCTCAGTTCTAACAGTCATCAGCAGCAGCAGTCCTTCAGTCCCAACGGTCATCAACGGCAAAACTCCCTCAGTTCTAACGGTCATCGGCGCCAGCTGTCCATCAGTTCGAACGGTCACCAGCGCCAAAATTCCGTCAGTTCTAACGGTCATCGGCGCCAGCTGTCGGGATCCGCCCTTTCAACGGGCAGTTTTGCCAGCAACGCCACAGGTGGCTGCAATCCCGCCAGTGGCCGCAGCGCCGCGAGGAGCGGCAGCGGCGGCAGCGGAACCGGCGACAGCGGACAGCGCAAGATGCGCAAGGCCGGCACTATGCCAAACGAGCGGTCGCACGGACGGGGGAGCCTCGCCGCGTCCGCCGCCGCGGTCGCCGCAACCACCGCTTCCGGAGCCCCGTGGGGGGGCGCCAACTACGGCAGCGTAGGCGGCGGCTCCGCATCGTTTCCCCGCAACACTCGCGGCAAGCGCGTGCTTGTAAAAGCCACTAGCATGCCGCCTGCCGCCGAATCCCGTCGCCCATCCAGTGGCGCTGGCAGCGCAACGAGCGGGGGCTCCGCCAGAACCCCCCGCCTTCCTGCCGGCCGCATGCAGCAGCGCCTGCAGGTTTTTCCGCCGACCCACGCGCCAGGACATGCAGCAGCGCAGCCTTCCCCCAGAGGGCGGTCATTGTCTGCAAAATCCCCGCGCGTCCCGTCGAAATCCCCCCGCGCGCCCTCCGCCGCGCCGCACGGTGTCGTGCAGGTGTCTTTCGCCTCCCCGCGTTCTTTCCGAGGAAGTGCGGGGATACCTGGTCCGCCCAACCAGCATCAGCTGCGCGCACTCGCGCATTCCCACTCTCTCCCGCCGCAGTCCCCCGCCAGCGCCGCCCGCGCAGCAGCCGCCGTAGCAAACGTGAAGGCAAGCGCATTTCCAAAGAGCCCCTCGGTAGCAATGAGCGGAAAGCCTTCTAGCGGAAGCGGACCGGCGCAAGGGCAGGTGCGTGCAGGCGCGGGGAGGGATTTCGCCCCGCGAACGCCACGTCAGCTGAGCGTTGCCGGCCAGTGTAATCGCTCCGGCCCTGCGCTTTCAGCTGCGCTCCTCCCCGTGAGTCACGCGCTTCCGCTTAGATCACAGTCGAGCTCGCGCTCGTTAAACTCACACTCACCACAGCAACAGCAGCAGCAGCGGCCGCAGATACGGAAACCGAAACTGGCTCCTCTTGATATCACAGGCATTCAAGACGAGTCTCCAGAGGATGATCTGAGCCCATCTGTGTACCCGCTACAATCGGAACCAGTACAGGTGCAGCATAGCAGGCAGCCGAGCCAGAGTCAGGAGGCTAAGCAACCGCTAAAAGGAATACTTAAATCAAGCAAGGTTCAGCCGGAGCCTAACGTGGGGGAGCAGCGGGAGGGGGGGGAGCAACGGGACGGGGGATCTGAGCGGAAAACGGCAGCAGCGCTACGGCGAAGCGGAAGTTCGGAAGCGGTTCACAAATTGGGGGGAAACGCGGAAAGAGCGAGGGAGAAAGTGGAAGGCGCAGTGGGAGCGGAGAGAACCGCGGGGAAAAGCGGAGAACCGTGTGTGCAATTTGAAGAGAGTTCCTTGGCGCGGAAAGGAAGTGGCAAGGTTGCGGAGGAGAGTAGGCTTCGTGCTGCTGTAGCGAAAGGGCAGGAGCGGAAGCTAAAAGCGGAGAAGTCTGTTAAGGGGACAGTTGCCAAGGAGAAGGGGAGTGGGGTTACCAGGAAAGTGTCACGTGAGGGGAAGGGCAAAGAGGAAGTGGCATCACCAGTTATGGCGAAGCAGTGCCTACTGCCTTGGTTATCTAAGAAGGCATAACCCTAACCCGCTGGACTGAAGCTTAACAAGCCTCTGTGCATAAACTGAATCTGAGCCTTGGATTGGTTAGAGGTGCTTACTCTGGTAGTCTTCGTTGAGTGGTTTGGTGGTAGAGTCCTGGCCTTAACAGTTTAGGTCTGCAACCCACTAAGCCAGTGTCCCTCTACGTGGACTAACGTGCTCCATGCTGACTGATTGCCTTGCCTAATGAACCATTGTGTCAACACAGGTTGGCACATGTGGAAATTTGACTCTAATTGGAATGCACTTGTCAAGATTCAGTTTAAAAACTTCAGAATGTTAGATATTACTTCTATAGAAAGAATGGTTATTTGTCATGCCTATAGTGTGAAAGCATGGCTATTTGTCATACTATCAGTTTCTGGAACAGTCTGCTCTATCTATTGCATTATCGAATCTTCAGGGCGCTGGACAGAATGTGGCCCAGTGATTTGCGCCGCACAGAGGTGTTTGGGTAGGGTACTGCGCGGTTACAAGCTTTCAGACGCCCTCAGGTACCTTGAGATTTCCGAGGTGCAGATGCAGTCCAGTCGAAGTAGGTAGCAACTTCATGTTCTCAATATCAACTCCATAGCTCCTAGTTATCAACGGTACCGAATTGCAAAACTGGAGATTCACTTACGTACCGCGGGTTCTTCACCGCGTTTCGCGCATCCAAACGGTGCTCGTTTTTTTGTGTTCACGAAACAACGATATCAGTGCTCTTCGTAGGAATGTTTAGATGCCTTTTATGAGCTGCACCACCTAGTTTCGAGGCGGCTGCTAGTCAGATGATTGTGTGAATGAGTAGCTATGGAACTTAGCTAAATATTGTGATGGACCCTCTCTCCTCAGTCAAATTTCGGTGGGTTTTTTCGTTGTGATTAGATTCCGAAAGTTTAGCAGTTTGCATGCTATGGCAGTCCATTTAACTGGCGGTTCGCCGTCGCACGCGTCTCCAGGAGACTCTCACTCGAAGCGCAGTAAGGGAATCAATTACCGTGCTCAGATCAATCGGTTCCTCGTGTCCGTGATCGGCGGAGTTGGAAGCGGCGGACCTGCCGGATCGCGACATAGAAGGGTTCAAGTTGGTCTCGCCCTCGCCGCAATCACGTTCCTGTATGGTCACTCTCGAGCGCCTAAATAATTCAAATTTTGTGGTCCTGGTGCGTAACGATACAATCTTGAAAGCAGTTGTGGCGGAGCCTCGTCGGAGTCAGCCTTTCCAACTTCTCTCCGCACTGCACGTGTCATGTTGCAGTTGGTTCACACTCTTTGTCGCGCACATAGAATCCCCACAATCTCCCCCAACATACTTCCCCCACGTCTTCCTCCCGCCTCTCCCGACCCCACCCTCCGCCGCTCTTCTACCGCAGATGGCTCGCGCTCGACTGCTGGCTGCTGCCGTGCCGTTCAGAGGCCTTTCCCTCCTTCACATTTCACATAGTTTCCTACCCACCCACACAGATGCCCCCTTCCCCTTCCCCCTTTGCCTCCCCCGATTCCACCTACACACACACCGTGGCTCCCCTATTGCAGATGGCTCACGCTCGGCCGCTGATGTTTTGAGTCGACTCAAAACACCGCTGGCTCCCTTACACACCGTGGCTGGCTCCCCTATTGCAGATATCTGACGCTCGGCCGCTGGTTGCTGCCGTTCACCTGCTCGTTCCCCCATCATTGTCCCCGTTCATCGTTGCCCACCCACCTACTTATACCCCCTTTCCCTTCTCCCTCCTCTCTCTCCACACCCCCCCCGCCCCCCCCAAAACACCCTTACCCTTCACCGTGGCCCTTGCAGATGGCTCACGCTCGGCTGCTGGTTGCTGCCGTTCACCTGCCCGTTCCCCCGAGGAGGCCGCATCCACAAGCGGGTTAAGGTAAATTTCCAGTCCAATCCAATTTAGATGACGGGCACGAGAGGGAAGGTGGGTCTGTTCTATCCTTCCTCTTTCATTCCTTGGAAAAGCATCCAGAAGCTGGGCCTAATTCTGAGGCGCCTGGGTCTGTTCTATCCTTCCTCTTTCATTTGAAAAGGCATCCAGAAGCTGGGCCTACTTCTGAGGCGCCTCAAAAGGGAAGGGTGCTTGGATCTGTTCTATCCATCCTCTTTCATTCCCTGAACAGGCATCCAGAAGATGGGTAATAGTAAGAGTTCAGTTTATCTTTCTCACTGTGTGCAGCACAGCTCAGCATGCACCCGTATGAACCCTTATTGCCCGCCCGGTGCATACGGGTGCATGCGGAGTTCATACGGGCAATAGTAAGAGTTCAGTTGATCTTTCTCACCGTGCGCAACTCAGCATGCACCCGTATGAACCCTGATTGCACGGTGCATACGGAGTTCCTCGCCCCTTCTTCGTTCTCTGTCGCCTAGCCAGCCTGCCAGTTTCACATCGGTCTTTTTCGATTCAACTGCCAGCTGCTGGTCCCCACCGTTTCCTTTCTCCCCGCCTTTCACCCCGCTTTCCAGCCTGCCAACCTCTCATCGGATATTCCTGATCGTCAGCTGCCAGACGCCAATACTACGGCATGCTGAGTCGACTCATCAGTCACAGCTTCCCTTTTCCCATCCCTTCTCCCCGCCTTTCGCCCCATTCTCGCCAGCCTGCCAATTTCACGTCGGATATTTTCAACCGCCAGCTTCCAGACGCCATTACCACGGCACTCAAGCAGCCGTGGAAAAAACAGGTGAGCAGGACTGATTGGAGTGCTGACGTGGACGAATGCAGGGTGAGTAGGATCCATCAGGTGTGACTAGGATTGATCAGGTGTGACTAGGATCGATCAGGTGTGACTATGATCGATCAGGTGTGACTAGGATCGGTCACGGCCAATCAGTTGACATGGGCATGCTGGTTGACGTGGCAAGTGCAGGTGAGGCTGGCTGGATGACGTGGGAAACTCAGTTTACCATGAATTCGTTTCTTTATCTGTAAAATGCGCTCTGCCTAAACCCTGACGACTATTCATCTGCCCGCCCCCCACTACACGTACCGCAGCCTTTCAAGGTGTTTTTTGAGGATTCTTAAAACCACCCTGCAACATTAGTTTCCTTCTGCCCGCCCCCCACTGGATGTACCGCAGCCTTACACGACACCAGCGAACATCAATACTCCTTTCCGTCCCTCCAATTTTCCTCCCCTCCCTTTCCCCTCCCTCTCCCCTGTGTCTCCTTTGCATGTCTCCTCTTGGTTTTCCTCCCCAGCCCATCCCAGTGGTGGTGGTTCACCAGCAGCCGTCAGGCTCAGTGGCCTGCCGCCCCTCCCACTTCATGGCGCGGCACCGCAACCATCTCACTGCATGCTCGTTCCCTCCCCGCCCCCGTTCCCTCTCTTGTCGGCCCCGCCCAGCCCATTCCAGTGGTGGTGGTTCATCAGCAGCCGTCAGGCTCGGTCGCCTGCTGCCCCTCCCACTACATGCACCGCAACCTGCGCCACACGCGGCACCACACAAGCTCTCCTCTCCCTCTTTCCTCTCCTCTTGCCTTTGCCCCACACGCCCTTCTCCCCCCTCCCAGCCCATCCCAGTGGTGGTGGTGCATCAGCAGCCGTCAGGCTCAGTGGCCTGCCGCCCCTAGCACTACATGCCTCGCAACCTGCGCCACACGCGGCACCACACAGGCTCTCCTCTCCCTCTCTCCTCTCCTCTTGCCTTTGCCCCACACGCCCTTCTCCCCCCTCCCAGCCCATCCCAGTGGTGGTGGTGCATCAGCAGCCGTCAGGCTCAGTGGCCTGCCGCCCCTCCCACTACATGCCTCGCAACCTGCCCTGTGCCACAAGCGGCAGCCCACATGCCCTCTCTCTCCCCTGCATCTCCCCTACGTGTCTCCCTTTGTTTCCCCCACCAGCCCATTCCAGTGGTGGTAGTCCACCAGCAGCCGTCAGGGTCAGTGGCCTGCCGCCCCTCGCACTTCATGCACCGCAACCTGCGCCACACGCGGCAGCGCAACGCAGTGGTGTATTTCATCGGGCCCGACAGCGACGAGTGTGTGGAGATGGCGAGGGAGCTGGATATCGTTCTCGACCCAGTGATAGGGTACCAAGACGTGGTTGGCTGGTTCTCTGCTAACCTCGGAGATCCTGTGTCTTATCAGGTGCGTTCAATGGCATGCTGTGATGCTCTATCAACTACTCTCTCAACGGCAACGCGGTGGTGTAATTCAGCAAGCTGCCTCCGCCACACTCAGCAGCGCAACGCAGTGGTGTATTTCATCGGGCCGGACAGCGACGAGTGTGTGGAGATGGCGAGGGAGCTGGATATCGTTTTGGACCCCGTCATTGGGTATCAAGATGTCGTTGGCTGGTTCTTTCTCGGCCAATCTGGTTGACCCTGTGTCCTGGTATCAGATCAGGTAGGCTTACAGGTGCCTCAGGCTCAGGAGGTGAGAAGCAGACCTAAAGATACATCAGGGCCCTGGGTTAAGGAGGTTAGTGTACCTGAGGTCCCCTTACCGTAAGGTCCCCTTTCTCATCCATTCACCCATATGTCCCCGTGTGTCTCTCGTCAACCCCAACCCCCCTCCCCCTCAGGTGCGCTGGTTCGTCCTCAAGGCCTTCATGGAGCGCCATGCCTTTCCGCACATCTTCTTCCTTCTTACCCCGTCACCCTGTCTGTCCCGTTGTGTCTCCCATCTCCCCTTCTCCCCCCAACTCCCTCAGGTGCGCTGGTTCATCCCAAAGGCCTTCATGGAACGCCATGCCTTCTGTCTTCTCCCCTCATCTCCGCTTACCCTCATGTATCTCATGTCAACTCCCTCTTTCTCTCCCTTCCCTTACTCTCCCCCCCCTTTCCCCCCCAACTCCCTCAGGTGCGCTGGTTCATCCTGAAGGCCTTCATGGAGCGCCATGCCTTTCCGCGCATCTTCTTCCTCGACTCGGACGTCATCCTCTTTGCCAACATCACTGAGCTCGCCACCATGCTGTTTTCAAGGGTGCACCTCGTGGTGTCGCAGCGCTGGCCCAGGTACGAGTGGGTGCGTAGGTATGGGTGCATAGGTATGGGTGCGTAAGTATGGGTGCATAGGTATGGGTGCGTAGGTATGGGTGCGTAGGTGTGGGTGCGTAGGTGTGGGTGCGTAGGTGTGGGTGCGTAGGTATGGGTGCGTAGGTATGGGTGCATAGGTATGGGTGCGTAGGTATGGGTGCGTAGGTGTGGGTGCATAGGTCTGGGTGCGTAGGTGTGGGTGCGTAGGTATGGGTGCGTAGGTATGGGTGTGTAGGTATGGGTGCGTAGGTGTGGGTGCGTAGGTGTGGGTGCGTAGGTATGGGTGCGTAGGTATGGGTGCGTAGGTGTGGGTGCGTAGGTGTGGGTGTGTAGGTGTGGGTGCGTAGGTATGGGTGCATAGGTATGGGTGCGTAGGTATGGGTGCGTAGGTGTGGGTGCATAGGTCTGGGTGCGTAGGTGTGGGTGCGTAGGTATGGGTGCGTAGGTATGGGTGTGTAGGTATGGGTGCGTAGGTGTGGGTGCGTAGGTGTGGGTGCGTAGGTATGGGTGCGTAGGTATGGGTGCGTAGGTATGGGTGCGTAGGTGTGGGTGCGTAGGTATGGGTGCATAGGTATGGGTGCGTAAGTATGGGTGCGTAGGTATGGGTGTGTAGGTATGGGTGCGTAGGTATGGGTGCGTAGGTATGGGTGCGTAGGTATGGGTGCGTAGGTGTGGGTGCGTAGGTGTGGGTGCGTAGGTGTGGGTGCGTAGGTATGGGTGCGTAGGTATGGTTGCGTAGGTATGGGTGCGTAGGTATGGGTGCGTAGGTGTGGGTGCGTAGGTGTGGGTGCGTAGGTATGGGTGCGTAGGTATGGGTGCGTAGGTATGGGTGTGTAGGTGTGGGTGCGTAGGTATGGGTGCATAGGTATGGGTGCGTAAGTATGGGTGCGTAGGTATGGGTGCGTAGGTATGGGTGCGTAGGTATGGGTGCGTAGGTATGGGTGCGTAGGTATGGGTGCGTAGGTGTGGGTGCGTAGGTATGGGTGCATAGGTATGGGTGCATAGGTATGGGTGCGTAGGTGTGGGTGCATAGGTCTGGGTGCGTAGGTGTGGGTGCGTAGGTATGGGTGCGTAGGTATGGGTGCGTAGGTATGGGTGCGTAGGTGTGGGTGCGTAGGTGTGGGTGCGTAGGTATGGGTGCGTAGGTATGGGTGCGTAGGTGTGGGTGTGTAGGTATGGGTGCGTAGGTATGGGTGCGTAGGTATGGGTGCGTAGGTTTGTAGGTGTTCGGGGTGGTGGTTATGGTGCGGGGTGTATGGCCATCTTTTTCCTCGACTCGGACGTCATCCTCTTCGCCAATGTCACAGAGGTCACAGAGGTCGCCACCAGGCTGTTCTCGAGAGTTCACCTGGTGGTGTCGCAGCGCTGGCCCAGGTATGGTTGGGTGTTCAGTTGTGGGGGGGTATGCGTGTGGGGTATAGGGGCGTCTTTTTCCTCGACTCGGACGTCATCCTCTTCGCCAACGTCAGACCTCGCCACCAGGCTCTTCTCGAGAGTCCACCTGGTGGTGTCGCAACGCTGGCCCAGGTACACTGCTGTGCATGGGTATGGAGGGTGCCAGTATGGGCGTGGATGTGTCGGTGCCTCTTCGCCAACGTCACAGACCTCGCCACCAGGCTCTTCTCGTGAGTTCATCTGGTGGTGTCGCAGCGCTGGCCCAGGTACGAGTGGGATGGGTGCAGCGGCTCCTTAGGTAATGGCGGCATGGGTTATACGTATCGGAGGCATGGGCACAGGTGTGTGGATGCCTATTTGCCAACGTCACTGCACTCGCCACCATGCTGTTTTCCCGCATGCACCTGGTGGGTGTCCCAGCGCTGTCTACTTTTGAGGCGCCTCAAAAGTCGTCGCCATTCTCCTTTCCTGCATGTATCTGGTGGCTGTCCCAGCGCTGGCCCAGGTATGGGTGGGGTGGGATACAGCGCGTCTCACGCTTCGCACTGTACCCCCTGGTACCCCTCACGCCAACGTCGAGGGTGCGCACGTCACGTGCTCGTCACTTGTGCTCTGAGTGCCCCGCACTATTGGAGCCCCGCACTATTGGAGCCCCGCACTATCGGAGCCCCGGGCCCCAGCCAGCCAAAACTAGTTACCGCAATTATTCCTTTACACAAGGTTTTCAAAGCAAGTTTTAACACACACTAAACAAACAGTTTGCTAAAAGCTGCTGCTGCCACGCAAAGACCATGACTCCTGTTTGGGGTTGGATTGCATGTGCTCCTCACTTGTGCTCTGAGTGCCCCGAACTATCGGAGCCCCGCACTATTGGAGCCCCGCACTATCGGAGCCCCGAGCCCCAGCCAGCCAAAACTAGTTACGGCAATTATTCCTTTACACAAGGTTTTCAAAGCAAGTTTTAACACACACTAAACAAACAGTTTGCTAAAAGCTGCTGCTGCCACGCAAAGACCATGACTCCTGTTTGGGGTTGGATTGCACGTGCTCGTCACTTGTGCTCTGAGTGCCCCGCACTATTGGAGCCCCGCACTATTGGAGCCCCGCACTATCGGAGCCCCGGGCCCCAGCCAGCCAAAACTAGTTACCGCAATTATTCCTTTACACAAGGTTTTCAAAGCAAGTTTTAACACACACTAAACAAACAGTTTGCTAAAAGCTGCTGCTGCCACGCAAAGACCATGACTCCTCTTTGGGGTTGGATTGCACGTGCTCCTCACTTGTGCTCTGAGTGCCCCGCACTATCGGAGCCCCGCACTATTGGAGCCCCGCACTATCGGAGCCCCGGGCCCCAGCCAGCCAAAACTAGTTACCGCAATTATTCCTTTACACAAGGTTTTCAAAGCAAGTTTTAACACACACTAAACAAACAGTTTGCTAAAAGCTGCTGCTGCCACGCAAAGACCATGACTCCTGTTTGGGGTTGGATTGCACGTGCTCCTCACTTGTGCTCTGAGTGCCCCGCACTATCGGAGCCCCGCACTATTGGAGCCCCGCACTATCGGAGCCCCGGGCCCCAGCCAGCCAAAACTAGTTACCGCAATTATTCCTTTACACAAGGTTTTCAAAGCAAGTTTTAACACACACTAAACAAACACTTTGCTAAAAGCTGCTGCTGCCACGCAAAGACCATGACTCCTGTTTGGGGTTGGATTGCACGTGCTCCTCACTTGTGCTCTGAGTGCCCCGCACTATCGGAGCCCCGCACTATTGGAGCCCCGCACTATCGGAGCCCCGGGCCCCAGTCAGCCAAAACTAGTTACCGCAATTATTCCTTTACACAAGGTTTTCAAAGCAAGTTTTAACACACACTAAACAAACACTTTGCTAAAAGCTGCTGCTGCCACGCAAAGACCATGACTCCTGTTTGGGGTTGGATTGCATGTGCTCCTCACTTGTGCTCTGAGTGCCCCGCACTATCGGAGCCCCGCACTATTGGAGCCCCGCACTATCGGAGCCCCGGGCCCCAGCCAGCCAAAACTAGTTACCGCAATTATTCCTTTACACAAGGTTTTCAAAGCAAGTTTTAACACACACTAAACAAACACTTTGCTAAAAGCTGCTGCTGCCACGCAAAGACCATGACTCCTGTTTGGGGTTGGATTGCACGTGCTCCTCACTTGTGCTCTGAGTGCCCCGCACTATCGGAGCCCCGCACTATCGGAGCCCCGGGCCCCAGCCAGTACGCATCTGTGTCTCGCATCCTTTTAAATTTCAGGTTGCCTGTACGTGTGATGTTCTCGCGTGCTCTGGATGTCCTCTCATCCTTTCCACTCCCCTCGCCATCCCTTCATCCTCCCTTTTGCCCCGTTTTCTATCTGCCCCCGCTCCCTCTCAGTCTCCGAGCGCCAGGTCCCAGCCAGTATGCGTCCACAGCAGTGAGCGGCCACGTGTCCCTCTGGACGTACGATGCCCTCTCTGACTGTTCCCTCTCCCCTTCCTTCCCCCCTTCCCTCACCCATTCCTTAACAGTCTTCGTGCCCCAGGCCCCAGCCAGTATGCGTCCACAGCAGTGAGTGGGCACGTGTCCCTCTGGACGTACGATGCTCTCTCTGACTTCCTCGACTTCTTCCAGCTGTTTGTTCAGGTATGCGCTCAGGTGTTGGTCAGGTGCTGCTCTGTTGGTGTTCAGATGCTGCTCTGTTGGTCCTCAGGTGCTGCTCTGTTGGTGAACATGCTCATAGCGACATGGTGGCTGGCTGTTGCTTGTTTCCCCATTTCTTTCTTTCGTCTCACCTAAGGAAGCAATTATGTACGGCCAACCAGGCCGTTGAAGCTCCTAATAAAGCTCCAATAGCCATTCCCCTACTATCCCGCTCCGCATTCCTTCTTCCTCTCATCCAGGAAGCAACGCTGCATTGAGGTGGTTTTTGAGGCGCCTCAAAAACCACCTCGCTCCACATTCCTTCTTCCTCTCATCCAGGAAGCAACGCTGCATTGAGGTGGTTTTTGAGGCGCCTCAAAAACCACCTCGCTCCACATTCCTTCTTCCTCTCATCCAGGAAGCAACGCTGCATTGAGGTGGTTTTGAGGCGCCTCAAAAACCACCTCGCTCCGCATTCCTTCTTCCTCTCATCCAGGAAGCAACGCTGCATTGAGGTGGTTTTTGAGGCGCCTCAAAAACCACCTCGCTCCACATTCCTTCTTCCTCTCATCCAGGAAGCAACGCTGTACGGGCAGCCTGGTGATGCGCGGCTTGTAGCGGAGCGTGCTTATAACAGCAATGTAACTACTACTATCACATTGCCCCCCTCTCTTGTTGTCCTCTCTAGGAAGCAACCCTGTACGGGCAACCTGGCGATGCACGGCTTGTAGCGGAGCGTGCTTATAACGACATGGTGGTGCTGGGCTGGTACACGCACAGGATCTGCTGGATGAAAAACCCTCAGAACCTGCACCCCCAGGTATGATGAGTAGATATGCAGCATGCTTGGGCCCCGGCATCCCCATGTGTGCTTATAACGACATGGTGGTGCTGAGCTGGTACACGCACAGGATCTGCTGGATGAAAAACCCCCAGAACCTGCACCCCCAGGTAAATTTGAAACCCTACACCCTGGTTGATCAGAGCCCAGAACCTGCATGTATGAGTAATATGTATACATTGGGTGCTGGGATGGTACACTCACACGGTGTGCTGGATGAAGAACCCCCAGAAACCTGCACCCACAGGTGTGGTTGAATCTACACCCGAAGGTATGGTTGCTATTGTCCTGACACCCTCTCTACACGTGCTTGCAATGACATGGTGGTGCTGGGATGGTACACTCACACGGTGTGCCGGATGAAGAACCCCCAGAAACCTGCACCCACAGGTGTGGTTGAATCTACACCCGAAGGTATGGTTGCTATTGTCCCGACACCCTCTCTACACGTGCTTGCAATGACATGGTGGTGCTGGGATGGTACACTCACACGGTGTGCCGGATGAAGAACCCCCAGAAACCTGCACCCACAGGTGTGGTTGAATCTACACCCGAAGGTATGGTTGCTATTGTCCTGACACCCTCTCTACACGTGCTTGCAATGACATGGTGGTGCTGGGATGGTACACTCACACGGTGTGCCGGATGAAGAACCCCCAGAAACCTGCACCCACAGGTGTGGTTGAATCTACACCCGAAGGTATGGTTGCTATTGTCCTGATACCCTCTCTACACGTGCTTGCAATGACATGGTGGTGCTGGGATGGTACACTCGCAGGGTGTGCCGGATGAAGAACCCCCAGAAACCTGCACCCACAGGTGTGGCTGAGTCTACATCCACAGGCATGAATAGGTACGCCGCATGCGTGTGCCCCTACATCTCTATTTGTGCTTATAACGACAGGGTGGTGCTGGGATGGTACACGCACACGGTGTGCTGGATGAAGAACCATCAGAAACCTGCACCCACAGGTACTATTCTTACATCCAGAAGTATGGTATAATCGTCTCCCTTGATGCTTGACTTTGTTACAGTATTTGCTGGATGAGGAACCCCCACAACTTGGTCCCACAGGTGTGGTTAGTTATAGTGCAACACCTGCAGGTATTAGTAATGAATCCAACTTTTCGTTTCTCCCACCCTCCTTCCCTGTTTCCCCGTTTTAACTCCCATCCCCTTCCCTGTTTTTCCGTTTTGACTCCCACCCGCGCACTCCCCCGCCCATCAGAGTGCATCTGTGACAAGGAGAGTGGGGTCACTCCCGAGCGGTCAGCGCGCATACGGGGGAAGTTCACACCCAAGTTTCAGGGCGACTCGTTTGCAACGCCCCTGTGGTAGCTGGTGCCATGCCTCCCTTTCATCCTCCCCTTCCTGCCTCCCTTCCCTCCCCTCTGTCCCTTCCCACCCCGCCCCTCCCATCAGTGCATCTGTGACAAGGAGAGTGGGGTCACTCCCGAGCGGTCAGCGCGCATACGGGGGAAGTTCACACCCAAGTTTCGGGGCGACTCGTTTGCAACGCCCCTGTGGTAGCTGGTGCCATGCCTCCCTTTCATCCTCCCCTTCCTGCCTCCCTTCCCTCCCCTCTGTCCCTTCCCACCCCGCCCCTCCCATCAGTGCATCTGTGACAAGGAGAGTGGGGTCACTCCCGAGCGGTCAGCGCGCATACGGGGGAAGTTCACACCCAAGTTCCGGGTCGACTCGTTTGCAACGCCCCGCTGGTGCAACGCCACAGACTGGTGGGACGAGGGGTGGTGCGTCTTTGATAACAACTTCTCCATCCAGGTGAGAACTTGACTTCTCGACAGAGCATAGCAGGTTTCCTGTATGGAAAATGACTGGTTTCTCTTACTGGTGGGACAAGGGGTGGTGTGTCTTCAATAGCTACTTATTTATTCAGGTAAGAACAGAGCCGCATCAGCTGTTGACAATGTTTTAGGGGCTCAAAAGCCTTTGATAACATAGCATATGCACACACTTGAGTGACAGGGCCAAGGACTGCGAGAAGCAGAGGTCGCCGGTTCAATTCCTGCGACTGCGTTCTCCCCTGCAGTCGCCCACTCAGTTCTTTAAGTACCGGCCTCAGGACGGCATGAAGTGCCCATCGCCGATGCACTACACTCACTTTGACGACTGGACCAAGGAGGGCAAGAAGTAGACTTCGCGAGTTCAATTCCTGCTGCTGCACCTTCCTGTTCTTCTCACTGCTCCCCTCCCCCCCCCCCTTCCCCTGCAGACGCCCACTCAATTCTTTAAGTATCGGCCTCAGGACGGCATGAAGTGCCCCTCTTCTATGCACTACACTCATTTTGACGACTGGGCCAAGGAAGGGGAGAAGCAGACGTCGCCGGTTCAATTCCTGGGAGTGCACTTACAGGCGCACAGAAAGGGGTACCTCACAAGGGGGGATGACCCAGCAGCCACATGGGGTTCGAGCCCTGACTGATAATGTGATGTGAAGTAACTGGCTATGAATGTTACCTGATTATGTTGCCTGCAAAGCTTTCTCACAATGTCTGAAGTGATCAATGTATCTGCTTGCAGTCACATCCATTTGTAAATGGCATTTCAGCTTTAGACAGTACCTCTGCTATATGAATTGTTCATTCCGTTTTTTGAACGTGCAACGGAGCAACTTTATCGAGTACAAGTAATCTTTGGCTGTAGCAAGCCGGTGCCTCGGTGTCATGTCTTGAGGAACCTGGGAACTCGCATACTTTGACCTGGTATGGTTCGGTAATCCATGGTTGAACGTTTTAGATGTTCACGAACCATTCTCAAACGCTCTTAAACGCATTGGACCGTGGTGTTGCGTTGCGTCACATTCTGGGAATGCATCAGATGTCCACCATCTCTTGCTTACCTTGACTCGTGACATATTTCCATTGCTGCTAGGTTCTCACTTCCAGTTTTCGTTGTGCCATGGCGTTTCTGAGTGAAGCGAGTATGATCTACTAGGTTTTGAGAAATAAAAGTAGTGTCTTTCTTCTCTAATCAGATGTTTCCTTTCGGACACAGTATTGCTAGGACGTCTTGAAAAGAACGACTTTTCTTAGATTCCATTTTCGTTTTCACAAGATTTTCTTTCGAACGCTGGTTCCGTAAGTTTCGTCACGCTAGTCCCTGCCTCTTGACAGCTACAAAAATGTCTGGTCTACCCGACGACGTCGCTGCTTCGAGCAGCAGCACTAAACCGGCGAAGGCTCCAGTTCCAGAAGAATTGAGCAGCACTGGTAACATCAGCATCGCCGACACCGAAGCAGATTCAGACTCCATGACCAAGCCGCTCGTCTCTCGCCGGGACGACGACGAAGACGACGACGAAAACGGTGATAACGACGAAGAGACTGGCGGATTGACAGGAGCGAAGACAGGACGATCAGCCATGGCCAAATTCTCCGAGGAAACCGGCGAAAGCGGGGAAAGCGGTCGTTTTGGCGCCGGCGGTCATCTGAATCTGGACGCTTCCGCGTCTGTGTTCAACGCATCTGAGCGTCCCATTCGCGAGCCGGTCTGGGCCGGAGCTTTCATAATCTGCGCGTCGGTTTTCGTTCTGCGGGAGTTCTCCTGGTTCATCCGACCGTTGCTGTCCCTTAACTCCTTCGCGTCGCGTTTCTTCTCTCTCGAAGCGCTCTCCGCGCTTGCCATCGCCTTGGTGTCGATCTTCCCGACCGTGTTCGTTTTCCTTGTCTGCGTTAGAAGGATGTCCGTTAAGCTCGTCAAGTGGTGCCTCAGAGTTACTGTAGCGTTCTTCGTTATTCACAGCCTCATGGCGCTTCACACGCCGCCTCCGCCGCCGCCGGGATCCCCGGCGGCTCCTGCGGCGCCTGACGCGCCCCCACAGTCCGCGATTTCCGGGGTTCCCTTATCCACATCCACGTCAGCAGCCGCGCATGGGGGTATCGGCGGCCAATCAGCGGCGAGCATTTTGGAGTCTGCGGCTCCGTTCTCCATGTCACGTTTCCTACGTGACACGTCAGCAGACGGGCCTCACATCCACGTCATCACTGCCACGGCTGCCAATCACCTCGCTGCTTATCTCAACAGGCGAAAGCTCCAGGAAGCTGCAGAACCAGTGCCAGCACAAAATCCGAACCAGCTCGTACCCCCACCTCCTGGACCTGACCCCAACGCAAACTACGTTCTCAGTCTTGAAATGTTCCTAACAGATTTACTTAACGGATTGGCCGTTCTCGCAGTGCTACTGGTCTGCAGGGACTACCACCCTCTTTCCTCCACTGTGATTGGTCGAGCCTCCCAGGCTGTGATGACCCGAGCCCGGGGCCTCATAGTGGGGGTGGCGATCTTTTCCTTCCTCTGCATCGTCCTGTTTGTACCCGTTATAGCCAGCCTCGTTGAGCTGGTTTTCTCCTGCAGGTTCTTAATGCAACAGGACCCGCTGTTTGGATCGCCTGATTCGCCGTTTCATGCCCAGGAGGAGAGATGTGTCTTATGGGGTGACACTATAGCGGTTCAGCACTGGCTGTCACCACTCGCTGTAATCTTCCTCTTTATAGGCATCTGGATGGCGTATCAAATCGGCGTGACTCTCCAGTTCATTGCCGCAGCTACAGTAGCGCAGATCTACAGTAACGGCGACTCCAACCAATCAGACAACGCCACCAGCAGCAGCAGGGAGGGGAGCTTGCGAGACGAAGCAGGAGGGTGGTTTGATCGAGACGCCCTGGTGGATCGATGGAATGTAGTGGCTCGGGCAGTCAAGCTGGCTTACTCTTCTTCTATGGGAACTATCTGTCTCGTCAGCTTTATCCTGACGCTGGCAACGGTGGTGTCTGTGCTGCTGAATGTTCTCGTGATTTGGCTGTTCGGGATGTCGGCGATTGTTGTGGTGCCACGTGTCGCGATCGCATTCGCTCTCTTCATCTTCACGTATTTCTTCACCTGGTAAGTCAAGCCGCGTGAAACTGCCTCATGCCCTCATGCCCTCACTTGTCCCATATGGTTCTCTTCTCCTCTCCTGCCACTCTCTGTGCCTACCTTTTCTAAGGCCCAGGGCATGTAAAGAACTTTCATGTCATGTTTCTTTACCATCCTGTCACGTGCCATCATTTCATGTGTCTGCCACTCCCCCCCCTCCCCACTCCCACCTCTCCCTCCTCCCCTGCTCCGGCTCCTTCCTTCCATCATCGCTCGGGCATCTACCCCCTCCCTCCCCTATCCCACTTCTCTCCTCCCCGCCAGGTTCGTGGTGGTGGTGGCAGCGATATCAGGCCACGGCTCACGCAGTTCGCTCGGTCACTCTGCCTCTCTGCTGCGCAACCACTTCAAGTGCCTTCTCCTAATTCCCTCCGCATCTCACCCCTCCCCAATTCCTCCTTCCCCCCAGGTTCGTGGTGGTGGTGGCGGCCATATCAGGCCACGGCTCGCGCCGCTCGCTCGCGCTCTCCACTTCTCTGCTGCGCAACCACTTCAAATCCGCCGTCGCTGTCAACCTCACCGCCAAGTGCATCCTCGGAGTTATTTCAACCGTCGTCACCCTTCTTCTCCTCCTCTTCCTTGTAAGCCCTGTCTACCTGCCTGCCTGCTCGCCCGCCCGCCTGCCTGTCCGCCTCCCGGTGGTTCTCGCTGTCGTGTCGGCAACAGTCTTCTCTTTTAAGCTCATTTCTGCCCCTCATCATTTTCACTCATCTCTTTCACCCAGCTCCCCCTACATTCAATCCTCATGCTGCTGCTTTTCGGCCATCTCCTAAAGTCCGACACCATCCAGGCCCTCTTTGTCTTCCTCCCCGTCTCTCTCTTGCTGTCGGCATCACTGCCTTCTCCTTCAAGCTCGTATTTATGCCGTCGTCCACCGTGTCTCATTATCTCCCCTGCTTTCCAGTAATCAACCTCCACTGCACCCCCCACCCCCCCCCCCCCCCCCCCCCCCACTTCCCCCATTTCCTGTCTGTCCTTTTTTCTCTCCATTCCCGCCCCTCTCTCCCTGCTCTTCTCCCTCTCACACTACAGTCTATCCTCATGCTCCCGCTGTTCGGCCATCTCCTCAAGTCCGACACCATCCAAGCGCTCTTCGTCTTCCTCCCCGTTGCTCTCGCCGTGGGCATCACGGTCTTCTCCTTCAAGCTCGTGTTCGTGCCCGTCGTCGCCACCATGCTTGTGTGCTTCGCGCGGGATAACCGCATCGAGGTGGATTCTGCTGGGGGTGCCACAGGGGGTGCTGCTGCTCCCTTGGCGACCTCACACACTGAAGAGCTGGTAGCTACAGTGGTGCCCAGGGCAACTGCTTAGGCCTGTGATAGGTTGTGTCTGGTTGGTACTTGCCGCGCTTGCTTGATTCAAGTATTGGCATCCTTGTGCTCACCGTAACACCCTAAATATAGCCTAGTACTGTAATTTGACTTCGTTTTCTTACAAATGAATGTTTTCACACCATCCTATCCCAGGTGTGCATCATAACATAATCCCTCCCTCAACTTCAGGCATGGGTATGAGACATGGGTGTATAGGCACTGGTAGGAGGGGCAGAGAAGGGAACCCAACCCAACCCAGCCCAGTCCAGCCCAGCACAACCCAAACCACTGCAGTTGGCCGCATTCTCTACATTTGAAAACAAGTTGGGCTACATTGGAAATACGGTATAGGTTATTACAGAAACTGTTTTTTTGCATTTCCAGAGCACACTACTTGGCGGGTTGCTGAATGGTTGAGGAATCGGGCTTGGGCGTGTCTTTCAGTGAAGCTTCCTTCAGAGCCGCTGAAGCTGCTGCAGCCGCTGCATCGTCGGACGCTGTCTTCCTGCTCCCACGCACGCGTTGCGGACAAAAAAAAAGGGGGGGGGGGGAGGGGGGGGGAGGCAAAAGTGAGGGAAAAAAAAGGGGAAAATGAATGGAATAAGAAGAGCATTGTGGTGCATCACTGAGAGCCGCTGACGCTGCTGCGGCCGCTGCATCGTCGGACGCTGTTTTCCTGCTCCCACGCACGCATTGTGGACGAGGAGCGGAGGAGTAAAGGAGGAGGCAGAAATGAGGGGAAAAGGATAAAAAACGAAGAAAAACAGGAAGACGAAGGAGAAATAATAGGAAGGAAGCGCGAGACCGTGACAGGAAGAAGAGGAGGAACGAGGGTCAAGTGTACGCATAAGAAGGAAAGGAGAGCTTACTTCTTGTCGACGACTGCACCCTTGGTGCTCAGAAACGAACGGAAGAGCGCCGAGTTGACGTCGTAAATCATCTTGCGCGGCTAACTGACGGCTGACGGCTGACGGCTGATGAGTTACGACTGCCGACTAATGGGGTGACGCTGTGTGGGTTTAGGTGCAAGCTAGTCGTTCGAACAACACCGCGAATCACGCGAGATTCGGGAAGCGACAGCAAGCTTGAGAATGCCAAAAAATGGTACTGAAGCGCGATAAGGGGGGAAATAATCTAGCGGAATTCTTGTGGTGCACTGTTCGTGGCTGGATCTTGGTTTGTGTGACCTAATGTGGGCCAAATTCTGGTCATTGTGTAGGGTTCCATGCGGTTCTAGTAGACGAAACCGTGTTACAGAGGTCTAAAGAGCGGTGCCCGGTTGAGAAAGATGGATGGGGTTCCCCTAAAACCCTCGTGGGGTTCGGGATGAAGACATCGGGTAACACAGGTCGCGAACAACGACAGCCGCTACGAGTTCTGCTCTGATGAATTAGAACTGATATTTGTTTCACTTGTGAAACGAAAGCGGTCACCCATCGGCTTACTCTTAACGAGTTGCTTATTATCGCAAATCTCCTTCCCATCACTTGCAGTCGCACAAATTGCCTTGAGAATGACGACTCCGAGCCACAATACTATTCGGAGTAAACCGATCTAGCGTATCCGAACCCGCGGAAACATATATAATCGCATCCAACCGTATTGAGTGATGTCATGGCACCCTCTTCCGATCCGTGTCTGTGGAGCTCCAGATTCCAGAAGCCTCCAAGTGGGAATCCGCCTGATAGCAGCAGCAAGCATTATCACTTTGCTCAGACACTCTGTCCGTGTCTGAGCAAGCAGCAAGGTCTTCACTTCGCGACTCGCGGGTGATCTGCAATTCTCCGTTACCAGTTATTGGTTCTTTTCGCACGAAACTTTATCCCTCGAGGGTGATTCATGGCGAGGATGCTAGCTAACAAGCTCTACGCGCCGCACAGGGCGGAGTGGCCCTTGCGATTTAGTAACGGAAAGATTGATTTTGGAAGAATTAGTTATGGGATCAAGAAGAGTCTTTTCAGTGGCAGTGGCAGTCTTGATAGCAGTATCACCATCCGATCGTATCGCTCAGTTATCCCCAGTGCTAACGACACGATTGGTCCCTTCACCTCTGGCATAAGAGGGCGTGAGGAGGCAATTAATCTACCATTTATATTAAATCTGAAAGAGCAGCACAGATCAAAGCATCACGCAGCGTCCGTCCATAGTCGCCACGCGTTAGGAGGGACCCGCTTCGCTCGCAGTCTAGCAACGTCCATAATCCCCGACGCTCCGCCAATTACGGACGGACAGCTGGAACAGCTGCACGATTTCGTGGCTGATAGTCGGCGGTTGCTGGTGCTGACTGGCGCTGGTGTGAGCACGGAGAGCGGCATTCCGGATTATAGAAGGTCAGTCTATAACGAGAATGTTTTTCAATAGACTGGTGGTGGTGCTAACAGTCACTGTGATCAGCACGCCAGAAGAGTTCCTGACACTTCCTCTCTCTCTCTCTCTCTCTCTCTCTCTCTCTCTCTCTCTCTCTCTCTCTCTCTCTCTCTCTCTCTCTCTCGGTTTTCAATTCATTGATTCTGTTTCTTTCGGTTTCATGGTTTTGCACGACTGCATGGATCTTTGCGTTGTAAAAAACGTGCAGCCCAGGTGGAGCATACAGTAAGGGGTACAAGCCAATGATCCACCAGGCAGGTACTTGAGAGGGAGATTCACGTTCTAGAGTATTCATGCATTTGAAAATACGGCTAGTAAGGAAGCATTCAGTAAAGGGTGCACGGCAAGATCCACCAAACACTCTGTTTGTTCCATTTTTAAGCCTCTTAATCCATTCTCATGTTTTTGAACATGTGTTGGGAGAGTGATTTGAATCCCCTCAATTCTCAACTTTTTGCCTCCAACTCCAGGACTTTGTTCGTTCCCTGTCTGCCCGGAGACGCTACTGGGCTCGCAGCTTCATTGGCTGGCGGAGATTTTCAGCTGCCCGGCCGGGCATGGCGCACAGGGCACTGGCGCGGCTGCATGAGAGGGGGAGACTAGCGGGTGGCATTATCACACAGAATGTTGACAGGTGCGATTCAGAAGCTGTAGGGCGTGACTGGGGGGACAGTGAGGGGCACGGCGCACAGGCCACTGGCGCGGCGCGGCTGCATGAGAGGGGGAGGCTGGAGGGTGGAATCATCACTCAGAACGTTGACAGGTGCGTTTCAGACGCTGTTATGTATCAAATGCTGCCAGATGTCTCACTGATGCTGCCAGATGTGTCACCAATGCTGCCAGATGTGGCACCGATGCTGCCAGATGTCTCTCCAGTCCTGCCACGTATTACACCACTTGGCCGGAAGCCCAGCCAGAAAGCCCAGCCGGAAATCCCAGCTTTTTAGCTCGTTGGCGCTCCCGCGACCTTCCATGAAACAACATCCCCTCCCACTTCCCCCGTCCCTCCTTCCTCTTCCACACAACTCCCCACGCACGTGCCCATCCATCCTGGTTCCCCTTAGACTGCACCACATTGCGGGGAGCCCAGCCCTTGAACTCCACGGCACCACGCACGAGGTAAGAAGGGAGTAGCAAATGTAGGGTTCCCCTTGTTTCATGCGTCATGGCAAAGAGTTGATTGTGTTAATCCTACATCTTCCAACGCCCATGAGTTGAGAGGGAAGGTTCTTCCGTTGGTTGGTTCATGCAGTTGGGCTTGCTGCTTGTCTCTCACTTGTATCGTTATCTATTCGTATAGGTGAACTTTGTCTTTCTTGTACATCTCCTGTTCCCATCACACTACCAGGTGGTCTGCATGAACTGTGGAGATATCTCATGTCGAAGAACCTTCCAGGAAAGGATCAAAGATGCCAACCCAGAGGTACGTGTTTCCCTCTTCTTTCTGGGCCCGTCCCTCTTGTACCTCTAAGGAGAGAAAAAAAAACAAAAAACGAAGGAAAATGGAAAAAAACACTTTTTTTTTTTTTACTTTCTGCGAAATAGCATCGTTTATGTCATGAAAGGATCTGTCCGTTCGTTTTTGCTCCCCATTGAACCCGCATGCTCACACGATTTGCTGCTTTCCTCCCACCCGTTCAGTGGGCAGCAGAGGTGGAGCATTTGGAGGAGGGAAAACCGGCAGGGTTGGACGCGTCGTTTGGCATGCGGAGGCGGCCGGATGGGGATACTGAGATTAGCGCGACGGACTGGGAGAGGCACGTGAGGTATCTTTTGAGGCGCCTCAAAAATCATCTCAAAAGTTGTCTCAAAAGCCGGATGGGGATAATGAGATCAGCGCAACGGACTCAGAGAGGCACGTGAGGTGTCTCCACCCCACCCTCTTCCCCCCTTCTCCTCACCTTCCCCCCTGCTTCAAACTCCTTCAGTGGGCAGCAGCTGTGGAGCACTTAGAAGAGGGAAGACCAGCAGGATCGGACGAGTCATTTGGCACGAGGAGGCGGCAGCAGCGGAGCGCAGAGACAAGAACTGCTGGTTCTGAAAGTGCCGAGTTTGGGAGCACTGATTCTGGAGTGTCTGAGCGGGAGTTGATGGGCATGCGGAGGCGGCCGGATGGGGATATAGAGATCAGCAAGGAGGAGTGGGAGAGGCACGGAGAGTTCGTTGTGCCGAGCTGTGGAGCATGTGGTGGTGTGCTGAAGCCCAATGTGAGTATGCCGCTCCTTCTCTCTTTATTTATCATGCTGCAGAATGTCTTCAAAAAAAAAAAAAAAAAAAAAAAAATCCCACGCTGTTCAAGCTCTTCTTGTGGTATTTTTCATGGCCTTGGGCAGGTTGTACTTTTTGGCGACAACCTTCCACCTGCCCGCAATCAAGAAGCTGCCCGGATGATGTCATCTGCCGACTCGCTATTGGTCGTTGGCTCCTCGCTGATGGTGCTCTCAGCTTTTAGGATCGCAAGGTGGGAAATAGATAGGAAATAAAATTACGGGATAATCAATGTTCACCCCCCACCCCACCTCCCCCATCTCCCTCTTTCCTATCTTCTTCAATTTGAGAAATTTCCCACACGACAATTCCTTTTGCGTGTATCCACTGCGGCGTCTCCCTACCCACCCTCTTCCCTTTGCCCATGTCCAGTCAATGCATGCATGAAGGCACGGCGCTAGCACCGCTAGCTGTGGGGCCAAGCCGTGCTGATATGATTCCGTGCTGCCCCTGCCACTACCCATTCTGCCACCCGCTTCATTCCCCCACCCGCTTCATTCCCCCACCCGCTTCATTCCCCCACCCTCCTCTCCCCTTACAGCCAATGCGTGCAAGAAGGCAAGCCGCTAGCACTGCTAGCTGTGGGCCCTAACCGTGCTGATGCCTGTGCTCGCACTGTTTCTCCTGCTATTACCTGCCCTCTTCCCGTTACCCTTTACAGCCAATGCGTGCAAGAAGGCAAGCCGCTAGCACTGCTAGCTGTGGGCCCTAACCGTGCTGATGGCATTGCTGCTGCACACCGCACCTCCCACAACCCACTGTCCACCTCCCTCACCCCTCGTCCTTCTTCCCCCTTACAGCCAATGTGTGCATGAAGGAAAGCCGCTAGCACTGCTAGCTGTGGGCCCTAACCGTGCTGATGGCATTGCTCGGATCAAGATTGAGGCGCGATGTGGGGAGGTGAGACGGGGGAATAGAGAGATGAGGAAGGTGTGAAAAGGTTGAAAGGGGAGGAGGTGACGGGTTACTGCCTACGGGAGGGATGGAGGGGTGAAGGCAGAGAGGAGAGCTGATAGAGCGTTATCACTCACTCTTGTCCATGCCAGTATCGACTTTTGAGAGGAGGGCTGATAGAGCGTAACCGCTCACTCCTGTCCATGCCCGTAAGTCGATTTATTAGTCGACTCAAAAATCGGCTTATTGCAAGGGAGGGATGGAGAGGTGAAGGCAGAGAGGAGAGCTGTTAGAGTGTTATCACTCACTCCCGTCCATGCTGGTTTTAGAAAGTTTCATGTTCTGTAATTCTCATGTTTACCCCCAGGTCTTTGGCCCTGTTGTTGCGATTGCAGGTTTTTTCACGGCTCCTAGCATCAGGGTCACTTGGTGTTTTTGTTGGGGATATGATGATCTGATGATCTTGTGTCACTTTACGTTCTGTAATTCTCAAGTTTACCCCCAGGTCACTTGCCCTGTTGTTGCAATTGCAGGTGCTTTCACGGCTCCTAGCATCAGGGTCACTTGATGTTCCTGTTGGGATCTGATTCTGTCATGTCACTTCACTGGAAGCCTATATGACTTGTGAGACGTCTCAAAAGGCTCCTAGCATCATGGTCACTTGACGTCCCTGTTGGGATGTGATTACCGTATCTTATGGCACTTTACTGGAAGCCTGAGTGTGTATAGTTTACAAATATGCAAGCCATGGTTTTACTCTGACCAATATAAAAAAAGGTGTACCGGTATGTATCACGCTTGGATCTAGTACTGTACAGTGGCATTGTAAAAATATAAAAGGGCCATAAAATCCACATTGCATCTCATCTTGGCGCTAGTCACAGTTTGGAATTCAATCTACTGGTACCGTAGCTCCCTTTAAGTGGTGCCCGCCATCTACGGAAATGCACTGCCCTGTAATGTATGCTGAGGCAGCTACTGTACGGTATGAGTGTTTATGTGATACACGTACTGCCTTGAATATGCACGGCTGTGACCTAAAGTCACAACTTCGGGTTTAACCTAGCTCGCATCAAGTGGTGCCCGCCATCCACGGCAATGCACTGCCCTGTGATGTATGAAAAGGCGTCTGAGGCAAGGAGAAGTAGAAGCGATGTGAGGTCAGGGTGGATTGTCCCCCACCTGTGGCGGAGGGGGAGGAACGGGGGAGGGGCGAAAGAAGGCAATAGGGTGAGGAAGGTTGGAGCCACTGATATAGCCGTTTACAGCAATGCACTGCCCTGTGATGTAAGAAGAGGCGTCTGAGGCAAGGAGAAGTAGAAGCGATGTGAGGTCAGGGTGGATTGTCCCCCACCTGTGGCGGAGGGGGAGGAACGGGGGAGGGGCGAAAGAAGGCAATAGGGTGAGGAAGGTTGGAGCCACTGATATAGCCGTTTACAGCAATGCACTGCCCTGTGATGTATGAAGAGGCGTCAGAGGCAAGGAGAAGTAGAAGCGATGTGAGGTCAGGGTGGATTGTCCCCCACCTGTGGCGGAGGGGGAGGAACGGGGGAGGGACGAAAGAAGGCAATAGGGTGAGGAAGGTTGGAACCACTGATATAGCCGTTTACAGCAATGCACTGCCCTGTGATGTATGAAGAGGCGTCTGAGGCAAGGAGAAGTAGAAGCGATGTGAGGTCAGGGTGGATTGTCCCCCACCTGTGGCGGAGGGGGAGGAACGGGGGAGGGGCGAAAGAAGGCAATAGGGTGAGGAAGGTTGGAGCCACTGATATAGCCGTTTACAGCAATGCACTGCCCTATGATGTATGAAGCGAGGCGAGGAGAAGGAGCAGTGACGAGAGGTCAGCCTGACCTGAGGGTGTATGGCACCCCACCTGTGGAAGGGAGGGAGGGGGGGAAGAACGAGGGGAGGGCCCAATAGAGGGAAGGGAAGTTGGGTGTTGGTTGTGTACGAGGCGTGGCGGCCTAGGAAGGATTGTCACGTCACTGACCGACCTGTGGTGTAGGGCAGAGGCGTCAGAGGTCTCGTACTTACCCCCGAGGAGGAGGAGCAGCGATGTTCAAACGCGCAGCAGTAGTGTCGAGAGGTCAAATGCACACCGCCCATTAAACACTTACCCCTGATCTCGTACTTCCCTCTACACCCTTACCCCTCTTGACAGCCTCCAAACCGTTTCAGAGCCATCCAAACTGTGTCGTACCTCTGCAGTGGCACCACCACCTGTGCGTTCCTCTCCATCCACGGCTTGTCTAGGAGCTTCTGAAGAGATGCACACAAGAGAGAGAGGGAGGGAGGGAGGAGAGCAGAGAGGGAAGGTGTGTGTTCCTATCCATTCAAGGCTTTCCCAAATTGTCTGAGACCGTAGCTTTCGGCCGTCAAGTACAATCAATCCCCCCTCCACCCCTTCCCATACTTGCCTCGGTAATTTCAGATCGGAATATCCCTGGCGCGATGCAGTTGCAGCGAATGCCATGCTCTCCCAACTCCACCGCCATGGCCTGGCATTGAGGGATGAATGCAAGGGAAAAAAAAACAGAGTGCTATTTCTAAGTAAATAAAAAAAAACTGTCAACACACGGTGATCTTTCAAATGTCTCAAGCCACTCTCATCGCTCCTCCCTACTTCTCCCATAAACCCCTCCGCCCATCCCCCCTCCCCCTGCACGCACCACAGTGAGGCGCATGAGAGCATCCTTGGAGGACGAGTAGGCAGCACCGCTGGGGAGAATGGCCTTGCTGCCTCCTCTTCATCCTCTAATTTCCATCACCCTATCCTGTCCCCCCCCCCCCCCCCTTTCCTCCCTGCACGCACCACAGTGAGGCGCATGAGAGCAGCCTTGGAGGAGGAGTAAGCAGCACCGCCGGGGAGAATGGCCCCGGGTATACCGGCCGTAGACGCAATGTTGATTACACTCAAAACCGTGCGGGTGCCTCCGTTACAACCCCCTTCAGGAGCTCTTTCACTCTTTTCCTCTGTTCCTTTGCCCCCCTTTCCCATCCCCCTCCCCTCTCTTCGCGCCCCCCCGCCAGCCCGCCCCAGCACGCGCCGAACCACAGCCTTGGAAACGAGCCAAGCGCCTCGGACGTTGGTGTGGAATGACGTGTCGAACTCTGATTGGCTGATGTCGATCGCGTCCACCTTTTTCCCTGCAATCTTGGAAACACGTGGCATCCACGTCAGCACAGAGTAGTGGAAATCACGCCTTGGTGGTAACGTCAACGCGAGTCAACGAGAGTCAACGCGCCTCACCTCGGAACCCCGCGTTGTTGACCAGCACGTCGATCCGCCCGAACGCGTCCCACGCCGCCTGCACCGCCGCATCTACCGCCGCCTCGTCCGCCGCGACGTCCATCGCAACAGCCCTCATGCGCCCCGGCATCTCGTTTCCAACAATAAAATGCGATCCTGGCCGTCCAGAATCTCCGACTGACGATTCTCGAGTCACGTCATCATTTCCCACGGCCCGCCGTTCCCGCCCTCCAGCGTCAATCGGGTTTGATAAGTCAGAGCTTCTCCCGTTGCGTGGATCATCCCCCTCTCCGCACATGCCCTCCGCCTCTCCGCGCATCCCTTCCCCCTCTCGGCGCAATTCTTCCGCTTCTCGGCGCATTGCTTCCGCCTCCGCGCACAGCTGATCCAGGCGGCCCACGCGGCGAGCTGCGGCGACCACGTGGCATCCACGTGCCACGAGGAACAGCGCGAGATCGTGGCCGATTCCCGACGAGGCGCCCGTTACAAGAGCTACCTTGCCACGGACTGATAGTTGATCGAGCCCCCATCGGCGCGCACCGCTCGCTGCCATAGCTTCGCGTCGCGTATATAGCACCAGCAGCGGCGACTTTTTTGGATTTCGTTGCTCAGCTACTAACAAACAGCTAAACTAATTTGATGACACAACCCAAGAGCAAGTCAGCAAGTCAGGTTCATAACTGATTTGCTTACATTTGGTGACATGTGATGAGCTTGTCGGATTTATGATTCTCACCTTTGTGGCGAGCAATTCGCGAAATCCCTACATGTTTCGCTGTTTGCGCACGTCGCATAGATGTCGCTGAAGGCTGCGTTTCAGTGGCGATCGCATCGCCAGGCTCCTGAATATTTTCGCAGAAACGCGAAGCATGCTTTCGTCAGCATCTGTTGCACGACGAACGAAGTTTCGTCGATACCCGAAACCTCGCCAGGCCAGCTGTCACTCGATTCGCAGCTGCCTCTGGTGGGTGCTGTGCTGGACTCGAACGGCGCCACGTCGTTTGTGGTCCAATTCACTGTAACGAAGACAAAAGTCTTCAATGGCAATCATATACAGTTTAATCTTGCGGTATAACAGGCATATAATCCGATTTTTGAAGCATCCCTAGAACATACACGTAGAAACTAATCCCCATGGTAATGCCGCCCGGCGACCATCGAATCTTCTAAAGGGGGTACCTGTCTCGCACAAATTGGTTACTTCTCTCTGCCGAAACAACGCTCATTCGCAATACCCCTCGCAGCCAATCCCAACCTGCACCACTGTCACCAGCAAGTGCCTCTCTCTACGCACCACCACACCTTCCGACAGTTTACTTCTGATGGAATCCTTCGAGCTAACCACCATCCTTAGCAGCTGGCTTTGTGTTGAACTTTGCCTCCGTTGCGGCTCAAGGACTTCACTTCTCCGCATAACTCGTCCGAGAGTATGCTTTTTCCGAGTACAGTGCGAGCCAACCGAGGCACTCCTAGGCCAGTGGAGAAACACTAACGACGATCTGTTCAACATTCAGCGACTTGGTACCACACAGTCGGGTAACAACGAAGTTGCGAATAGCGGGAACGAGCTCGCGACCGTAGTATTCAAGTCGAAGTCGTCAAGAAGGTCCTCAACATTGTCGTCGTCGTCGTCGAAGTCGCCGGGAGGGACCTTTTCATTGTCGTTCGCGGTCGCTCGCGGTCGTTCGCGGTTGTTCGCGGTTGTTCGTGGTCGTTCGTGATTTTTCGCGGTCGTCGCGGTCGTCACGATGAGGGAGGACGAGAAGCACGAGAAGATCATTCGCGCATTGATGAAGCTCCCGGAAAACCGGAAGTGCTTCAATTGCAACAGTCTGGTACCTGCTTCATGCCCTGCTGCACCATACCATACAGTACCAGACAGTGCCTTTGTAATGCCCAGGGCTATTATAATGGCGGTTACAAGGCTTTTATAATATTCCAATACAAAATAGTAGCTTTAACTAGCCTTAATAGCCTTGGAGATGAAGATCTTCTTGATGCCTTTGATGAAAAGCACTTGGAGTAGTAGTGTAGGGAGACTTGTGAGAGAGCCCAAAAGGACTTAGAGAAACAATCCCATTTCCAATTGTTTTGTTGGAGTGGGAGGTTCAGAATGAGCTTGCTTAGCTCCGACCCCCTTAATACACCCCTTGGGGAACTATCCCAACCATGGTTTCCATGGTGGGATGGTTCCTAGGCTTGGAGCCTATGTGGCAATTGTGTTGGGTTGGAAAACCCAACTTAGAACCATTCAATGGTTGTGTTTAGGATAGAGTAGATTGTAACACTTGTTTGGCAGTTTCTGATTGGTTGGAATTCCAACCTTCAACATTCTCTTGGTTGAGTTGGAAATGTTCCAAACCTCCAAAGTTGAGGCTTGGCAAACCCAAACCAAGTTTCATCCCAACCAACTCAACCATCTTCTCCAACTCTTCCTTTGTCGAGAGAAGTTCTCAACAATTGACTTAGAGAGAGATCGATGGTTGTTAGCTCGGTAGTTAGGGTAATACGTTACACTCCTCCCCCCCCAGGTGGCAACGTCCCCGTTGCCCTAGGGTGCTTTTGAGGACGAGTGCTTCGAGCACGGCGCACCACATTACGACCAGGGTCAACCCCGTCCACTGGTTGTGGGCCTGCTCGTAGGGCCAGGTCTTCCATATACGCTTGAACCGCTGCTTCGGTCAAGTGTTCCTCAGGCTCCCAAGAGTTGTGTTCCGGCCCATAGCCTTTCCACTGAATTAGGAACTCACGAACAGTTTTGCGGCCGCGTTGTCGATCACGGTGCGTTAGCACACGCTCGACTTCGTAAAAGAGTTCCTTCTCGAGAGCGATGGTTGGTGGCGGTAAGTACTTGCCTTCTGCAACGTACTTATTCAACAGAGACACGTGGAAGACGTTGTGAATCTGCAATGTCGCAGGCAATTTGAGCCTATATGCGACCTCACCAACACGCGCAATCACCTCGAAGGGCCCAATCCAACGAGGGAAAAGCTTTCGTGCTCCCGGGATCTTGAGACGAATGTTCTTCGTACTCAGTAATACTTTGTCGCCAACTGCAAAAACGACTTCCCGACGTTTCATGTCGGCATAGGATTTTTGCCTCTGTTGGGCAAGCTGCAGCCAATGGCGAGCGGACTTCAATGCCGCTTGCTGATTTCCAATAAAGTCCTTTGCGGCAGGGATTTTGAGGTTCTTAATCCCATGCGTCGCGGGGGTTGTGGGGTGCCGACCACAGTTCAGGACAAAGGGTTTCTCATGGGTGCTTTCATGCACAGAATTGTTTACAGCAAATTCCACGACTGGCAACAATTCATCCCAATCGTCCTGAGTTGGGCTTATGAAAGAACGAAGCATTTGCTCAAGAGTGCGGTTGGTCCGCTCTGTCTGTCCATCCGTTTGCGGGTGGAACGCAGACGACATCTTGAGTTTCGTTCCGAGTGTCTTAATGACCTCTTGCCAGAACCGGCTTGTGAAGCGCGGGTCTCGGTCAGACACCATCACACGAGGCAAACCGTGTAAGCGGAAAACGTGTGTCACAAACAACTTTGCCGTATCTTCCGCAGACACGTTAGTCGTCGTGGGCACGAAGTGCACCATTTTGGCCAAGCGATCCACAAACACTAGTATCGCTGTATGACCATCTCGCGTCTTGGGGAGATCGGTGATAAAATCCATCGATACACTCTCCCAAGGTTCATCGGGAATCTCAAGTGGTTGAAGCAGACCACCAGGCTTCTGCGTGCTCGGCTTGTTCCGTGCACACGTGTCACAGCGAGTTACAAACTGCTGGACCTCAATGCCCAATCCCGGCCACCAGTATACATCACTGAGGGCCCACCGGGTTTTCTTGACACCCAGGTGTCCTCCATACTTAGTGGCGTGCACCTCTGCGAGAATATCATTCCGCAGGTTTCCCACATGTGGGACTACAATTTCTTTCTTGTGCCACCAGAGCTCATGCTCCCACAAGAGATTGTTTGTATTCTGTGGGTTCTGAAACCAAGGGTCAATATCATACCCTGCGCGGATGCGTTTCAGAAAACCACCAAAGGCAATCTCGCTCACTCGAGCAGCTGCGAGGATGTTGAAACAAGCAGCAAACACAGCTTCATGTTCCTTATCATCAACACCCGTTGCTGCCCCAATCGGCTGTCTGCTCAGAGGATCAGCCATGTTCGTCGAGCCCGCTCGATATCGAATATCGTAGGTGAAACCACTCAGGAGTTCAGCCCATCGAGCTTGACGGCGGGTGAGTGTGGCTTGAGTGGCAAAATAGGTGTTCGGACAGTGGTCGGTCGTAACCACAAAGTCAACACCTTCGAGATAACATCTCCATGTTCGTAGCGCATGCACAACCGCCAACAATTCTTGTTCGGAAGTTGTATAGCGCTGCTCAGCCGGTGAAAGCTTTCTACTCTCAAATGCCACGAGGCGTCCTTCTTGCAAAAGAACTGCTCCAATCCCTACTGTCGAGGCATCAGTTACCACCTCGTAGGGCTTGGACGGGTCTGGCAAAGCCAGCACTGGAGCATTGGTCAGCATGGTTTTCACCTCCTCAAATGCCTTCTGGCATTGATCGGTCCACTGCCAAGCATTACCCTTACGAGTGAGGGCAGTCAGTGGGGCGACTACGGAGGAATAATTTTCCAAGAAACGGCGAAAATAGTTCGCAAGTCCAAGAAATGATCTGACCTGTCCCACGTCCTGTGGAACGGGCCACTGTTGGACTGCCGCCACTTTCTTTGGATCAACTTTGAGGCCATCGTTGCCTACCAAGTGACCAAGGTATTCCAACTCGCGTTTGTAGAAGTGACACTTCCACAATCGAGCAAAGAATTTATGCTCTCGCAGTTTTCCTAACACCCATTTCAGGTGTTGCGTGTGTTCTTCTTCGGTCTTCGAGTACACGAGGATGTCATCCAAGTATACCAGGACGAATTGGCCGATTGCCTCCCGAAACACATCATTCATTGCTCGCTGAAATGACGCGGGAGCATTTGTCAAGCCAAAACTTAACACACGCCACTGAAAATGCCCGAACGGCGTTCTGAAAGCCGTTTCTGGAACATCTTCTTCGGTGATTCGTAGCTGATGATACCCCTGAGCTAAGTCCAGCGCACTGAACCACTGAGCTCCCTGGAGCCGATCGAACAGATCCTCAATTCGTGGTAGAGGGTATCTGTTCTTCACCGTAATCTTGTTCAAGGCACGATAATCTACGCACATGCGTAATCCTCCGCCCTTCTTGTTAACGAACAAAATTGGTGCTCCGTAAGGGGATGCACTGGGTTCAATCCATCCTTTTCTGAGGTATTCCTCGATCTGTTGTTTGGCCTCTTCGTACTCAGCTGGACTGAGGCGATACAGAGGTCGAAAGGGTGGAACCTTTCCTGGTTCAACAGGGATGGTGTGACCCACTGCGCGGTCAGGCGGAAGTCCATCAGGGATGGTTTCAAACACTTCCTTGAATTCCTCTGCCAGTATTTTCATTTGAGGAGGGAAATCCTCAATTGCTGGCTCCGAGGCCTCGACATTCTCAAGCTGTACCACGAATAGTGTATCAGCCGACTTAACAGAATGCCCGAATTGGTTGGCCAACACACACAGCGCGCTGGGACGTTCAGGCGTCTGTGTTTCAGTGGGCAAAGTATCATTGACTTGCCACTGGATTGCCTTTCCGTTCTTGTTGAACGAGACAATGTTGTACTGGAAGTCCAGAATAACTTCGTTGGCTCTCAACCAATCCATGCCCAGGATGAGGTCGACTCCTGACAAAAGTGGTAGGACATATACGCGAACTGTTTCGCTATAGTCCTGTACTTTCATGTCGATATGTGTCTGTCCTTTACTTGGAATGACACGATCGTCACCCAAGCGGATGGGACACGACGGTCCTACAACGAGGACGTTGCGTGTCGTAACCCAAGTTTCATCAACAAGGGAAACCGACGCGCCTGTATCGACGAGAATCCTTGCTTCGTCCCCATTCATGCGTCCAGATAACAGTAGATTCTGTTGAAATCTTGGACGGATGGGACAAGCGACAACAAGTTTAGGAGGTCGAAAGTACACCCTAAATTTGTTGTGAGCGCGTCCAAACCTTTGGGATGTGGTCCACCAAACATGGTGCCCCTTGTCCCATGTTGCCAGGATATGCCATTCGTGAAATCGGCGGAACAACTCTCCTTTCACGATTCGAGTCACCAATCCCACTGACGTGAGCGGGTGCTCTTGGACACAACGGTCCACAATATCCATGATTGCTGGCAACTCGTTGAACGAGCAAGAGATGATTGAAAATTTATCTCTCAAGGATTCAATTGAGATGTTTTCAAGTGGGTATGATCGAGTTTTAAAAACAGATTTTTCATTAATAGAAGAGGCATACAAACAAGCGATTTTGCATGATGCAAGCTTCTCTAGCTTTAGCAAATCCTCATCACGAAGGACATAAGCCTCATCTACTCGATCTCGCTCACCAACTAGGTACCCACCCCCTAGTTGGACTTCGGAAAATCCTTCGGGCCCGAAGGGCCAGAACCATCCGGCTTCTTGCCCTGGTTGGGCTTGCCGGAGTTCTTGACGGACTTCCTCCAACGGCAGTGATAGGACTTGTGCCCGAGCTTGCCACAGATGCGGCAGCCTGCCGGGGGCTTATCCTCATCCTGAGGATCCTTGGCAGGCCCAGCATGGGCCCTCTTGGACTGAGTCCCAGAGGATTCCCCCTTCTGCTGATAGGGCCTCTTCCAAGAGCCACTGCCCCTGTGTGCCTGAGTCCTGTTACCACCCCCCCTAGGGCCTTCGGCACTAGGCTGCTGCTGAGCACGAGCGTGAGTCATGTACGCACGGAAATTCACATCCGTGTCAATGACCTGCTCCTTGCACTCCTTGTAGGTCCTCCACTGGTGCTCCCCGCGCACAACATGCACACGCTTGATGTGCTCAGGGAGACCCTTGAAGAACTGGTGGATGACCTCGCTCTCAGGAAGAGCAGTCTTCAGCAGCGACAGAGTTTTCTCAAACTCCTTGGCGTACTCGCGTACAGGCTGGTCACCGCACTGGATGTTCTCCAGGCGGCTACGCACCTCGAGCGCCGGGGGCTGACTCAGGAATGCCGCCAGCATGGCAGCTTTGAACTCCTCCCAGCCAAAAGGATGGCCATTAGCCTCTGCGTGGCGCTTGTTGGCATACACCAACTTGCTCGCAGTGTCGTCCAGGGCAAGGGTTGCAGCGACCACACGAGCCTCGCTACGCACATTGTGGATGGACATAAAGTCCTCCACAATGGAGAGCCAAGTCTTGACGTCGGTCTTGCCATGGACAAAACGAGGCAGGGCCGAAGGGCAGGAGCCAAAGGCAGTTGCTGCTGCAGTAGGAGGCTCAGCACGTGCTCCAGTAGGAGGAGGAATAGCAGGAGGTGCATCAGCAGGTGCAGCACGGCTGTTAGCGGCGTTGGCGACTCGCTCTGCTGCAGGAGCAGGCTGGTAGAGGTTTCCACGCCGGATCTCCCTGTACTGGGTCTGAAGCACAGAGATGCTTTTCTCCTGCTTCTTGAGCTGATCCTGCACGAACTGAAGAGTGTTGTGCAGGTCCTGAATGAGGCTGGAGGTGTCGTTTTCCTTAGGGATCAACTGCACCTCCCTGGTCAGCTGCTCAATCAAGGCCTGAAGCTTAACAGAATCAGCCTCCAAGTTCTGGATACGACACTGTTGCACTCCAATGAGAATATTCTGCTCCGTGAGTTGAGTCTGGAGCTTGACAGCAATGTTCTCAGTTTCATTGGAAACACCCTCATCAGAGCCAGCCTCTTCCTCATTTTCAGCATCAGCCTCAAGGTCAGCTTCACTTCCATTGATCTCCATGTCAACCACGAAATCCTCAAGGTTGAGATCAATGTCAGCAGCAGCAGCAGCAGCATTATCTCCCTCAGTGCCAACAACGGGCACCTCCTTAGTAGCATCCATCTCTTGACCAGCAGCCATGAAACAGGTTAAGGAGAGGAGATCTCAACAGATCTTATAATAATCTTTAAGAAATCTGATTACTCTTATAGAATAATCCAATACAGAATCTCTTAAGATAGACTTGTTTGCCAAATCTCTCTATCACCTCAATGATAGAGCAAGATATACTCAAGAGAGTAATCCTCAACAAGCCCTTTATAGATCTGAAGGTACACTCTTCTACACAAAGTAGATCAAGAGTCTTCCACCAAAGGTGGGTAAGAGAAATTAATCTCTTCAAATTTTCTTCTCAATGTTGATGAAGAAAAATGAGCTCCTTGTAGATCTTGAAGCTCCAATGGTGTGTTGAGGAGATTGAAGCTTGAAGCTTGGAGATCTTGTAGAAGCTTGGAGATCTCAGTACGTGTGTGTGCACCAACTATGCCATCTTCATCTGCCCTTCATGCAGCGGGGTCCAGTCAAGTGCCCTCTCTCTCTGCTCCACCTTGGCTGTCCGCGCTTTGTGCCGTCCATTCGATGTTTCTCATCTCCCCTTAAGAGCACGGGGATCCATTCTTCTCCCTCTTTCAGGGTTTTCTTCTTCTTCTTCTTCTTCTTCTTCTTCTTCTTCTTCTTCTTCTTCTTCTTCTTCTTCTTCTTCTTCTTCTTCTTCTTCTTTTTAATTTAGTAAACGTCTTTCGTACAATGCTACTTCTGTGCTATGTTTTTTTTTTTTTTTTTTTTTTTTTTTTTTTTTTTTTTTTTTTTTTTTTTTTTTTGCATGGTGCTGTTTGCAGTCGGGAGTTCAATCATCGTGTCAAGTCAGTGTCAATGGCCAAGTTCACGCCTGAAGAGGTGGCGGCGCTACAGCAGGGAGCGAACCAGGTGAGAGGCGGTGAACGGGTAAGAACCATCGTGTCAAGTCGGTGTCAATGGCCAAGTTTACACCAGACGAGGTGGCAGCGCTGCAACAGGGAGCCAACCAGGTGAGAGCTGGTAACCTGGTGACCAGTCGAGGGGTAAGCAGCTTCGTGAAGTTGCCTTCACTCCAGGCACTCTACCCTATCCTTCTCTCTTTGCTCTCAGACAAGTTGTTGTGTTTGTAGAAGCTGCAAAGCATTGCAGTGTACTCTCTCCTGTGCTTCTTCCATCTTTGCACCCGCGCGTCCTCTTACTCCCTCCCCTTCTCCCCCTTCTTCTTCTCCCCCCCTTTTCCTTTCTTGCAGCGGGCACGAGAGTACTTTCTCCCAGTAGGCGGCCGAGCCCCTCCCAACAGCAAGTGAGTCACTGAGTAGTGCCTGCCTGCCTGCCTGCCTGCCCTATAATTATACTGTGCCGCTCGGCTTGAGGGTCAGCTGAGCCCCTGCAATGGCAAGTGAGTCACTAAGTAGTGCTGCTGCTGCTTCTGGCTGCCCTATTTATTCATTGTGCTGCTCGGCTTGAGGATCAGCCATGGCTTGGCCCATTCAACCGCAAGCAAGTTTCTTCGAGTGGTCTTTCTGGGAATGGAATGTGATGGGCACAGTTTATGAAAACGCTCTGTTATTCCTTACCTCCTCCCCTACCCTCCTCCCCTACCCTCCTCCCCTACCCTCCTCCCCTGCCCCCTCCCCGTCGCTCCTCCTCTTGCCAACGCCCCTCCAGTGACCCCCAGCCTGTGAGGGAGTTCATTCGAGCTGTCTTTATGGAAATGAAAGGCGATGTGACGCGCACCCTTCTCCCTTCCCACATCCGCTTACTTCCCCCTCTCATCTTGCCAACGCCCCTCCAGTGACCCCCAGCCTGTGAGGGAGTTCATTCGAGCTGTCTTCGTGGAGAGGCGATATACTTGGGATGCAGAACCGCAGGTGGAAGAAAAGCCCTCGTGGTCGATTTTTTAGTCGACTCAAAAATCGACTCATCACACGTGGAGAGGCGATACATGGGATGCAGGACCACAGGTGGAAGAAAAGCCCTCATGGCTCCTCCTCCTCGCTGTGTGTTCTTTCCCTTCTGCCCTTTTTCTTCCACCTATCAGCGACCCCCAGTCTGTGAGGGAGTTCATTCGAGCTGTCTTCGTGGAGAGGCGATATGTCGGGCGGAACTCACGAGAAGTATGTGGTGATGATACTGGCAATGGTGAACATGACCCACGACGAGAGGTATGTGATGTGGTGATGTTGCTCGTGGTGATGGTGATGGGTATAGTGGTGATGGTGATGGGTATAGTGGTGATGGTGATGGGTATAGTGGTGATGGTGATGGGTATAGTGGTGATGGTGATGGGTATAGTGGTGATGGTGATGGGTATAGTGGTGATGGTGATGGGTATAGTGGTGATGGTGATGGGTATAGTGGTGATGGTGAACACGAGCAGCGATATGACATGACTAAGCGTCTGTTTTTTGAGGCGCTTCAAACATGAGAGGTATGTGATGATGATACGATAATGGTGAACATGAGCAGTGGCATGACATATGACTCTTTGCAATCCTTTCCTCCTTTATGCACAAATCGCCTCTTTCCTTCCCTCACTTGCGCCCTTCTCCCCCCCCCCCCCCCCCCCTTCCCCCCCCTTCACTCAGAGCTCTCCCTCGGGTCGAACTCATTCTATGGACGGTTCCCCTCTGCCTCCTTCCCCCAGCCCTCCGATCTCCAAAGCAGCAGCAGCGCCCGCGCCTCTCTCTCCTTTGCCTGCACATCTTGTCTTCTCCCTTCTCTCACCCTCACCGTTTTACACCCCTGCCTCCCCCATTTGTTTCCCTTCAGAGCTCTCCCTCGGGTCGAACCCACTCCATGGACGGCTCTTCCTCCGCCTCCTTCCCCCAGCCCTCCGACCTCCAACGCAGCAGCAGCGCCCGGGCCTCTCTCTCCTTCTCCCCCACTCTCCCTCCTTCCCACAACCACAAGCAGCCGCAGCAGCAGCCACAGCAGCAGCAGCAGCAGCAGCAGCAGCAGCAGCAGCAGCAGAAGGCTCTACCACCACGCAAATCCCCTTCTCTTTCTGCCAACAGCAACACCAGCGCCAGCACCAGCACTGGTGCGAGATTCCCTGGCAGCAGCAGCACGAGTAGCACTAGGTTCTCTAACATCCCAAGCAGCAGTGGTGATGGGGTGGATGCGCCTGTGAGGCCTGTGAGTGACCTTCTAGGGGACGAAGTCGAGTTGAGAGTGTATCACAGCGAGCCGGGACGGGGCAACTCACATGTGTATCAAACTGCGTCCTCGCCTTCAGCTCTTCCCGGTTCCCCCTCCTCTGCTCCCTCTGTGCCCTCTGTGTCTGCCTCTCTCCCTGCCTCTCCGCCTGCTGCTGCCCATGCTCCTGCCTCTCAAATCCCTTCATCAGCACCAGCCGGCCCTGTGCCGACACCTGCAGCAGCTGCATCAGCAACTGCAGCAGGAGCAGCAGCAGCATCAACGGCAGCACCAGCATCAGCACCACTGGTTCCTCTAGGTAACCTGATTGACTTCTCTGATGAGGGGGATGGGGACAGCCTCACTCTGCCTCCTGCTGCCCCCGTGCCTGCACCCAAGCAGTGGCAGCTTCAGGAGCAGACGGAGGGTGCAGCAGGGGGAGCGGAGCAGCATCAGCCAACGGTGACGCAGGGGCAAACGCAAGTGCCAGCGCAAGCAGACACAGCAGCAGCAGCAGCCGCAGCAGCAGCCGCAGAAGGAGCGGTGGCGGCGGCGGCAGCAGAAACAGCAGCAGCAGCAGCAGTGGAGAAAGAGAGCAGCAGCAGCAATATTGCCAATGGTTTTGCCTCCTGGGCGCATTTTGATAGCAGCCCCATGCCACCTGTACCTGCACCAGCTGCACCTGCACCAGCTGCAACTGCACCTGCTATGCCAGCTATGCCAGCTATGCCAGCTATGCAATCGATCTCTGGAAATGCCCCTTCTCTTGGCCCAGAATATGGATCCATGGGCTATGGGCAAGCTCAGTTATCAGCAGCACCACTAGGGTACGAGGCCTATGGGATGCAGGCACAGGGGCAGGGGCAGTTTCAGCCAGTAACCCAGGCCGGGCAGGGGCAGTTCCAATCCCAATCAGTAACCCAGGTTGGGCAGGGGCAGTTTCAAGTAACCCAGGCGCAGGGACAAGGGCAGGGGCAGACTGAATTATTCATTCAGACGCAAAGACAGGGACAGTTTCTCTTATCGACTCAGGCTCAGGGACAGGAACAGGGATATGGGCAGGGGCAGGGGCAGGGCTATGGGCAAGGGCAGGGGCAGGGGCAGGGCTATGGATTACAAGCTAATGGGGGTTATGCACAGGCGTTCTCTCCAGTACAGTCCCCTCCGATACAGTCACATCCCTTCCCTCCCTCACAATCACACTCGTTCCAATCCCCTCCCACACAGTCCCACCCATACCAGTCCCCGCCCTTACAGTCACACCCATACCCTCAGGGCGGGGTTATGGGGAGCCCAGGGGGAGTGATGGGGAGTGCAGGAGGAGTGACGGGAAGTCCAGTAGGGGGTATGGGGAGCGCTGGGGGAGGTATGGGGAGTCCAGGAGGGGTTATGGGAAGTGCAGCTGGGTTGATGGGGGGAGGGGTTATGGGGAGCCCAGGCGGGGTTATGGGGAGCGCAGGGGGGGTGATGGGGAGCCCAGGGGGGGTTATGGGAAGTCCTAGAGGGGTGATGGGTAGCTCAGGCGGGGTTATGGGGGGCACAGGGGGAATGATGGGAAGTCCAGGGGGAACAATGGGCAGCCCAGGAGGGGTGATGGGGGGCGCAGGGTTGGCTATGGGAAGCCCAGGAAGAGCGATGGGGAGCCCAGGTGGGGTTATGGGGAGCGCAGGGGGAGCGATGGGGAGCCCAGGGGGAGCGATGGGGATTCCAGGGGGGGCGATGGGGAGCCCAGGTGGGGTTCTGGGAAGCGCAGGGGGCCCAATGGGGAGTCCAGGGGGAGCCATGGGGAGCCCAGGGGGGGCTATGGGGAGCCCAGGGGGGGCTATGGGGAGCCCAGGGGGGGCTATGGGGAGCCCAGGGGGGGCTATGGGGAGCCCAGGGGGAGGAGCAATGGGCAGCGGAAGAGCTGCGATGTGGAGCCCTGCAGGCGTCATGGGAAGCCCTGGGATGAGGCCATCTCCGTTGGGGTCTCCCGGATTGGTAGGCTTCCCTCCCACTCACACGTGCTGTTTACTTGAGGGTAGTGAGACGCCTTTTGAGGCGCCTCAGAACGCCCTGCAGGCGTCATGGGAAGCCCTGGGATGAGGCCATCACCAATGGGGTGACCCGGATTGGTATGTTCCCACACACAGTGTTATTTAATTTATTCCTTTACATTTCGTTCACAGTATTTTTTCTTTAGTGTCTGCCTTCTTATTTCTCTTTCTTTTCTTCCTTCTCTCTTTCCTCCTTTCTTTTTCGTAGCAATGTTTTGCAAGTACGGCCAGTTCCCTGCCCAGCCTTTTTCATTATTTATTTTCATTCTATGTGTTCCCCAGGATTTCAAAGAGCACCCTGCAGAATGAAGGTTGTTTATGAGAATTCTAAAAAACAACCAACTGTTAGTTCCCTCCTAGTCCTTCCCACTACCAGTTCTCATTAGGTCTCTCCCCTTCCTCACACTGCTTCCCGTTTCCCAGTCCCCATCCCCACAGGCACCTTTCCCCAACATGGCATCCCTGGGAGCTGCCCTTGAGACCACACAACCACAACACGCACAGCCAAGCTCCCCTCCCCCTCTATCCCTCTCCCAGTCCCCATCCCCACAGGCACCTTTCCCCAACATGGCATCCCTGGGAGCTGCCCTTGAGACCAGACAACCACAACACGCACAGCCAAGCTCCCCTCCCCCTCTATCCCTCTCCCAGTCCCCATCCCCACAGGCACCTTTCCCCAACATGGCATCCCTGGGAGCTGCCCTTGAGACCACACAACCACAACATGCACAGCCAAGCTCCCCTCCCCCTCTATCCCTCTCCCAGTCCCCATCCCCACAGGCACCTTTCCCCAACATGGCATCCCTGGGAGCTGCCCTTGAGACCACACAACCACAACACGCACAGCCAAGCTCCCCTCCCCCTCTATCCCTCTCCCAGTCCCCATCCCCACAGGCACCTTTCCCCAACATGGCATCCCTGGGAGCTGCCCTCACCGCAACACAACCACACGCACAACCACACGCAGTAGCAGCATCACCAGCAGCACCATTCCCATCAGCAGGAGGCTATGCTTTCGAGGGATATTCTCAAGCGCCGATGCAGCAAGGATCAGGGCAACAAGGTTACACCCAGTTAGGACCGATGCTGCAAGGATCAGGGCAACAGGGCTATACTCCATTCGGGCCGATGCAGCACATGCAGCAAGAATCGTTCCCACAGCAGCAACAGCCGAACTACCAGCAGCAGCCAGTTAACTACCAGCACAACACATTTCAACAGCAACAGGTAAGCTACCAACAGCAACAGATGTCAACGTTTCACCACCAGCCATGGCAGCAGCAGCAACAGCAGCAGCAACAATGGCAGCAGCGGCAGCAGCAGTAGCAACAGCAGCGCCAGTCATCGGCAGTGACAACAGCAAGTACCATTATCATCATAAGTCAGTCAGTACCTTACTTGGCTTCTTATGTACACTCATATTTTATGCTAGGTTATTGCCCAGAAAAGCATATAAACCTGGCATGCCCGGTGCAGTGGGTTCTTGCAAACACAGGTACCGTAACACATTGTTGTTAAGATTACACATTTTTGTTAAGATAACACATAATTGTTGCAGAGCATGAAGAAGATGAATGTTCAAGATCCATTCCATAGGCCAAAGCAACTGTTCGAAACAAATAAAATAAATTAAATGGAAACAAATGAACATATAATACAATTGTGCATCTCCCTGATGCCAATGTTGCTGCGGCTGCTGTTTCAAACCTGCGGAGGTTTTTTTTTTTTTTTTTTTTTTTTTCAAGAGAGAATACCACACAGGTACCATTTCCGCTGGTCCTGTTACAATGAACAAACAGTGCTGCTGCTGGGTTGCTGTAGGAGTTGGGGTTAGGAGGACTGATGGTTATCGCTGCATTTCCTGCTACTCCTGCTGCTGCTGTTCCTGCTTTTCCCGATAGTGCACCTGCCCTTGCTCTGCTACCGCCTTTGAGGCGCCTCACAAAACACCCGTCCCTGCTCCAGTTGCTCTCCCCACCACACCTCCCCTGGTCCCTGCCTCCAATGCCTGCCCTTCCCCCGTCACACCCCCACAGCCCACTAGCCCCGCTTGTGCTGCTACCGCCTTTGAGGCACCTCACAAAACACCCGTCCCTGCTCCAGTTGCTCCCCCCACCACACCCTCTTTGGTCCCTGCCCCCAACGCCTGGCCCCTTGTTACACCCCCACTAGTTCCGCTTGTGCTACTACGGCCAGCTTTCACCCTTTGACTGGCAAGGATTGGAGCCTCACGAAGCACCCGTCCCTGCTCCAGTTGCTCCTCCCACCACACCCTCGTTGGTCCCTGCCCCCAACGCCTGGCCCCTTGTTACACCCCCACTAGTTCCGCTTGTGCTACTACGGCCGGCTTTCACCCTTTGACTGGCAAGGATTGGAGCCTCACGAAGCACCCGTCCCTGCTCCAGTTGCTCCTCCCACCACACGCTCTTTGGTCCCTGCCTCCAACGACTGTCCACCAGACACACCCCCTATAGCCCTGCTTGCGCCGCTACGACCAGCTTTCAGCTTTTGACTGGCAAACATAGGAGGCAAAAAAAACCAGAGTTAATGGGATGCAGTGGGAGAGAAGGGAAAGCAAGAAGAATGAGTCGAGGACAATGTAACAAGGAAAATGGAGCGCGGGCGGAGAGATGGAAAGGGAAGGCGTAATAAGGAAAGCACGAGAATGAGAAAAACAAGAAGAGATCAGAGGGCAGACAGAGCGAAGAGAAAGGGAGAGGACGAGGGAGACAAACGAGGAGTGAAAGAGAACAAGAATGGGAGAAGGAGAAAATAAAAAGGGTAAGAACGCAAGCTCACGTAGGCTCGTTTTGGGTTGACTGCTGCATTGATTGGCCTTCCATTGGTCTTGTCACTGCTGCTGCTGCAGCTGTTGCTGCCATCCCAACGAAAGCCGGCCCTCTTTTAGAAGCAGTGGCATTTTTTCCTTGGCCACTTGCATTCATCCCCTCTCCCACTCCCCGCCTCCCCCCTCCCTCTCCCCACTTCCCGTCGCCCTCTCCCCGCCTCCCCTCTTTCACAGCTATTGACATTCTCGGTGGAGGGTTATCAGCAACACCTCTTGCGTTGTTCTTTGCCTTCTTTGCCTCTCCAGCCGTTGCTCTGCTTTCCTCCACCTTCCCTCCTGCTTCCCCTCTACCTTTTCCGCCCCCCACACTTCGCCCTTGCGCTTTCAGTCCAGTCCCTTGGCTGCTGCCAATACCAGCACCAGCAGCATCACCACCACCACCAGCACGAGCACCAGCACCGCCAGTAGCAACGGCACCACCACCAGCACCACCAGTAGCAACGGCACCACCACCAGCACCAGCAGTAGCAGCAGCAGCAGCAGCAGCAGCAGTCAAACCAGTAGTGCCCTTCCCCACGTCGACCCTCCTCTCTTCACCCTTCACCCCAAAAATGCTCCCTCCAACCTCTTTCCGCACAGGAGAAGGCAGGGGAGAATTATGTTTAGGAGACTCGAAACCGAGCATGCTCCTCCCAATCTCTCGCCTCACAGGAGAGGACAAGGGAGACGAAACGCGCCCAGAGCCCCCAGCACCCCCAGCACCCGCTGCACCCGCTGCACCAGCTGCACCAGCTGCACCCGCTGCACCCGCTGCACCAGCTTCGGCAGGGAATCTCAGCCCCGAACCTGAGGTGTAGCTCACGTCGCTCAGGTCCGGGTTCCCCTCTTGGATCGTTATCGAAGCAAACGACGAGGCTGGGGACACGATGGCACTAGGTGGGAAATTCACCAACGGGCGGTTCTGTTCCAATCGCACGCCGCCACCTGGCGGGATGCCTAAGTACTTTCCAGAAATACCACCAACCGCCCTTCCCATCCCTCCTCCCATCCCTCCGCCCACTCGCTCCCTACCCCCTACCCTACTCCCAGCCCAAAACCCTTCCTCCGTATTTAGACCACCACTGGCACTTAAGAGACCACTGCCACTTAAACCACCACCACCACTGCCGCCACCGCCGCCACCACTACCAGCAGAAGCTGCATTTCGGGAAAAAGCAAGTAAGCTCTTTCTGAGCTGCTTGACGCTCCTGGCATCGTCATTCAACTCCCTCTCGTGCTGGTCCAACGTTGCTTTGATAAACATCAAGTGTTGCACCTTCCGCCTCTTCTCATCCAGATCCGATAGCTGCAAGGGCGGGGAGGGGAGAATGGGGGATAGAGGGGAGGGTGGGAAGAACGATAAGAATAAAGGAGGAACGAGAGGGTTAGAAGTGGAAGAGAATGAGAGAAAGCTCTTTCTGATCTGCTTGACGCTCCTGGCATCATCATTCAGTTCCCTCTCGTGCTTGTCCAACGTGTGTGTGTGTGATAAGTCGATTTTTGAGTCGACTCAAAAATCGTGTCACACTCAGTTCCCTCTCGTGCTGGTCCATTGTGGCTTTGATAAACATCAGGTGCTGCACCTTCCGCCTCTTCTCATCAAGGTCGGAGAGCTGCAAGGTACGGGGGGGAGGAAGACAGACAGGGCAGTTGAGAATGAAGAGGGGAAGAAGGGGAGAAAGGGAGAAGGGCTATTTTTCACCCCTTCCGCAACAACCACTCTGCTTTCTACCCACACTTACACCCCTTTTGCAACAAGCACACCCCTTCACTATAATCACACGCCCCCACTCACCTCTTCAACTGTCTCCATGCGGCTACTCCAGTCTCTCCTATACGCGTCTGACACGGCCTCTCATTCCCTTGCACCTTGAATCCCCACTAGAGCAATCACAAATTTCACTACAATCACACATGCCCTCACTCACCTCTTCATCTTCTTCCATACGGCTCCTCCAGTCCCTCCTAGCCGCCTCCATCACGGCCTCTCGCCCCTTCAAGCTCCCTTGCACCTTGAAACCCCACTAGTACAGTCACACCATTCACTACAAGCACACCACCCCCCCCCTACCCTCACCTCTTCAACTGCCTCCATACGGCTCCTCCAGTCCCTCATAGCCGCCTCCAGCACCCCCTCTCGCTCCTTCAAGCTCCCTTACACCTCAAAACCCCACTAGTAAGGCCACACCATTCAGTACCATCACACACAAGCTTTCTCACCTCTTCAACTGCCTCCATACGGCTCCTCCAGTCCCTCCTAGCCGCCTCCAGCACCCCCTCTCGCTCCTTCAAGCTATGAAATGAAAACCATTCACTACAGTCACACTCTACCGCTCTCACCTCTTCAACTGCCTCCATACGGCTCCTCCAGTCCCTCCTAGCTGCCTCCAGCACGGCCTCTCGCTCCTTCAAGCTCCGCCGCTGCTCCGCTGCAAACCGCCTGGCTTGTTTCAACATGATCTCGCGCTCCCTGGGAGGGAGGGGAGTGGGGGGAGAGGAGTGGGGAGAGGAGAGGAGTGGGGTTGGGACAGGGAATGGGGGAACGCGGGTAAGCAGGGGGGGAGTGAAAGGGGTGAGTGGGGGAGTATGTGGGGCTTGAAGCGCCCTAGCCGCCTACAGCACCCCCTCTCGCTCCTTCAAGCTCTGCCGCTGCTCCGCTGCAAACCGCCTGGCTTGTTTCAACATGATCTCGCGCTCGCTGGGAGGGCGGCGAATGGGGGGTGGGGAGGGGGAAATTGGGATGTAGGGGGAACAGGGGAAGGGAAGGAGTTGATAGGGGAACATGTAGGCTTGGTTTAACTCGCCAAAAACAAACAGACAGCAAGAAAGTCAAAACAAGATTTGAACGGGGTCCATCCAAAAAAAAAAAAAAACACACACACACACACACACACACACACTCTTACCCGAACGAGATTCCTCCATCGTCAAACGCCCCTCCACCGCTTTCAACCCCTCTGCACCGCACCCGTAGATGAGCCCTCCCCAGATCCCCCTTCCCCAGCTCTCCCAGTCCCTCCGAACCAGAATCGCCCCATGGCGAGTAGTACCCTCCGCCGCTCCCCGTTTTCAATGCATCCTCCACCGTCCGATCATGACCAGATTCGCTCCCAACCGTCCGACTGCTTTTCCCCCGGTTCCTCAATTTCCTCCCCCCTGACCCCAGCCCAATCCGGCCCCCACTTATCCAGTCCCCGGCCAATACACTTCCTTCCACCTGCCCGGCCTGCCCGAGAGAAAATCTTGGCATGAACTCGCACGAGCTCTCCCCAAAATTGCTGCCGGAATCATATTTGCCGCCTTCAAAGGGGGCAAGGTTTTGAGCAGGAGAAACGGCTGCTGCTGCTGCTGCTGTTGCTGCAGGAGCTGAGGCATTACCACTGTTAGTACCAGTGGCAGCAGCAGCACCGCCAACAGCAGCACCGCCAGAACCAGCACCAGTACCAGCGCCACCAGCACCATTAGCAGAAGCAGCAGCGGCGACCCCATATCCACCCTCACCACTGCCTCCTACCTGCTGCCCCTGCTCCCCTGCCCTCGCTCTCCTATGCTCAGGGCGGGCTCCTGGAGAGGACGTGAGGAGGAACCCTAATTCCCCCACCCCATCCCCATTCCCATATCCGTACACACCCCCATCCCCGTTCCAATTCCCATCCCCATCCCCGTTCCCATATCCGTACACATCCCCATCCCCGTTCCAATTCCCATCCCCATCCCCGTTCCCATATCCATGCTCATTCCCATTCAAGCCGTCTCGGGCAAAATCTGACTCCATGTCAAAAAATCCGTCCCATACATATGACTCCCCCACCTGCCGCCGCCGCTGCTGCTGTTGTTGCCCCATCACTCCTCCGACCCTTCTCGGGCTCCTCATGTTTCCAAACATCATCTGCTCATCCTCTCTCAAGTTCAACCCTGCACCTTGGCCGTTTCTCACTCCGCCCAGCATCAGAGGGGACTTTTCCGTCAAATCAAAAGAATGTCTCGGAACACCCCCCAGCACCCTCTGCTCCTCCCTCATCCCAACGCCTTGCCCGTTCCTCTCACCCCCCAGCCCCAGCAGAGCTGCCTTTCCCGTCAGATCAAACGAACGCCTTGACCCACCACCTCCCAGAACCCTCTGCTTCTCTCTCTCCATCCTCTCCTTCCAGACTCTTCTCAGCTCGGTCTCCTCTTCCCTCAACTCCCGACTCAGCCGTTCCAATCGCCACACCCTCTCCTCCTCCACTTTCTTCCTCATTACCACCTCCATCTCCCTTCTCGTTGCTTCCAGCTTCATTTGTAAATCCATCCTCATGCCCTGAACCTTCCTCTGAACCTTCATCTCAAGCTCCTCCCTCCATCGCTCTAATGCGCGCACTGCCTCTCTTCTCAGCTTCAGCTTTTCCCCTTCCAGCCGAACCTGCAGGTCGGTTCTGAACGAGTCTAGCACCTGGGTCGCCCGAACCTCCAGTTCCTCCTGCAGCCGCCGAACCTCACGCTCGGCCCGAGCCACTTCCCGAGCCTTACTCTCTCTTAAATTCTCTCGCAAGCGCGTCTCCTCCTCTTCTACCGAAGCTAGCAACTTGGCTCGGTATTCCCTAACCTCTGCTTCAACCTCGCCCTGTTGCCTAATCTCCTCCACCCGTTGCTGCCTGATCCTCTCATACTCCTCCGCCACGTCAGCATCAACTTTCCTCGCCACGTCAGCAAACAGCTCCTGCTTCCTGCTCTCCAACTGGTTCATCACATCTGCCTGCATCTCCTCCCACAGTCGCGCCCTCTCCTTCTCAATACCCTCTCGCAATTCTTTCTGCATTTCCTTCCGCATTTCCTCCCACACCTACTCATGTCTCTCCTTTAAATCACCACCATCCTCGTACACTCCCTTTTCCCTTACCTTGCTTTGACCCATGTCCAAAATTACCATCCCTTCCTGACCAGACTCTGTTCCTTCTTCTCTCTCCTCCCCACCTGCCTCTTCACATCTAAAACTACCCTTAGCAAGATCCCAACTGCCATTCCTCTTACTATCCCCACCATTATCCTTCCTCGTACAATCCTTCTTAAAATCCCAACTGCCTCCTTTCCTAGAAGCCTCAATTTGAACAACACCCTTAGCATCCGCGCTATCAGCCCTCTTGAAGCTCCCACTCCCTCCGCGTCTCACATCCTTGCCTTTAAGCAAGCCTTTCGCGCAAGCATCAGCGCTATCAACCCTCTTAAATTTCTCACTCCCTCCTGATCCGTCTGCTTTAAGCAAGCCCTTAGCAGCACTAGCATCAGCACTATCAGCCCTTTTGAAGCTCCCACTGCCTCCTATTCTTACTCCCTCCGCTTTAAGCAAGCCCTTCGCACTAGCATCGGCACTATCAGCTCTCTTGAATTTCTCACTCCCTCCTTTTCCTTCAGCTTTAAGCATACCCTTGGCACTTGAATCAGCGCTATCAGCCCTTTTAAAGCTCCCACTGCCACCGATTCTGGGAGCATCAACACCAACAACACCAAGACGAAGCACGGTTTTTGAATCTCCACTTCCACTCTCGGCTCTTTTAAACTTCCCACTGTCACCCCCACCTCCTCTTTGTCCCCTTCCTCCTTGTTCCCCTCCTCTTTGCTCTCCTCCTCGCCATTCCCCTGCCCCATCTAAAGACCTCCTCCTCCCATTCCCCTCCTCTCTCTTTTCTGCAGCTTCCCCTGAAGCAGCCGCAGCAGCAATAGTACCACCCACACGCGCTACAACAGGGTTACCAGCAGCAGCAGCCTCAGGGCTACCAGTGCCAGCGGTAACAAATCCTGAGGCCTTTTTTGGGTCTGAAAAGGTTCTTCTCACATCCTGCCCTATGGCTGCAGCTACTTTAGAACCACCAATAGCTGCACCTGCACCCGCTGCTCGAGATGCAGCAATGGTAGAAGCAGCAGTGGCAGCAGTGGCAATGGCAGTAGAAGCACCAGAGACAGCAACGGCAATAGCTGTAGGAGTCGCAGCAGCAGCACCAGTAGCAGCAGATTGCGCAGCAGCTGTCGCAGCCCCACCGATTGCCTCTCCTTTCCCTGTCCCTGAACCACAGCCAGCAGCAGCAGCAGGAATGTTTATCCCACCAGCAGCATTCCCACTGTAAACGCCTTCGCCGCCTGCAGCGGCAGCGGCAGCATTAGCAGCCGCATCACCACTGCCACCATCGTCACCATCGTCAGAGCTGCTCCAATCTGTGCAGGAGAGGTAGAGGGAACATACAGAGAGGGGGAACAGAGGAATGAGGCAGGCAGCGGCAGCAGCAGCATTAGCAGCCGCATCACCATCGTCACCATCATCAGAGCTGCTCCGATATGTCACGGAGAGGTAGAGGGAACACAAGGAGAGGGGGGACAGAAGAATGAAGCAAGCAGCAGCAGCGGCAGCGGCAGCGGCAGCATTAGTAGCCGCATCACCACTGCCACCATCGTCACCATCGTCAGAGCTGCTCCAATATGTGCAGGAGAGGTAGAGGGAACATACAGAGAGGGGGAACAGAGGAATGAGGCAGGCAGCGGCAGCAGCAGCATTAGCAGCCGCATCACCACTGCCACCATCGTCACCATCGTCAGAGCTGCTCCAATCTGTGCAGGAGAGGTAGAGGGGGCACAAGGAGAGGGAGAGCAGGAGAATGAAGTCGGCGTAAGCAGGGCATTTTGACTTTGAAAAGGCACAAGTGCTCACGCACGGACGCACAATCATGTACGCACGCATGCACACACACCTTCCTCCTCCTCCTCAGTTTCAGCAGGATGGCCATTCACGCCATTCGCCACAACGGGAACGGAGCCTGCCCGAGCCAGGCTGGCAGCCGCGGCAGACTGACGAACCGAGCCAGGTTCGGGGGACCAGGAGGTTTGGTGAAAGAGCTTCACAGAATTTTTACTGGATGAGCTTCGTGTTGTTGCTTGCTGCTGCTGCTGCTGCTGCTGCTGCTGCTGCTGCTGCTGCTGCTGCTGCTGCTGCTGCTGCTGCTGCTGCTGCTGCTGCGGAGGCCTTAGCTGCGACTGCTGGGCATGGGCGCGCGCAGGTGACCCTTTCTGCTGGCGCTGGCAGGGCAACGCAAGAGAAGGGCATGCAGGAAGGGTAACGGAGTGAGTACAAAAGACGATTTTGAGTCGACTAAGAACATCAGGGCAATGCGAGACAAGGGTTCGCAGGAAAAAGGAAGACAGAGGACAAGAAAAAGGAGTGCGTGCAAAAAGGAGTGCGGTAAGTGGGGCTGGGGGCGTGCCTTGAAGCTGGCGGCGAGTGTGTGGTTAAGGAGGTTTCAAAACGGGAGCAAAGGGGAAAATTCAGGAGGGAAACGGAGGAAACATGTGAATTCAAATAGCCTCACCGTTGCAGCTGAGTTAGGCTGCAACGATCCTTGGCGAAACAAGTTTTCGTGATGCTCCCCTCTATTCTGTGGTGGCAGGGATGCCTGCCGTACATACGTCTCTCCACCCATCCCTCCTCCTCCCCCCATCATCCCTGTCCCTGGCCCCGCCACTCCCCAAAAGCCTCCTTTCCTCCCCGCACCCTCCACACTCCCACCGCCAGCCACAGCAGCACGAGCAGAAGCAGCAGCAGAACCACCACCACCACTAGCACCACTGGCAGCAGCAGGGGGGGGAGGGGCGCGGGCGAGCAGCAGCCTGGCCTTCTCCTGGTGGTAGACGGCGCGGTAGTGGTCGTCACAGGGGTGCTCCCACACGCTCTCGCCCGTCTGGAAGTTGAAATAGTAGATCTCCCCGTCCTCCGTGCCACTGGTGGGGGCGGGGGGAGGAGGGGGGGGGGTAGAAGGGGAAGGGAGAGCGTGGGGCAGCAGTAGCAGCGGCACCAGCACTACCACCAGCAGCAGTAGGCACATTAAAGTTACGGCACTCACCAGGGCTTCCAGTTGGGCGGCAGAGGTGATTTCAGCCCCTGCCGCGCCACCCACAGCAACTCCTCCTCCCCCGGAAGCTCCATCCCCAACCACCGCGCGTACTCCAATATCTCTGCAAGGAAGCGGGAGAGGCAGAGCAGAGAAGCAGCATGACGAGACGAGGGACGCAGGGATGGGGGTTAGATGCAAAGGGAGGTGACTGACAGGGGATAGGCCACCCACAGAAGCTCCTCCTCCCCCAGGAGCTCCACTCCCAGCCACCGCGCGTACTCGAGAATTTCTGAGCGGGAGAAGGAGGGCAAAAACGCAGAGCACGGGAGCAGCATGGAGGACCGAGAGGGATGGGGGTCGGCTGGAAAGGGGGGTGAGGGATGGGCCACCCGCAACAGAGCAAACCCTCCTTCTCTTCCTCCCTCGGAAGCTCCATCTCAAGCCACTGAGCGTACTCCAGAAGCGCCTGATGGGGAGCAGGCGAAGCAACAAACTATGAGGAAACGTCAGGAATCCATGAGAGACGGTCAGGAATCCAGAAGCAACGGGAAGGAATTCAGGAGGAACGGTCAGGAATCGAGGAGGAACGGCCATGAATTTAGGAGGAACGTCGGAAAATTAGGAAAAACGGTCGGAAATTCAGGAAAAACGGTCGCGAGTTAACGAAAAACGGTCGGGAATTTAGGAGAGACGGTCGGGAATTTAGGAGGGGTGTCTAGGGTTTCAAGAAGGATGTATGGAAATTCATGAAAAACGATCAGGAATCCAGGGAAAACGTCTGGGAGTTTCAAAGTTCCTGTGAACACGACTTGGAATTTATAAGGGGTGTCTGGGAATCTTGCCCCGGGACGAACGGCTATGCTTCTGTGAAACACGGTAAGACGTGCAGAGGACGAATACCTCGTCCTAGAAGGTGCTTGGCTTAGCAAGGGTTGACAGAGCATGGCTAGGAGGGTGACAAAGAAAAGACCAACGACTAAGATAAAAGAAGCATGCCGAAGTACCTTCTTCCGTCGGCTCATAATTCGCGTCAACCTCCTCCTCCAAAATGACGGACTCCATGGAAAAAACGTCTCCTTGGGAAGCTAGCGCCTTATTTTTTCGACTAGATGATTAGCATTGTCAGTCTCCTCCTCCAAAACGACGGATTCATGGGGGAAACGACCCCTCTAGAAACTAACGAAATTGTTTAGCGAACTGAAAGAATGATCGCAATCTCCTCCTCCAACATGACGGAATCCATGGGGGGCCAACTCCTCGAGAAATAAAATAATATATTCTAAATCGACTCAATAATGCTTAGCGTCAATCTCTTCACGAATTCCATGGAAGAATGACTCCCGTTAATAACGAAACAATGGATTCAGTGACTAAACTGTTGGGGTCATGAAGCCTTAAAATTACTAATCTAAGTCAACCTACAATTGCGAGTCGTCATTCCTTAATTTCTCTATACCTTAATTTCTTTCCGCATGCTGAGCGAAATCAGGAACGGACGCTTCATTTTCATGACCATCAACAGCGCGCGTGAGAGGCTAAGTCCCATGGGCTAGCTGATAGAACTACAAGTGATGCCCAGCCCCTGCACGCGAAATTGCCTTGTACATTCCAGAAACCTTGCACCCGTGGGTTTCCTGCCGCGAAGTTGCACCTACGTTACAAGCACGTCGACCAATAGGAAAGTCAGAAACGGAAGTCTGACTGATGTGACTGCAGTCAAAAAGTCAACGGTGAGTTACAAAACTTTTCTATAAGTTTTTTTTGCCCGATGCGAATTGACGAAAACTCCACGAAATAAAAGAATCACTTATACGCCCATAGGGTAGGCCGAGGTCGGGGGGCTCAACCGGGCATCGCGTGTACTACGAGATTTGCTCGCTCATGAAAAGCTGGAGGCGAAACGGCAGCTCTAGAAATCTAGGATCGGTAATGTCAGGTGCATCTTGTTAGTAACGGACGAACGGGAAGGACGAATGGGAAGCAAGCGTATGCCATATGTATCGAATGGACGGGCTGCAGCAAAGCAGCGCAGAAAGAGGGCACACGGAATCCCAAGGCTCGGAAGAGCTGTGGCTTTCGCTTCGGAAACTTGTTGTGGTCAAGTTTCCGGTTCGGCTTCACATGGTTGTTGGCTGAACGGGTACATTTCAGGAGAAACCCTAGGTTAGAGCTGCGCGTTCAGCAGAACTCGACAACCTCGAAGGTCGTTCTCGCCGCCGCTTCAAGTGAATTGACCCGGTCCGGTGGGGTTCCAGTCTGGTTCGGAAGTGCAGAATACGGGAACATCTGGCCTGGGAGGAGAATGTGTGTGTACACAGCAAGGCAATGATTTGTCAGTGTTGATGCCGAATTCGTGTAGCAGCTTTGGCAGGCGCTGGACGACACAGAATCGGCGTGACGAATCGGGTAACCAGGTCGGGAACGAAGTGTGGGCCATCGGATCTTGAAAACTGTTTCTGATTGGTGTTATTGACTGTGGTGACATGGCAATTCGCGTTATGAAGTTCCCCCGTTCAAACGAGCCTCAAAACAACTGCAACTCTGTATCAGAACACTTATGCTAAATGGCACCATATACGCCATCCGAACGCACATGCGACTGCCTTCCCTCCATCACCTGCTAATCAAAGCCTGGTGTTCCAAATCTCACCAGTATACGGATAGCGGGCCACTGTAGGTGTACGGCTGGCTTTTGACACTAGCAAATAACTACAGACGCCATGCCTCTCTACACCCAGCTGTCGCTATTATCTCACTGCCATAATTGCTCAATATCGCCACCGTCCCTCTGCATTCGCTCGGACCGTCAGCCTGGTCTACCCATTTCTCGATCCTCCGCACAATCCAGCATTTCTAATAGTAGCCTCATGTCGAGTCGTAGCCTCGTCTTAGCGCCATTGCCGCTGCCGCTGCTTATGCCGCGGCGAAATGGTCCCTGGGATTCTGGAAACCGGCGGTCCTGCTCTAGCAGGATTGTAACCGCCGCGACGCCAGGCGCAGCCGGGGGAATGCGCGCACCCCCCGCTTCCCCTTTCGCTTCCCCCAGTTCCACCTCCCCGCGCTCCGCTATCCCCGGTTCCGCGTCCCCCCATTCCGCTCTGCGCACCCTCCAAACTCGTAGGCAATCCCGCTCTAGCCGCATCACAACCGCTGCAGCGTCAAATGCCCCGGGTGGAGCTTCCGCCTCCCCCGCATCCGCGCCCGCTGCGCCTAGGCCCGGCGCGAGCGGAGGCGGGGAGGCGCTTATATCGGGGGAAGGGCTGGCGAAGAGCTTCGGAATGGACGTTCTTTTCGAGGGGCTGGATGTGACTATAAGCAGAGGGCAGAAGCTGGGGCTGCTGGGGCGGAACGGATGCGGTAAAAGCACATTGCTGAGGATACTAGCGGGGATGGACGCACCTGATAAGGGCAAGGTGCAGCGCCGGCGGCACCTGAACCTGGCGTTTCTCGCTCAGGTGAATTCAACAATAACTACACGGCCAGTCCGACCCTAGCTGCTCTTATCTTTAGGCACATAAGGTTGTTGAGTAAACCGGGGTCCGGACCTGCCCGCCGGGATCCAGACCTGCCCGCTTATTTCTGTGCACATAAGGTTGTCAACACTTTTCCATGCCCTCCTTTATCCCTAACCCCCAACCCCAACTCTCGAACCCCAAACCCCAAACCCCGAACCCTAAACAGGACCCCGATTTACCCGCGTCTCTGTCTCTTCTAGACGCAGTACTATCTGCAGACAATGCCGCCATGCGTGCTGTGAGGGAGTACTCACTGCATTTCATAACCCCGAAACCCACTACCCTAAAATCACCAGGATCCGGACCTACCCGCGTCTCTGTCACTTCTAGACGCGGTGTTGTCAGCGGACAATGCGGCCATGCGTGCTGTGAGGGAGTACGAGCGAGCAGCGCAGAGGATGAAGGGCCGAGGTGCGTGTGTGAATACGGTTTGTGGTTGTGGAGCAACTTGTAAAGGGGATGAGAGCAGGGGTGAGGGGAAGGGGCATTGGTTGGCAGGGCTATCATCGGACAATGCCGCCATGCGTGCTGTGAGGGAGTACAAGCGAGCAGCTCAGAGGATGAAAGGCCGAGGTGTGTGTTGTGGGGCGGCTTATATAGGGGATGGAAGCAGGGGTGAGGGGAGAGGAGGGGCTATCAGCAGACAATGCTGCCATGTGCGCTGCGAGGGAATCCGAGCGAGCAGCGCAGAGGATGAAGGGCCGAGGTGTGTGTTGTGGGGCGGCTTATAAAGGGGATGAAAGCAGGGGTAAGCGCAGTATGCGTGTGGTAGTGAAGTGGATGGGTTGGAGGCCATTGGGGCATGGAATGTGGTGGCAGAGGCGGAGCAGCTCACATCTACTTTTTAGAATTCTCAAAAGTAGCTCACATCTACCTCCCTACACCCTAAACCCCCCTTGAACCCCTTCACCCACCCTCTCCTCCCGGCCCCCCCCCGGTGCTTCCACCAGACCCCACCCCTCTTCAGAGGCAGCAGCGCTGCAGCGAGCCATGGATGGGATGGAGGCGATGGGGGCATGGGACGTGGTGGCAGAGGCGGGGAAGAGGGTTGCTCATTATTCAACCCCCCTCCCCTACGCTCTCAACCCTACCCCTCAAAACTCCAAACCCCAAACCACCAGACCCCACCCCCTCGGAGGCAGCAGCGCTGCAGCGGGCCATGGATGGGGTGGAGGCGATGGGGGCATGGGACGTGGTGGCAGAAGCAGAGAAGCTGCTGGAGATCCTCGGGCTGGGGGACGCTGCTCTCACCAACGGTGGTGGCGGTGGTGGCGGGGGGATTATGGAGCGGCAAGTTTCGTCGCTTAGTGGCGGGCAGAAGAAGAGAGTGGCCCTGGCTGCGACGCTGCTGGCAAAGCCAGAGCTGATCATTCTCGATGTGAGTGGCTTTGTGCGTGATGCGAGTCAGGGAAGAGAGGGATTGAGGGAAAGGGAGAGATAGGAAGAGAAAGGAGGGAGAGGAGGAGTGGAAGAGGGCGGGTGGCCCCCTGGCTGCGACGCTGCTGGCGAAACCAGAGCTGATCATTCTCGATGTGAGTGGGCTTTGCCGATGTGAGTGGCTGTGTCAGTGTGAGTGCATTTGTTGATGTGCGTTACGAGGAGAAAAAATGAGGGAGGGAGAGGAGGATAAGGAGAGGGTGGCCCCCTGGCTGCGACGCTGCTGGCGAAACCAGAGCTCATCATTCTCGATGTGAGTGGCTTTGTCAAAGTGAGTGTGGAAGAGAAGGATTGAGGGAGAGGTGGACAGCTAAGACCTCAAAGAAACCAGAGCTCATCATTCTCGATGTGAGTCGATCTGCCTGCCTCTCCGCCTCTGCCTCTCCGCCTCTGCCTCTCCGCCTCTGCCTCTCCGCCTCTGCCTCTCCGCCTCTGCCTCTCCGCCTCTGCCTCTCCGCCTCTGCCTCTCCGCCTCTGCCTCTCCGCCTCTGCCTCTCCGCCTCTGCCTCTCCGCCTCTGCCTCTCCGCCTCTGCCTCTCCGCCTCTGCCTCTCCGCCTCTGCCTCTCCGCCTCTGCCTCTCCGCCTCTTCCTCTCCGCCTCTGCCTCTCCGCCTCTTCCTGCCTGATCAAGGGCAAGATTCAAAGAATTCTGCATTCACCACTCCCCCTTACCCAGATCCCCCACTCCTTTTCCTCTCCCTCTATCTCCATTACTCCTTGAATCCCCTCCTGCCACCCCATTGCTCTTTGCCACTCCTCACCATTAGGAGCCCACCAACCACATGGACGTGACGGTCATTGATTGAATGTCGCCCTGCCCCCTCCCACTGTCCATCACGTTTTCAATCCCCCACCCACCACTCTACCCACTGACCGCAGGAGCCCACCAACCACATGGACGCGGCGGTCATTGATTGGATGCAATCCGCCCTCTCCGACCCCTCTCTCACCGTCGTCCTCGTCTCTCACGACCGTTACTTTCTCGATGCCGTTGCACGCAAATGCTCGAGATGACACCCTTGGTGGCTTCTCACCCACACGCCCACTCATATTCCTCGCCTCAACCCTACCCCTGAACCTGAAAGAACCTAATTCCGTCTCCTCCTCCACCCACCCTCCCCCTCACCAGGAGCCCACCAACCACATGGACGTGGCAGTCATTGATTGGATGCAATCCGCCCTCTCCGACCCCTCTCTCACCGTCGTCCTCGTCTCCCACGACCGTTACTTTCTCGACGCCGTCTGCACTCAAATGCTCGAGATCGACCGGGGGACCTCCTTCCGCCACTCGGGCAACTACACAAACTTTTTGGCTGCCCGGGCGAAGCGGGCGGTCGAAGAAGCCGCCGCGATTGGCCGGGCAGCAAACACGCTGCGGCGGGAGGGGGAGTGGATGCGGCGAATGCCGAAAGCTAGATCGACTAAGTCCCGGTCGAGAATCGACCGGTTTTTGGCGCTTACTAAAGCAACGGCGGAGAAAAGGCAGCGGCAGCAGCAGGCGGCGGTGGGGAGTGTGGTGGAGATGGGTATGGGGGAGGCACGACTGGGTGGGAAGGTGTTGGAGTTGAGAGATGCTACGGCGATGCGAGGAGAGAGCACCGTGTTTGAAGGGTTTACGTGAGTGCGGTGGGGGAGGGTTGGGAGGGATGGGAAGGGATGGGAATGTGATTGTTTGGTGGACTGTGGCTCTTGGTATCACGGCTGTGTGCTGTGTGTGGGATGGGAAGGTGCTGGAGTTGAGAGATGCGACGGCTATGAGGGGAGAGAGCACCGTGTTTGAAGGGTTCACGTGAGTGCGGTGGAGGCGGGTTGGGAGGGATGGGAAGGGATGGGGATGTGATTGTTTGGTGGACTGTGGCTGTTGGTATCACGGCTGTGTGCTGTGTGTGGGGTGGGAAGGTGCAGGAGTTGAGAGATGCGACGGCCATGAGGGGAGTGAGCACTGTGTTTGAAGGGTTCACGTGAGTGTGGGGAGGCGGATGGGGGAGGATGGGGGTGTGATTACTTGGTGGGCTGTGGCTGTTGGTTGTACGGCTGAGGGCGCTGTGTGTGGGATGGGAAGGTGTTGGATGGAGCTGAGAGATGCAACAGCCATGAGAGGAGAAAGCACCGTGTTTGAAGGATTCACGTGAGTATGGGGAATGGGCGTGTGATTGTGTGTGGGTGGGTGGTTGTTGGTTGCACGGCTGTGGGCTGTGTGTGGGATGGGAAGGTGTTGGAGCTGAGAGATGCGACGGCAACGTTCTTTTAGGCGCCTCAAAAGTCGTTTTATGAGGCGCCTCAAAAGTCGTTTTATGAGGCGCCTCAAAAGTCGTTTTATGAGGCGCCTCAAAAGTCGTTTTATGAGGCGCCTCAAAAGTCGTTTTTTGAGGCGCCTCAAAAGTTGTGTGTGGGATGGGAAGGTGTTGGATGGAGCTGAGAGATGCGACGGCAACGCGAGGAGAGACCCTATGTTTGAGGGGTTCACATGAGTGTTGGGGAAGGGGTTGTGGTGGGGAAGGATGGGGGTGTGGGTTACGGGCATGTATTTTGAGAATTCTCAGAATACATATGCAGCATCAAATCTCTCTCCCAGGGTGTTAGTTACGGCCAGTTACGGTGCCTCATCTCAGTTTTCTATGCGCGTCAAAACTGAGATGAGGCACCGTGTTTACCCATGTCCTCTGCCTTGGCCCCCTTGTCACATGTCCCTGAGATGTTTGCACAACTCTTCCATGTCCATACGGGAGCTTGCAGAGTGTGATAAGTCGAGTTTTGAGTTTTGAGACGTCTCAATAGTCCATGTCCATACGGGAGCTTGCAGAGTGTGATAAGTCGAGTTTTGAGTCGACTCCGATGAGCTTGCAAAACTCGGCTTATCACGCTCTGCCTTGGCCTCCTTCTCCCCAGTTTGCACAACTCTTCCATGTCCCCAGCACGCACAAATACCTCCCGTATTCCGCATGCCCTCCATCCCTCCATCCCCTCATGCCCTGTCTTGGCCTCCTTCTCCCCAGTTTGCACAACTCTTCCATGTCCATACGGGAGCTTGCACGCATAAATACCTCCCGTATCCCCCATGGCCCCCATCCCTACATCCCCTCATGCCCTGTCTTGGCCCCCTTGTCCCCCATCCTCTTGCATGCTCTCCCCGCGGCCTACCGTCAGGTATGAGTTTGGTCGCATTTTGAGGCGCCTCAAAAAACATCCCTCCATGCCCTCATGCCCTGTCTTGGCCCCCTTGTCCCCCATCCTCTTGCATGCTCTCCCCGCGGCATACCGTCAGGTATGAGTTTGGTCGCGGGGATCGGCTGGGAGTGGTGGGCCGAAACGGAGCAGGGAAGACCACTGTAAGCACCTTACCTTAAATAGCCACAATTTTCGAGTTTTGAGTCGACTCAAAACTCGACTCATTACACCCACTGTAAGCACCTTACCTTAACTAGCCACAAATTTCTTCTTCTTCTTCATGGATCGGCTTAACTTAACCCAATTTTCTGGGGTCATCGGTATTCTTCTCTTTTCTCCTTCTCTCTCTCGCCCCTTCTTCCCTCCCGCTCTCCTCACTCCTTTCCACTTTCCTCCCTCGTCTTTTGTCCCTCTTCCTCTTACAAGATTGTCTCTTTCCCCTCTGCCCCCCACCCCTTCCCTCCCTTCAGTTCCTAGATGCATTGGCAGGGCTGCTGCCTCTCCCATCGGGTACCAGAGATGTGGGGGAGACGGTGGTGATGGGCTATTACACACAGCACATGCCCCCCGTGCCGGACAACATGCTCGACTTTGTTCAGAACTTCCCCTTTCCCTTCTTCTCCCTCTCCCCTTCCTCTCCATCTCCCCTCTTCTCAGTTCCTAGACGCGTTAGCAGGCCTCCTGCCTCTCCCTTCCGGTACCAGAGATGTGGGGGAGACGGTGGTGATGGGGTATTACACACAGCACATGCCCCCCGTGCCGGACAACATGAGAGTTCTCGACTTTGTTCAAAACTTCAACCCGACAGCTGCTGTCCTCGGCTCCTGGGGCTCCATCCCTGCTGCTGCTGCCGCTGCCGCTGCTGGTGATGGTTCTGCCTCTAGTTCTTCTCCCGTTGCTGCTGGTTCGGGTGGGGCTTCTATGTCTGGAGGGAGTGGTTCGGACGAGCCTGTTTCCGCTTCGGAGCTTCTGGAGCGGTTTGGATTTCCCCGGGCGAAGCAGTACGCCTGGTGAGACCCTGTTTTCCCATCGTTGGCACTCAATATGTCAGTGGGCCTAATACATTCGGTTCACCTTAGTAGCCTCCCTCCGCTCCTTGAATATGTTCTTCCTCCGTTTCCCTCACGTTCCTCCCTCCTACGTGTCCATTTGTGTCTCCATTGTACTGACCTGTCCCTTCATTGTATCACCGTTGCACCCCAGCCATGCCCACACATCCGGGCGTCGAAGCTGAGTGGAGGGGAGAAACGGCGGCTGCTGCTGGCAGCAGTGTCGGCGCAGCGGCCAAACTTCCTCATGCCTCCTCACTGCGCCGCCCTGCCTCTTCTTTCGTTCTACTCATCTCCCCGTCCCCCGCTTTCCTGCACATCAGGGCGTCAAAGCTGAGTGGAGGGGAGAAACGGCGGCTGTTACTGGCAGCAGTGTTGGCGCAGCGCCCAAACTTCCTCATGCTGGATGAGCCCACCAACGACCTCGACTTACAAACCATCGAGGTATGCACTCTAGGCACTTCTGCCTAGCAGTCTTCTGCACAGCAGTCTTGGCGCAGCAACCCAACTTCCTCATGCTGGATGAACCCACCAACGACCTCGACTTGCAGACCATAGAGGTGAGCCTTGTAGGCACAAGTGTGTGTCTCTGTGTTTGAGACAGCAGTGTTGGCGCAGAGACCCAACTGCCTGATGCTGGACGAGCCCACCAACGATCTTGACCTGCAGACCATTGAGGTGAGCCTTGTAGGCACTGACACCGCAGCTGCTTGTTCTAGGTATGTTGGTGAAGAGCAAGGGTGTGCCTGTGTTTGAGACAGCAGTGTTGGTGCAGCGGCCCAACTTCCTCATGCTTGATGAACCCACCAACGACCTGGGCTGACAAACCATCGAGGTACCCCTTCTAGCCACTGCAGCTGCTTGCTTGCTGAGGCACGTGGGGATGGCACGGTTGTTCTCGGTATGCTGGTGAACATCATTGTGTGCGTGTGCTCAACACCCCTGCTTCTGTCCTTCCCCAGGCTCTGGAGTCATTCCTCTCAGCGTACGAGGGCTGTCTGCTAGTGGCCTCCCACGACCGGGCATTCATGGATGCGGTGGTTGACCGCCAGTTCGTGCTGCAAGGGGACGGACAGGTGTTGCTTTACGACGGGCTGTTCTCGGAATATCTCGCTGACGCGCAGGAGCAAAAAGCGGAGAAGGAAAAAGAGGAGAAGGAGAGGGTTGCGGAGGAGGAGAGGAGGAAGGAGGCTGAAGCAAAGAGTGTGGCTGAGGAGCGGAGGAAGGGGGAGGAGGGAGCAGGTTCGGGTGGGATTAAGGTGAAAGGGAAGTCGGCTCGGAAGATGTCGTATATGGAGAGGAAGGAGTGGGAGCGGTTGGAAAAGGAGATTGAGAAGTTGGAGAAGAAAAAGGTGGCGGTTGAGGCACAGCTGGAGGAGAAGAGCAAGGCGGGAGATTTTGCGATGCTCCAAGGGTTGTCCGATGAGCTTGCTGCGCTGGGACAGGCTATAGAGGCGAAATCAGATAGGTGGCTCGAGCTGGCAGAGCTAGCTGAGTAGTTCTACATGGATGCCGATGACTTTTATTTGTTCACTTACCTGTTTTCCAGTTTCATTCAGAAACTCATGTAGCGCAATGAAGTGAGAACAATGTGTACAGAACCGAAGTAACTCGAATGGTGAATGCCACCTTGTTGTGGGCTCGTGCAGGCCTGGGCGCTTCGCACGAGGTTCCGACCAAACCCACAGCCAGCGACGTGGCGTGCTCCTCTTTGGCGTGGGAGTGCACGACAGACCAAGTTCCTTCGCGAATCGGTTGCGACGAATCCTCGCAGGACATTTTGGCACGACCGACAAATGCGAGCACAGAAGACATTCGCGAATACTCCATACGACGACAGAGTAACCACTTCTCATCCCTCGCCTGCAACAACTGCCCGCAGACCTGTTGCGGCTGCGTTCAGCAGTCAATCGTGGGCTCCTGCCCTGGTAACAAATTCGCTACATCACCTCTCAACGAATCAGAAGCAGCCTAGCGAACCTTTGCAGCTTTGGCGCCTCTTTTCAAGCCTGATTTCCAGGTTTGGAACATTTTGTGGGAGTCTCTAGGTTCCGCCGAACCTTTCAGTTTCAGGTCTTGGGAACTCCAGAACAGCGCAACATTGCGAGCAGCACCAGTGACTGCTGCTGTTGCTCTTCCTCCTGAGCAGCACTCACGTCAGGGAGATGGCTCGTCATTTTTGAGCAAGGTGATTCCGAAGGCTGATTTCTGTGGGTGATTCCAAGGTGTCAGTTTCAGAAGCACTACGTAGGAGCATCAAAAGTTCCCAGCTGCTTTCTTGAACTTCTAGTGCAGCCTGGGAGTCTTAGTCCTGTAGCATTTCACGCTAACGTTACTGCGTAAGCGGTGCGTCAACCGCTTATAGTTCAGCCTAACTTACTATATTCATATCATCTTCCGACTTATGAGGTTGGGAAGTACTTGTCTAACGTCGCTAACTACTGAACCTGAAATAGGTCTACTCGTCTAACGTCGCTAACTACTGAACCTGAAATAGTTCTGCTCGTCTAACGTCGCTAACTACTGAACCTGGGATAGGTCTGCTTCTACTTCGTTCACAATAATGCAACCAACTTCAAGACTCCACTGCTCTTCGTAGTATTTTACCTCTTAACTTAACCTGAAGCCCTTCTGTTGAGCTTACTTGACAATGACTACAGTACCACTTACTAGCGATGTTACTGACACTTCGTCGCGACGTCACGAAAGCGCGTCCTTTCGACGGTCGTCGCAGGAGCGCAAAGAAGACGTCGCAGCATCAGATAAACACCTGCCTCGGCACGTGTCCAAGACGACCTTTGCGTCTCTTATACGACAGCTTGTTAACGTCCAAAAGTAAGTGGCTTGATCTCATTTTCGTTAGAGCTCGCTTCCTTCCATCTACTTACCGATTAAGTGTTTCTGTTTATTCAAAGGTTTTCTGACATTGATTACTCACCTCCTTAATTTCTCCCCACTATATCCCCACCTCCTTCCCTCTTGGAAAATTGTCAACACCCACTGTAATTGTCGCCTCGGCGAACCAACAGCAAGACCCACCCCTCTCCGTCCCACGACTCTTCGCCTTGCCTGCCAAACCTGGGCAAACTCCGAAGCTCGCTGTCCGCCGAGCCTCCGTCCGTTCCTCTCACTCTTCGTCTAGTCCCTCCTGGCTCGGGGATCATTGGGTGTTCCCAACTGCAAGCCCAGGACTCGTACGGTCACTACGCGCCGAGCTACCTCCAATCTAGAAGAGTTTGTCACCAATGGGAGCCACCTCACATGTAAGACACCTGAATACGTCCTCCCTATTGATGTACACCACATTCTACATCCTACATTCATAAAGACGGGAAGAGAAACGCCCACCCCGTCTCCTCCGTCCCCACCATTCGTCACGTGTGTTTCTTCCCTCACATTTTCTCCCCCCCCCCCTTTCCCCCCGCGCATCCTGTGTCCGTTTATGTGTTTCATTCCTCGACTTCCACAGCAGCCCATCTCAGAGCGTCTTTTGAGGTTCTTGCGGCGCAGGCGCTGACAATGGCTTGCTTTTGAGACGTCTCAAAAGTGTCCCCCCTCACCTCCCTTCTTCCCCCCCGCATTCCCCGACTTCCACAGCAGCCCATCTCAGAGCGTCTTCGAGGTACTTGCGGCGCAGGCGCTGACAATGGCTTGCGCGCAGCAGGGGCGGCAATCAGCAGCGGAAGGGCAGCAAATACCGCGGAAACGGACACACGGAAGCGAACACAGAGGGGTGTATAGAGAGGGGTATGGACAGAAGCATAGCGCACATAGGGTCGCTGATTCGGGGATGTTGGTGAAGCAAGCAGAGCAAGCCACGGCTAGGGGAGAGGTATCAGCTGGGGCAGAGGCACGGGCAGGAACAGAAGCAGCAGCACGGACAGAAGCAGAAGCAGGAGAGAAGGAGGTTCGTGGAGTCCTACTAGCTAAAAGCTGCGGTTCAAATCCCAACGACCCGTCTAACCCCCAGCTGGCTCGGGGTGCTGGTCTATTTGCTCAGGATAGTGTACCCCGCGTGTCTCAATCTCAGCCGTCCGATAGTGAAGGGATTTATCTGATGGGGATAGATGCGCTGGAAGCTGCGCTGGCACTGAAAAGACGGGAGGAGGAAGGGGTGGAGGAGAGGGAGGGGATTGAAATAGAAGAAGAGGAAAAGGAAGAGGAAAAGGGAGAGGAGAGGGAAGAGGGGGTGGTGTGTATAAAACGGATAGAGGGGACTTTTGGAGGAAGTGATGATGCTGTGAGTGTAGACCGTGTTGTGGTTCTTCGCGGGGCTGCTCATATAGGGGATGCTAAAATAACAGACGGTGAGGGGGAAATGAATGGGAAAGAGGGTGAGGACGACACATGCCTCGAGCTAGGAAAGCAGATGCAGTTAGAGTCAGTCGACGCACTTCAGATCAAGGCAGAAGAGGTTTCGGGAATTTCGCAGAGAACTTCCGTTAGGGCAGAGGAGGCGAGGGCAGGGGCGGTGGAGACGAGTCCAAGGGCGGCGGATCAGGACCGGAAGCACCCTCGGGGAATGAGGAGGGTGAGATCGGCGGGTATGGGTCACGCAGCAGAAGTTGAAGTGGCAGGAGGAGGAGGGGTGGGGTTTGGAGGAGGGGAACGAGAGCGCGCTTTCACATTGCTGCAGCCGCCGCCGCTGCTGGTTGGTGCGTCTGTGGGAAGGTTCGGGGAAGGATCAGCGGAGGTGAAGGAGCAATGGTGCGAAAGGGACAGGCAGGGAGCGGGGAAAAGGGTTGGCGCGGAGGAGGGTCTATTGGCGAGGAATGCGGCTGGTTCTGTCTGTCAGGAGATTTCTGAGGCGCCTCAAAGGGCTGAAGCCGAGGAACGGGCTGGAGCAGAGGAAGCGGATGGAGCAGAGGAAATAGGTGAAGGGGAGAAAGCGGACGGAGCAGAGGAAATAGCTGAAGGGGAGGAAGCGGATGGAGCAGATGGAAGGGCTGAAGGGGAGGAAGCGAATGGAGCAGAGGAAAAGGATGGTGATCAGTGTCTAGAAGACATGTCATCATCGCACCCTTCCTCCTCTTCCCTCACACTCCCCCTCACGCACTCCCCTCCCTTAGCCGCCAGCACCACCACCACCGCCGCAGCATCCGTCCTCCCTGTCCCATCCCCGTCCCTTTCTCCCACCCCATCTGCACATCTTTCCCTTTTCCCGTTCCCCTTCCCCTTTCCCTTCCCCTTCCATCTCCCTCCATTCTCTGCTGACTCCACCCCTTCCTCCTCCAATCATCCCTCTCGCTTTACCACTCCAGGCCCCCACCCGCTCAACACCCCTGCTTCCACCGCCCACTCTCTACACCGCCCGTTCTCCCTGTACCGCCCAATATCGCCCTCAAACCGCTCTCTATCCTCCAAAACCCTTTACAGTCCGTCCTCTTCGACCCTTTCTCCCGCTCTGCCTGCACCGCAACGAGCAGCACCATCTTCAGCAGCAGGTTCCGAAGCCGTCACAGCAGCTGTAGGAAGATCCGGTTGTAGCAGCGCTCTTCCCAGTGCTGCTACAGCCGGGTGCAGGTCGGCAGGGTCCGGCATGGCAGTGGGCAGCAGCAGGATGAGCAGCTTTAGCGAGTTCAGCCTCCCTCCAAACGCACTGGACGAAGGGAGGAACCACGCGGCATGGCATGGGGCGCTGAGACTCAGAGGCGGCAGCAGGTACGGCACTGCCAGATGTGCCACTGCTGAGTGTGACACTGCCAGGTGTGACTCTGGCGGATGTGACACTGCCAGATGTGACTCTGCCGGGCGTGACACTTCCGGGTGTGACTCTGCCGGGTGTGACTCTGCGAGACGTGCCCCTTCGCAGAACAGAAAATTGAGCAAGAGTTTGTCGCTAGAGGAGAGGGTTCTGGGACTGGGAGGGCTTGCAGAAGGAGTCAGCTACGGGTGGGGCGTGGGGCTTCTGAGGCTTGACGACGCCCTGAAGAACGGAGGAAGCGAGCATTTGAGTGACCACGGTGGGGCCAGCTCGAGTGGTGAGGCGTCTCAAGCCTCTAGTTACGGCTGGGGCGTGGGGCTGTTGAGACAGAGAGACGGTCTGAAGCAAGGAGGAAGAGGGGAAGCGAGGACGGAAGGTCCGGGGAGGAGTGTGGGTGAGTATGACGGTGTTACGACACAGGGGAGTGTTTTGAAGCAGGGGGGTGTGGAGGAGCGGAGGATGGAAGTTAAGGCCTTAACTGAGGTGGGTATGATGTGTGAGGAAGCGAGTAGCCATGCTCGGTTCAGCACCAGTGGATCTGCCAGTAGGACAGATGGGGGCGGCCAAAGCAGTGTTTTCCCAATTAGCAACACGCAGAATGGTAGCAGCAGGCATAGCGGCAGCAGAAGCAGGAGTAGCAGCGGGCAGAATGGCAACAGCAGCAGCAGCAGCAGCAGCGGAAACAACAGCAGCAGAAACAGCAGACAGAACAGTGCTGATAGCAGACGCAGCCATGCAAGTAAAGGCAAGGGAGGAAGTAACCACAGGAGCTCAGGCAAGGCTGGCAGCAAAGGCAGTGGCAGGGGGTGGTTCGGTAGAGGTAGCAGGAGCAGCATGGGTAGTGAGGAGTTGAGCCAGAGCAAGAGCAGGGATGGTGGGGATTTGGGCAGGAACACGAGGAGGGGTTGTGGTGAGTTGGGCAACGGACGAAGGGCACGTGACTTGGGCACATGCAGCAGCAGGGCTGGTGAGAGGAGGAGCACTGAGAGGAGCAGCATCGAGGGGGGCAGCTTTGTGGGGAACCGAAACAATCTTCTTGCGATGCTGGTATCGTTACAGCAGTCGCACAGTCAGCAGCAGGATTGTGAGGCCCGTCGACACGAGAGCAGGCTTGTAGAGGGCTTGATGGGGAGAAGGACGGGGAGCAGCCGGGGGAGAAGCAAACGAAGCCGCGGGGAATGGTCAGTGAGGAGTAAGGGGCTGGTTGGACCGATTGAGGAAGAGGAGGGAGAAATAGGGGAGGAGAGAGAGGAGGCGAACGGGGGGAGACAAGGGGGGAGGGGAAAGGAGGAGGAGAAAGGGGAGTGTAAGGATCTTCATAGCCTGGTGCACGAATGGCTGGAGATGGAAGGAGAGGCTGAGCTGGCAAGCGGTGATTCGCCGATTCTGGACATAATAACGCTCACAGCGTTACTGGGGGCTGCTGGGGTTGGGGTGTCGTCCAGACGGGAGAAGTGGGAAGAGAGGCAGATGTGCGTGGATTCGAAGGGAGGAGGTCTGCTGGTAGATGGAGCCGCAGCAGAGCAAGGATCAGCAGGGCCACCAGCAGCAACTTTAGCAGCAGCTTTGGCAGCAACACCACCGGCAGCAGAATCAGCAGCAGCATCAGAGTTGGCAGCAGGGCCGGCAGCATCAGATCTGGCAGCAGGGTCACCAGCAGAGCCACCAGCCGAGCCAACAGCCGAGCTACCAGCAGCACGTACAGGAGGTCGGCCAGTGGCGCATTGGCGGCCGTCCTCGGGACCTGTTGTAGCAATGGCAGCAGCATCAGAGGCTGTATCAGCCGCAGCTTCCCCTCACCGCCCGCTCTCTGGGCCCCTGACTGGGCACAAGCGGAAACGAAACGGCCTGCCACTGCCCCACCAGCACTCTGTGGTGAGAAACACCCTTCTTTTCCACAACACCCGGCACACCACCCATCATCTTGCCTTGTCACTCGCCACAGCTCCGACCGCTGTGTCTGAGGGCCTGGGAAGCGTGGGCAGGGAGGAATGGGATTTGGCTCACCAGTCTCCCTGGTTGCGTGAGAGGGGGTCAAGTGAAGAGTGTGTGTTGTTGCTGCCCTTGGCTATGGCGCGGGGGGGACGCGAAGCTGGGCGTATGAACGCCGCTGGTGCTGCTCCTTTGGGAACATCTCCAAGGCAGGCTCAGAGTCCTTCCTTTGAAGCGCTGCCGCAGCTGCCCTTGGCCATGGCGCGGGAGGGATGTGAGGCTAGGTCTGGTGTGGACTGCGGTGCTGCTCGGTTGGGAACATCTCAGCAGCTGCTGCCCCTGTCCATGGCGCGGGGAGGACGTGAGGTTGGGCCTCAGGAGATCTCTCAAAGGCAGGGTGAAGCGTTTGAGGGGCCTCAGCAGCTGCTGCCCCTGTCTCTTGCGCGTGGGGGATGCCAAGTTGGGCCTTCACAGGCGTTGGAGGGGAAAGAGGAGTTGGGGGAAGAGAGGGAAGAGGAAGAGATGGAGGGAGAAACGAGGGAGGGGGAAGAGAGGGAAGGGACAGGGGACGGGAATGGTGGGGAAGGAGGAGAGGGAGGCGAGGGCAGAAGGGGAAAAGGGGGAGAGAGCAATGGAACAGGCGGAGGGGGAGCAGGGGGAGAAGGGGGAGTAGGTGGGGCAGGCGGAGTGGGCAATGATGGGGAGGAGGGTGATGGAGGGGAGGGCGATGACGAGGGGAATGGTGGAGAGGGAAGTGGGAATGGGGATGGAGGGGAGGAAGGGGAGGATGGGGAGGAGGAGGATGGTAGTTGTGAGAGAGAGGAGGGAGTTGACGAAGAGGAGAAGGAGGAAGAAGGGGTGGAGGAGAATGAGGAGGGTGAGATAAGGGCAGATGAAGAGGTTTCGCAGGAAAAAGGAGAGAAGTCGCTGTTCTGTAGGCAGCATGAGGGAGTGGCTGCGTCAGGGACAGTAGCAGAGGTGAGAACAGGAGAAGTGTCAGATGTTGAGAGAGTAGATGCGGTAGAGACAGCTGATAACAGGTTTGCTGATGCAGACCAATGTTTGGTGACAACAGGACTTGAAAGCGCGGGTATACTCCAATGCGAGGCAGACGAAGCGGCTGAGGTGGAATCAGAGGCAGCTGTCGCAGCTGGGAGCAAACAAGCCACAGATCAGACTGCAGAGACAGCTGATGCAGTCGCCTGTTCCTTGGCTACAGCTTTTGAAAGAGTGGATACGATTCAATGCGAGGCATATGATGCAGCAGAGACACAATTAAAGGCAGCAGTTGCAGCAGGAGAGACAGCAGAAAGGGCAGCAAGAGCAGGAGTAGCAGAAGCAGCAGAAGAAGCATCAGCAGAAGCAGCTGAAGCAGGAGTAGGAGCGGAAGAGGAAGCAGCAGAAGCAGAAGAGGAAGCAGCAGGAGCAGAAGAGGAAGCAGCAGGAGCAGAAGAGGAAGCAGCAGGAGCAGAAGAGGAAGCAGCAGGAGCAGAAGAGGAAGCAGCAGGAGCAGAAGAGGAAGCAGCAGGAGCAGAAGAGGAAGCAGCAGGAGCAGAAGTGAAATCAGCAGGAGCAGAAGCAGGAGCAAAAGGAGCAGTAGAAGCAGGAGAAGAGGAAATTGAAGGAACAGGAACGAGCTGCTCTGTAGCAGCAGGAGTAGAAGTGAGAGAAGGAGCCGATGGGAACTCAACCGCAGGAGCAGCAGGAGGAAAAGAAGCAGCAGCACCAGCAGCGTTAGTGGCAGTAGCAGCTGATCAGCTCACTGCAGATTATGCAGCGGCAGAGGTTGCTAAGAATCCCAACAACTCTGAACGAGGGTCCTTTGAATCGACTCAAGAGGGGCTTGCGAGTCCTGATGACTCTGAAGCAGCAGCGGTAGTGGCAATGGCAGCTGATCAGCTCACTCCAGGTTATGCAGCGGCAGAGGTTGCTAAGAATCCCAATAACTCTGAACGAGGGTCCTTTGAGCCAACTCAGGAGGGGCTTGCGAGTCCTGCTGACTCTGAAGCAGCAGCGGTAGTGGGAATGGCAGATTATGCAATGGCCGAGGTTGGTTCTACGGAGAGCCCCAATAATTCTGAACAGGGGTCCTTTGAGTCGACTCAAAAGGGGTTTGCAAGCCCTGCTGACTTTGCTTCTGCTCAGGACTTGCTCGATTCAGCTGGGGAGGGGTTTGCAAGCCCTGCTGACTCGGCTCATGTTTCGGCTGAGTCGACTCAGGAGGGGCTCCCAAGCCCTGCTGACTTTGCTTCTGCTCAGGACTTGCTCGATTCAGCTCGGGAGGGGTTTGAAACCTCTGCTGACTCTGCTCAAGTTTCCGTTGAGTTGACTCAGGAGGGGCTTCCAAGCCCTGCTGACTTTGCTTCTGCTCAGGACTTGCTCGATTCAGCTCGGGAGGGGTTTGAAACCTCTGCTGACTCTGCTCAAGGTTCCGTTGAGTTGACTCAGGAGGGGCTTCCAAGCCCTGGAGACTCTGCTGCTGCTCGGAATTTGTTCGATTCAGTTGGGGAGGGGTTTGCGAGCCCTGCTGACTGTGCTGTTGCTCGGGTGGGGTTTGACAGCCCAGCTGACTGTGCTGCCGCTCAGGATTTGTTCGATTCAGCTGGGGAGGGGTTTGCGAGCCCTGCTGACTGTGCTTCTGCTGAGGATTTGTTTGACTCGGCTCGAGAGGGGTTTGAAAGCCCGTTTAGCACCGAACAAGTGTTCTTTGAGGCGACTGGGAAGGGTTGCGAGTGTTCGGAGAATGATAATAACGAGAAAGAGGTGTTGTTTGATACCTTGGCCGCCTTCAGTCCAGAGGCTTTTACTTTTGAGGGTGCTGGTGATGATGCTGAGAGCAGTAGAAAGGGGGGAGCAGCTGCAGGAGTCGAAACAGAGAGTGAAGCATCAGAGGGAGGTGAGATTGCTGTAAGAAGGATTGAGACGTCTCAGGATTGTGTATATACCAACGGCAGCAAGGGAAATCAGGAACTCTTGGGTTTGGATGTTACATGGATGAAGGAGCAAGGGGACGACGAGAAGGAGAGGGAAACGACGGAGAGGAGAGAGGAGGAGAAGGAAAGGATGTGCATCGACGTGGAAGAGGAGGATGCAGGGAGTGCAGTGGGTGCAGTGGGGTTGACTGCGGTGGATACAACAGTTGGAGAGGATATGACAGGCGCTAGGGATATGATGGAGAGGGTAGGCCTTGTGGGCATGCTGCTGAGACGGGTACGAAACCGGTTGGGTAAGCAAGACGTGCAGGAGGGATTGGGGGAGGAAGTGGGCGAGGGTTTGAGGGAGGGAGTGAAGGAGGAAGGTGGGGAGGAAGTGGGGCAAGACGTCGATGAGAGATTGGGAGAGAAGGTGGGGATGGAAGTGCGGGGAGGGGAGGATGAGAGTGAGGAAGTGGGGAGAGGGGGAGAAATGAGGGAGGAAGTGGGGGGTGGGGAAGAAGAGAGGGAGGAGAAGGGCAGAGGGAAAGAAGAAAGGGAGGAATTTGAAAGAGAGGACGTAGAGAGGCAGGAAGTGGGGAGGGGGGAAGAGGAAAGGGAGGAGGAGGGGAGAGAGGAAGTGAGGAGAGAGCAGAGAGAGGAGGAGCGTGAAGTGGAGGAGTCAAAGAGAGGAGGGAAGCAGGCGTGGGAGGAGGAGGAGGAGAGGGTGGAGAGGTTGGAGCAGCTGCTGCTGCGCATCAAGGCAAGGCTGGTGCTCGTCAACTCATCTGCTGCTGCTACTGCTGCTGCTGCTGGATCATCTGAGTCGACTGCTGTCAACGCAGTAGCTGCTGCTGCAGCTGCTGCTCCTGCACCTGCTGCACCGGTCAACTCAGCAGCTGCTGCTGCCCGTTCAACTGAAGGGCCGTCTCGTACCGAGACACGTATAGTAACCTTTGACTTTAACCAAGAGGCAGGACCACAAATGGAGACAGCAGCGCATATGGAGACAGGAAATGACCTGTTTTTCGAAACGGTTCAGGATTCACCCACGTCGGTCAACTCAGCACCAGTCACATCCCCCTCACCGCACTCACCCAACTTTGCCCCACCACTTGCCTCCCTGGATACAGACCCCTCATACCCCTCGTTAGAAGCACATCCCTTTCTGCCAGAAGATCCGTCCCTTGTTGGAACCACATCCCAGGCTCTTTCAGACGCCATTTCCATCTCTCCTGACTTGACCTCCGCCGTCCAATCCCCCTCCTCTGATCTCCACTCTCCCTCGTTACAGTCAGATTCCCCCTCGTTAGAGTCACATGCCTCGCTGCCAGCAGATGTATCCCTCACTGCAGCCACATCGCAGGCCCTTTCAATCGCCGTCTCCATCTCTCCCGATTCATCCTCTGACCCTCACTCCCCATCCTCCGCCCTCCAGTCCCCCTCTTTAGTATCACACGCCTCGCTAGTATCACACCCCTCCCTGCCAAGAGATGTTTCCCTCACAGCAGCCATATCCCAAGCCCGTTCAAACGCCATTTTCATCCCTCCTGACTTCGGGGCCGATCCTCACTCCCCTTCCTCCGCCCCTCACTCCCCTTCCTCCGCCCCTCACTCCCCTTCCTCCGCCCCTCACTCCCCTTCCTCCGCCCCTCACTCCCCTTCCTCCGCCCCTCACTCCCCTTCCTCCGCCCCTCACTCCCCTTCCTCCGCCCCTCACTCCCCTTCCTCCGCCCCTCACTCCCCTTCCTCCGTCCCTCACTCCCCTTCCTCCGCCCCTCACTCCCCTTCCTCCGCCCCTCACTCCCCTTCCTCCGCCCCTCACTCCCCTTCCTCCGCCCCTCACTCCCCTTCCTCCGCCCCTCACTCCCCTTCCTCCGCCCCTCACTCCCCTTCCTCCGCCCCTCATTCCCCTTCCTCCGCCCCTCATTCCCCTTCCTCCGCCCCTCATTCCCCTTCCTCCGCCCCTCACTCCCCTTCCTCCGCCCCTCACTCCCCTTCCTCCACCCCTCATTCCCCTTCCTCCGCCCCTCATTCCCCTTCCTCCGCCCCTCATTCCCCTTCCTCCGCCCCTCATTCCCCTTCCTCCGCCCCTCATTCCCCTTCCTCCGCCCCTCATTCCCCTTCCTCCGCCCCTCATTCCCCTTCCTCCGCCCCTCACTCCCCTTCCTCCGCCCCTCACTCCCCTTCCTCCGCCCCTCACTCCCCTTCCTCCGCCCCTCACTCCCCTTCCTCCGCCCCTCACTCCCCTTCCTCCGCCCCTCATTCCCCTTCCTCCGCCCCTCATTCCCCTTCCTCCGCCCCTCATTCCCCTTCCTCCGCCCCTCACTCCCCTTCCTCCGCCCCTCACTCCCCTTCCTCCACCCCTCCCTCCTCCGCCCTTCCCTCCCCTTCCTCCGCCCCTCCCTCCCCTTCCTCCGCCCCTCCCTCCCCATCCTCCGCCTCTGCACACTCCCCCACCTCCCCACCCCCTCAATCCCTCTCCTTCCCTTCCACCCCTTTCTCCCCATCCACCTGTGCTTCCTCCTCCTGCCTCTCTCTCCCCCTGTCCCGCCTCCGCTCCTTCTCCCCTCCCCGCACCCACTCTATCCAAACCAACTCTGACCAGGCCAGTGTCTTTGGCCGCTCCTCTTCCCACACTCACTACTCCCACACTCACTCCTCCCATACACTCTACTCCCACACTCACTCCTCCCATACACACTACCCCCACACTCACTACTCAACCCACCACACTCACTTCCCTTCTCACACTCCCTTCTCCTCTCGCACTCTCCAATCCTCCCAGGTCCAGGCCCCATCACGCACTCTCTCCTATCCATCTGCAGCGACTCATATCTCCTCCCACCCTTCCCCGCTGTCCTTCACCACGATTAGCACAGCACCGCTCCTGTTCCCTGTTGTGAGTGGTGAGGAAGCAGCACCTGAAGCAGCAGCACCTGATGCGGCAGAACCTGAAGCAGCAGAACCGGGAGAAGCACCTGAAGAAATACCTGAAGGAGGAGTCGAAGTACCACCAGAAGCACCACCAGCACCTGAAGAATCACCTGAAACTTCTCAGGAAGATGCTGGTGTCTCGGCAAGTGATCAGGAGGAGAGCGTGTTTTCAATCTCCCTTCTGGGAACGACAGGGGAGGAGGAGAAGATACTGGAAAGCCAAGAGGAGAGCAAAGAGGTTACTACCGTTGCTGCCAGTGATCCTGTTCCCTCTGCTCCTGCTGCATTGTGCTCTGCCACTGGACTTACCAGTGCTCAGCCTGACATCCTTCCTGAAGTACCGCCTAAGCCCGATCATGCTCCAATAGTCACTATCCTTTCTACTCCTGCCGACGACCAGAAGCAAGCAGTACCAGCAGAATCAGTGGTGGCAGGAGCGACTGCAGCAGCGGCGGCAGTTCTGGCTGCAGTGGCTGCAGTCAAACCCTCATCTCCCTCTCTCTCCCCCAGCAGCAGTCTCCCGCGCCATATCCGTGTGTCCTCCCCTCGTTTCCACCCAACACAGCCAACCTCTCTCTACTTCCCTGCTACTGCTGGTAGCAGTCTCGTTTCTGCTAATGATGCCGATGCTGATACTGGCATTGTTGCTGCTCCTGCTGCTCCTGCTGCTGCTGATGCTGCTCCTGTTGCTGACGCGGCTGCTGATAACGCTGCTGCAGGCAAGGCCATCAGAAGCACTTTCAACCTTTATCCATATGCCAAGCCTGCCAGCCTCGTCAGCAAGGTGTTCGTATTCAGGTCCCCAAGCGGGGAAACCGCTACCAAGGCGCTCCATTCGGGCTCGTGTCAGCAGCACAAGCCGCCTCTTTCTGACTCGCCTCAGCAGCAGCACTCTGCACATGGCGGCAATACTACTGCCACCAGCAGCAGCGGTACACCCATGACACCCACGCAATCTTCCATGGCACCTACAAGCTCATCTGCGAAGGCTTCTGTGACGCCCAAGCGATCCAAGAGCTTGTCAACAGTAGCTGCTGCCACTGCTTCCTCCTGGCTCCGATCTCTTAAGTCCACCCTCTCCCCATCCTCTTCCTCCTCCTCCTCATCGGCTAAAGCAGCACGCACGAGACAGTCACGTTCCACAGAGCCACACTGGATACAATCACCTGCTCTGGCGTCTGTTGATGCACCCTCTACCTCGGCCTCCTCACTCGCCTCCCTCATCTCCCCTCATCATGCCCCCTACCCTCCCCATGCCCCCTACCCTCCCCATGCCCCCTACCCTCCCCATGCCCCCTACCCTCCCCATGCCCCCCCTTCCCATGCCTCCCATCCTCCTCCTCCTCAACCGTTCCCTGCATCCGCCCCTGTAGGTCCTGCCTCCGAACCCACAACTTTCTGGAACCTTCCCCCGGTAGACCTCCCTCCACCCGCTATCGCTCTGGACCCCATTCCACCCCTTTCTACTCCTTCTGTTCCTCCTTCAACTGCTCCTGCTGCTCCTTCTTCTCCTACTCGTGGCTTGCCCAACTCCCAGCTCTCCACTTCTCCCTCCTCCCTCATGTCTCCCCTCTCCGCTCTCCCCAACTCTCCTACTTCCTCGCCCCCAGCCCCTCCTGTCAGCACCACCCCTTCCACCCCACCTGTTCGCCCAGCATCCCCTGCTCTCAAATCCACCCGCTTTGGATTCACCCGGAATTCGCCCCTTCAGAATTTTCAGAATTCGCCCAGACAGTCCTCTCCTCCTGCTGCTAGGATTCGGCCTCCCTCACCGCGCCGTCTCTTGTCCTCCCTTCACAAGATGCTCAGCCCAGGTGTCGGATCAGGTGGAATTTCAGGTGAATCTCGCGAAGTGCCTGCACTGGCTGTAGCAGGGAGTGCTTCTTCAGGTGTTGTGTCAAGTGATCCTGTGGCTGTTGCAGCAGAGCCAATCCGATCTCCAGTTGTAGCGGGAGCTACAGCTGCTCCGATGGTGGCTGTAGCAGCGCCGTCTCCCACTCCGGCTGTAGCAGCTGCAGCAGGAGTTCCATCTGCACCGGCTGTAGCAGCAGGTACCAGTGCAGCAACTGTAGCAGAAGATGTAGCAGGACATTTTCTCCCAGCAGCTGTTATCCCTTGCGGGGATGTAGCAGCAGATTTTGCTGCAGGAGTTGAGCCCAACGGGCTGGCTGTGGCAGTTGAAATACTTCCTGCTGCTGTAGCCCCTTCCGAGGATGTAGCAGCAGATTTCGCTGCAAAACTTGAGACTGATGGGTTGGCTGGAGCAGAGGAAATTTCCAATGCAGCTGTAGCCCCTTGGGAGGATGTAGCAGCAGATTTCGCTGCAGATCTTGAGACTGACGGGCCAGCTGTAGCAGTATCAGCAGAGATGGAAGAAGGGACAACCGTTGAGGAGGAGGGAGGTGAAGGGGAGAGCAGTGAAGAGGGGGTAAAGGGGGAAAGAGAGGGGGAAGAAAAGGAGAGGAAGGATGGGCAGGAGGAGGAGGAGGGAGAAGGGGAGAAGGGAGGGGAGGAGGTTGTGGAAGTGAAGGAGGAGGATGAGGAGGATGAGAAGAAGCGTGAGAGAAACGATGCGGAAGAGGAGGGTGCAGAGAGAAAAACAGGGTGTGAGTGGGTAGGGCTGCAGGAAAGCACAGCACCAGCTGAAGGAGAGGAAGAGAGAGAAGAATCAGGTGGTGAGGAGGAGAATGGTAATGATAATGGTCACGCAGGAACATTGGAACGTGAAGTAAAGGTCGCTGTACCGAGCCTTTCAGAGGGAAGCATTGCAACCACAGGACCAGCAGCATCAGGCGTTTCAGAAGGGACAGTCACATCACCTCTATCCTCGTGCCTCTCCCCTCCTCCATCCACCTCCCCCTCCTCCTCCATATTTTCCCTTTCTCTCACTCTCGCCCTTGCTTCTCCTGAACCACCTCCGTCCCTCGTCACCCCCACACCACCACCCCTCTCCCTCACCCGCTCCCCCACCCCACCTCCTTCTCTCACACTCTCCCCTGCTCTAGCTGCCCACGTGCCCACTCAACACAGCCTACACAGCCCCACACCACCGCCCCCTTCCCTCGTCACCCCCACCACACCACCACCCCTCTCACTCACCCTCTGCCCCGCCCCGCCCACTTCCCTCCTCCCCTCCCCCGCTCTAGCTGCCCGTGTGGCCACCCAACACAGCCTGCACAGCCACACACCACCGCCCCCTTCCCTCGTCACCCCCACCACACCACCACCCCTCTCACTCACCCTCTCCCCCGCCCCGCCCACTTCCCTCCTCCCCTCCCCCGCTCTAGCTGCCCGTGTGGCCACCCAACACAGCCTGCACAGCCACACACCACCCCCTCCCTCCCTCGCCACCCCCACCACACCACCACCCCCTTCTCTCCCCCTGTCCCCAGCCATAGCTGCCCGGGTTGCCACGCAACACAGCCTGCACAGCCCCTCCCCACCACCTAACTCCCTCGTCACCCCCAGATCACAGCCCCCCTCCCTCCCCCTCTCCCCCGCCCTAGCTGCCCACGTGGCCACCCAACACAGCCTGCACAGTCCCACACCACCGCCTCCTTCCCTCGTCACCCCCACCACACCACCACCCCCCTCACTCACCCTCGCCCCCAGATCACAACCCCCCTCCCTCCCCCTCTCCCCCGCTCTAGCCGCGCGGGTTGCCACTCAACACAGCCTGCACAGCCTGCAGAACCTTCGGAGCAGGCTGCAGCAGCAGCGAATGGCGATGCGCCAGCTGGCGGAGGAGACGAGCAGGCTGCGGGGGTGGCTGGGCAGTGCTGCTAGCGGGGGAAGTGTGCCGGTTGGATCAGGTGGTTTGGGTGGGAAAGTTGGGTCACGTGGATTGGTTGGGACAGTTAAGTCGGGTGGATTGGGTGAATTGTCAGCAGGTGCTTCAGCTGGAGCTGTTATTGGGGATGCTGGGTCTACAAGACGCGTTGCTGAAGGTACTGCTTCTCCTGCTGCGTCTGCTATACAATCTTCTGATTCTGCTGCTGCTTCTGCTGCAAGTGCTGGTGGTGCTGATGGCGCTGCTGCTGCCTCTTCTGCTGTTGCTGCTGACATGTCCTGGGCAGCTGACCTGTCATCACCTCCTGAGTCGTTTTTAAGTGGTGCTGACTCACCAATTGGTTCTTACTCACCAACTGATGCTGACTCACCAACTGATGCTGACTCACCAATTGATGCTGACTCACCAACTGATGCTGACTCGCCAACTGATGCTGACTCACCAAGTGGTGCTCATGCTGCAGCGGGAAGGGTGGCTGAAACCAATGAAGCCGATGGAAAGACAGGGGCCGCTGAAGCAGTCGAGGGAGCTGAAATCTGTGAGACAACCGAAGAGAAGGACGTACGTCCGGAGCAGCAGCAAACGCAGTGTAAGACAAGCGAGGAACCTAACGAGTCGACTTCTGGGTCGACTGGAAAAGCACATGAAGAGATGGGACGTGAGGCACAAGACACCAAGGGTTTGGGAGGGGGGAGTGGAGCGGAGGGAGGAAGCGGAGGAGTGGAAGCTACTGGTGCAACGGAAGGAGGTGTGCAGTGCAGAGAAATGGGTTTCTTAGGTGCTGCTTCTCCGATAACTCCTGCTTCCGGCGCAGGAGTGAACACAGTAGCTCCTATTTCTGAGGAAGTGGCCAGTACTGTTCATGACGCGCCTCCGAAACTGGAACGAGCAGCTGTGCTCTTTCCTGCTCGTTCTGTGGCTGCTTTTAAATCTTCTGCTGCTGTAGCAGGAACGAGCACAGCAGCTTCTGTTTCTGGTGAAGCAGCCAATACTGTTACTGAGGCGTCTCAGCAACAGGCTTCGTCTAAAGCAGCTGCTACCGCCCCTCAGGTTTCAAGGCGTCGCCTCGCCTTTGCTCTGCTGAGCGAGCCACTTAGCAGAAAGCCGCGAGTCACATCTGTGAGGTGGACCACCCTCTCTGCGATCCAGGAGGAGGAAGGATTGGGCATAGACTCGCAAGAATCAAGGTCCCAAAGTAGCGTGGAGCGATCTGGTCTAGATTCGGAAAAATCAGAGTGTCAAGGCAGCGTGCAGCAGCAAGGCAGGGCTCAAGGCAGTTTTGAGCGAGGCAGGTCTGTGAGCTGGACTGCTCTTACACCAATCAGAGAGGAGAAGAGGAGTCTAGGTTTGAATCCCAAGGAGCAACGGTCCCCAACATCCCCTCCTCTAGCATCCCCTCTGGCATCCCCTTTACGGTCCTCCCCCTTAGTACCCCCTGCCAAAAGCCCCTTGGTAACCCCTACTGCTCCTCTCCTCCGCCTTAAGATTATTCCATCCCCCCCTCCTGCTTCCACCTCTCCTCCTCCTCTTATTCCTCCTCACTCTCATCCGCCTTTCTCCGCCCCTCTCTCCACCACCTCTTTCTCTTCCGCTGTCGCAAGACTGCTGCCTGCCTCTACAGCTGCTGCTGCTGCTGCTGCTGCTGCTGATGCTGCTTCTGCTGCTCCTGCTGCTCCTGCTGCTCCTACTGCTCCTGCTGCTCCTGCTGCTGCTTCTGCTGCTCCTGCTGCCCCTGTTTCTCCTGTTGCTCCTGCTGTTCCTGCTGCTCCTGCTGCTGCTTCTGATCCACTCTCGCTGGCGACGGCTCTCAGTGGTGATACTGATTCTGTTGCTGGTGCGGCTGCTACTGGCTCTGCTGATACTGCAGCTGATTCTGCTGGTGCTACTGCTGGTGGTTCTGCTGCTGCTGCACCTACTGCTGCTGCACCAGCCTTAAGCCCCGTTTCTGATACCAGCACTGCCTCGGTCCCTCCTGCCTTTCCTTCCTCTCAGCCCACACCCTCCTCATCATCTTCCTCCTCCTCTTCCTCCTCCTCCTCCCCTTCCTCCTCCTCCTCTTCCTCCTCCCCCTCCTCCTCCTCCTCCTCCTCCTCCTCCTCCTCCTCATCCTCCTCCTCCTCCTCCTCCTCCTCCTCCTCCTCCTCTTCCTCCTCCTCGTCCTCCTCCTCCTCCTCCTCCTCCTCTTCCGCTTCCTCCCAAAAATCTTCTCGCCCTCGCTCACTCTCCCCATTCCGTTTCTTTAGCCCCACAAAATCTCGGCCTACCATGGGAAAACCAGCCTATGCCAAGCCTGCAGCATCTGGGGCAGCAACAGCAGCACCAATAGCAGCACCAACAGCAGCTCCAGCATCAACTCCCTCGGTTGGTAAAACTGCTGAAAAGGCACCTGAAGAAACGCCTGAAAGGACTCCTGGAAAGACAGGAAAACGACCTGCATCACCAGCATCAACACTAGCATCTCTCTTCTCCCCCTTCTCCCCTGCAAACTCACACTCCCCCTCACACTCCCCCTCTCCCAGCTCACTTCCCAAGACTCACAACCAGCCTCCCTCCATCCAGCCCAACGCACCTCCATCCTACTCTCCACCTGATTTCAACGGAATCACCTCACCTTCTGACTCACACACGCTAATCCCTGCAAGCCAAGCACCAAAGCACGCAGGTGCAGGTTCCTCAAACCCGCATCGACCCCACTCCCCATTCTCCCTTGCTCTCCATCGCATCTGGTCGCTCACCCACTCCAATCATCCCTCCGCCACGACCGACCATCCTTCCACCCACACTGCAACGGCTGTAGCTGAAACGGCTGTAGCAGCATCAGCAGCAGCAGCAGAAGCTGCTGCAGGTGATGCAGCAGATGCGCCTGCACCAGCAATCCATGGCGTAGCAGGAGGGATGGTTGAAGGAGGGGCAGCAGCAGCAGCAGCTGCAGCAGCTGCAGCAGGAGCAACACCACTGAAGCCCAAGCCAATGACTGAGCAGCAGAAAGCAGCACTGTTGGAACTTATACACAGTCCAGTGAGTCTCTCTCTCCCTCCCTCCATGCTGCGCACACGCCATTCCATTCTCCCTGTCCTCCCTCTGCCCGATGCAACGCTTTTCTTTAAATACTTGAATTTACGTAGCAGTGTAACCACCTTATCCGTTGTGCTGACGCGTGCTTTTCCAAATCTTTTCCTCTGTCTTGCAGGACCTGGGACTATCCCAGTCCTCAGCAGCTCTTCTGGAAAGAGCAATTCTTAGAGTGGCCACATCAGCTACACTTGATTTGATACCAGAAGGCTCTGGAAGCCCTTTTTAGACACATTAAAGCCAGCAGCTAAAATAGTGACCCCCCCCTTCTAGTTGGGTCCACTTGAAAACACAAGCTCGTTACGAACGTTTGAAAAGTTGACTGCCTGTGCGTTTTTACTTTTTTTTTCATCCCAGACGAGTCTTGATCTGAACGGGAAACATGAGGAACTTGTTTACAAATCTTATTGGTGGCGACTTTCACCCACATTCGTATGCGAATTTGGCGCAAGGCTGCAACCCCACATTCAACATAGCAGCCGTCGTAACTTCACAAGAATTCCCATATGCAAAAAACAGCGCACACACAGGCAAAATCCAGCGCGCACAGGCAAAAAACTCGCAAAATCCTGCGCGAACACTGGCATGATCAAGCAAAATCCATGGCACACACAGGTGAAATCAGGCGAAGAAGATATAAATAAAGAAATTAATGATGTACGAAAAGAGAAAGGGCGACGGGACGGTTGATTGGTCGACGGCGAAGAGAAGGGACTGGGGACAAGGGGGCTGACGGGAGAGGAGGGGAGAGAGGGGGAACGACGGGATGGGAGGGGAGAAGGGAAAAACGACGGGATAGGAAGGAAGAGAGGAGGAACGACGGGATGGGAGGGGAGAGAGGAAGAAAGACGGGATGGGAGGGTAGAGCGGAGGAACGACGGGATGGGAGGGTAGAGAGGAACGACGGGATGCGGGGAGGGAAGACAGGTTGTGAGGGGAGGGAGGAAGGGCGCGGAGAGGGCATTGCATAGCAAGAGCGAAGGGCGGATTGGCCGACGATGGAGAGCGTTTCAGAGATTAATGATTGGGGAGAAGAGACGAAAGGCGATGGGAAGGCATTTCGGGACGAGCACGAGGGCGACGAGGTCGGTGATGGGAAGGGAGAGAGGAAGGGCGCGGGGAGAGCGTTTGAGTGCGAGCGCGAAGGCGACCAGGCAGGCGATGGGAGGAGAAAGTGGGCGGGGGACGAGAAGGCGTTTCGTGGCGAGCGGGAAGGCGATGGGGTGGGTGATGGTGGGTGGGAGAGGAATTTGCGACGGCTGCATCTAAGGCTACGAGAAGGGAGGGGAGAGAGCAAGAGCGACGGCAAGGGAGGGGAGAGAGATAGAGCGACGGGAAGGGAGGGGAGAGAGATAGAGCGACGGGATGGGAGGGGAGAGAGATAGAGCGACGGAAAGGGAGGGGAGAGAGATAGAGCGACGGAAAGGGAGGGGAGAGAGATAGAGCGACGGAAAGGGAGGGGAGAGAGATAGAGCGACGGGAAGGGAGGGGAGAGAGATAGAGCGACGGGAAGGGAGGGGAGAGAGATAGAGCGACGGGAAGGGATAGGAGAAGGCGATTGCAACGGAAAGGGAGCGGCGAGAGAGAGAGCGACGAGAAGGGAGAGGAGAAGGCGATTGGTTCAGGAAAGGGAGCGGCGAGAGAGAGATTTGCGATGGGAAAATCGCGAGGGTGATTGGAGGAGAGGGGTAATGGAGATGACGGTAGGAGGGCGACGGGACGTCGACGGGACGGACGACATGATCGCGACGCGACGGTCGATGGGACGGCGTCAGGATGGTCAATGGGACGGCATCAGGACGGTCGATCGGAACGGGAGGGCGAGCGAGATGAGATAGGAAGGCGGCGAGAGGGCATTCGAAACGTCACAAAGTACTACACAACCATGCCAGCTTCACTACGCGTCTAAATTGAAACAACAACGGCCTAAGTTGACGGTTCGATGGCTAGACATGCTACACATAATTAAGAAGCAGAGATGTATGATCGGAAGAACTAGTAGTTGTTCACCCAGACCCAACTTGAACCCCAAGCTGGGCCCAAAATCGCAAGGACGTGCATGAGCGATCGCAATGCTAGTGTTGTGCAGCTTTCAAAACTGATATGCGACGCCTGACGTGCTGTGTTCCTTCTTTTGGTTTTGGCGGGAACCAATCAGATGTGTTCGATCTGCAAAAAACGCTCTCAATGAAACACTGGAAACTTGTCGGTTTGGTTCCAAAATTGTTTCGCACGGCAAGCCCTCTTTCAAGTTGGCGTTGGGTTCACTATTTTGCATTTTGGTTTTAACTATTTTACATTGAGGTTCTTCGGCACTTGAAGCCCATCGGACTATTGAAACCACTGGAGTGATGAGTACTCAGTTTTTCCTGTCTAGTGTAGGAGCCTGCACTGATTTGACTCGGGTTTACTAACAATTTTGCCGTTATTTGTTCCTGTATTGTGTAGTGTATGCATCCATTGCTAATTTGGTTATGGTACCGTACACATGTACGGTATCATTAAGAAAACTATGCTATGGCTTCTGTTCGGTGACTAGACCATAACTGCACTACCGATGTACATCAAGACCAAACAGAACATGCAAAGCCAAGGCATGAGCTTAGGACATGGTGAGGTGAATGGTGACTGACAGTAATGTGCTAATAATTGTGGGATGTTGCGAATGATATTCTCCAATACCGTGGAGAGGAGAATGGGGAATTTTGCAAATGCTTGTGTTCTCACACAGTAGCGGTACGTTCCACTACATTACAGCAAGTGATATGTAGTAATGAGGTTGAGCAGCAAGAAAGAAGGCACATTTTGCAGCCAGCAAAAGTCAATCTCAGCCGAGCAAACAGCTCTGCTCTGTCAAAACTAATTTATATGTTTGTAGGCTGTAGTGGGGTAGCACATATAGAGTACAACACTTTTAGGGTTTGGTACTTGTACTTTCTTTCCTGACTAGTGACATCATTCCTGTCTGATAGTTTCTAATGTTGGAAATTCGAATACAATATAACGAATATTGTATACTAGTGCTGTTCGGTTTTAGTGTAGTACTCGTTATAAGCCTCCAGGTCCTACAATAATTGTCACAATTATTGTAGGTCCACAATTATTGGAGGTCAGCATTATTGGAGGGTAGAGGGTAGAATTATTAGTACACCATTATTGGTGTGAATGGGGTCCTTTGGTAGGGGTAGATAGAAACATAAATACCCTGCCTGCTGTGAATTATTCAATAATTGAGTTATCATTGTGTCATCCTTCTACTTTTCAATTATCAATGCAAGATTTCTATCTTGTTCTTTTCTACAAACACGTTTCCGCTACGCCGGCACTATGTCTTTCTAGCATGGTATCAGAGCTACTCTAGGGGGCATGCTGCCAAATTTGATTCAGGAATTTACTGGCATTCACTTTAGATAGGTACCTGCATACAGTCAGAGTACCGCACACCCGGTCTACGCTTTCGTACACCTGGTGTTCGCTGTTGGTTACAACCGCGCGTTTACCGCACACTTGGTGGACGGTTTTGTCAAGGTCATGGCGCACTTCGATGGTGAAGTGAATCCTGGATATGCGGCTTTTGAAGAAGCCATCATGGCTCAGCATGAGCACATGGAAAGCATGATTGCAAAGGCACCACCAGCACTCCAAGCTTCGTTAAGGGACAAGTTTGGAATGACAATCCAACCAATGACATCGTTCTCTCATGAGTCTAGCAATCCGTCCACCCGTGGACACTCTCATTCAAGCACTTCACGTACTAACCAAACTCGTGCAAATGTTCATGCAGGAATTGATGGTGAAGGGGAAATGGGCATACCTCAAGGAGTAGAGTCATCCCAAGGGAGGGATGCATCCGTCCAAGGAGAGGAGAAGGCCAATCCCGCACCTCAATCATCCATGCAAAGGGAAGCACGGGGGAGGAATGATGAGTATGGGAGTGCAGTGCATGGTCGAATGAGAAGTGGACAGATTGGGCAGCAGGGTAACGGAAATGGTCAAGTGGGCGTGGAAGGTGTGGGTTTTGCCTCCTACACTATTGGTGCTCCCCCACTACGACGACTTGCAACTAACTCCCATCCCATTGGAGTTCCTCCCATGGCCAGGGCTCACCTTCGTGGCGGCAATGACATACCTCCACATGCACCACGTCCACCGATAGGAGTACATCCTGTGGACAGCATGGGACGGATGGGATACGGAATGCAGTCAAGTGGCGTCATGCGACGTGATCAAGTGGAAGTGCTGGAACGTCAACTTGGTGGACAGAATGGGGGCATGCGGCGCACGGTACAACTACCTCGACCGTCAACCGTGCCTACTCTCTTCGACCCCGCTTCACGTGAATACACGGAAGAAGACAACGAACGGCTGTCACGCAAAATGGTGGGAGCAACGGTGGACAAGGCGTTCACCACTACTCCGTTTGATGGCTCAAACTTCCGGGAGTGGGCACTACGATTTCGTATGAATGCTCGTGTCACGAATCTGTGGGAGTTCCTTGTGACCTTGCAATATCCGGTTACCATGGGAGATGGTGACATTAACGACGCTATGGAGCAGCTGGAAATGCTACAGGCGGATTACTCACAGCGTGCGGCACTCGCTTTTTGGGTCCTGCTGCACAGCGTGAGCGCCACGATTCAGCTGCAGCTGGACATGTTTCAGGAATCCTACAGCCTGGCATATGAAGCATGGGAGTATTTAATGGACACTTACCAGGCCAAAGATTCGGTGGCGAAGGTCTCTCTCTTGAAGCAGTTGGACAACCTGAAAATGGGGAACACGGAAAGGGTGGAGGAGTACGTCAACCGCGCAACAGCAATCCGGGACAAGTTAGCACTCGCGGGGAAGATGGTGGATGAAGATACCTTCACTTTAAATCTGCTCACCGGACTACCGGTGCATTGGGAGGAGATGAGACACTCGGCAATGTTACACAACGTGACGGACAGTTTTACCTTGCAGCGGATGATGATTCAAGAGCAGAGATATCACGACCTCATCACGAAGGATAACCGTGACCGGCGTCCACCTCGCATGGCTGGACAAACACATGGTGACGGCTCACCTTCTCCAACTGCTAAGGGCAATAGCGGGAAGATGGAGGGGTCTGTTGAAAAAAAAACGCATGCCAAGGATGGAGATGCAAGTCGCTCATCTCTCGTGTGTTGGTTCTGCAAGAAGCCAGGCCATCCCTTCTTCAAGTGTACCAAGGCACCGCCTGGCTGGTCACCACCAGGGTGGAAACCGCATACCAGTGGAAGGACAAAACTGCACACCAGCAACAGCCGTTCGTTCTCTCCACGAAGGAGTCGCAGCCCCAAGCGTGACAACAACGCGTCGAAACAGCAAGGGGCAGCCGGGGAAGACAAGCAACAAACTGTTACGTGCATTGCAACGGTGGGATCGTCACAAGCTACCTTACCACCAGCTAAAGCGTCATCTTGGATGCTGGACAGTGGATGCAGCCAGCACATGACCTCAGACAAGCGCTGGTTTGAAGAGTTAAAGGAGCTGGACGAATCTGAATACGTGGAGCTTGCTGATGGGAGCCGACTGCACAGCACGATGACAGGAACGATCAGAGCAACGGCACCTGATGGGACAACAGTTCGGTACACTGACGTCCTCTACGTACCTGGCTTGAAGAGTAACCTGCTCTCCTATTGTCAGCTGCTGAAAAAGGGAGCGCGCATCAATACCATTACTAATGGAGACACCGAGATCACCATGACTGATGGAGAGGAGTACGTGCGGATTGGACTTGCCAAGAACGTGGATGGAGTGCTCGTAGTGCAATATACACATGCACTTACATCCGCCCATGATCCTGGACATTCCCGTAATGATGCGTCATCGAATCAGGTTGATCGTGAAGGGGTTACCCTTTTCCGCACACCTGGTGTGCACATGGACGCACCTGGGAGCACGGATCCCCGCACACCTGGAGTGCGCTTGAGTGGCCAGTCTGCACATGCGTCTGTCACATACCGCATGGCACACAACGCATGCGTTGTGCGGAAGCCGGCACATGATGATACCACGCATGAAGTCTCACCCCACGTTGCGGTGTGGACTTCAGGGGGAGAAGGAAAACGGTTCACGATGGATTCGGGAGTCGATGGAGCAGACCCTGTAAAACAGGACTTACATGGAGCTGATGAAGTTGATGCAGCCCAAGGAAGCGGAGATGCTGCAGCAGATGACTTCCCTGCAGCAGGAGTGATTTTACCAGAGGAAGTTGAAGACAATGATGCTGAAAACAATG